AAATAATTCAGGATCGCTAATGGAAATCTGATCATGGTAGATGAGGTGGCAGCTGTGGGTACTCACAGCTGACACTTGGCAGCTCAATAACTCTGAAAACAACAGAGGAGAAGGTGGGGAAAAAAAATCTTTAAAATGGTCATGTGCGCTCTCTCTCTCTCTCTCTCTCTCTTTCTCGTTTTCCTGGAATGGGGTTGCTCTCTCCTCCCCCCCAGCTTCATGCTTGCAGAGGCTAAAGGCTGGCGTGGATGAAAGAAAGAAATTGATATTTCTGGGGCATCTGGAACAAAGGGATAAGATCAAGATGAGTTGACCTGCTGATGGAGCCATGTGTGCAATTTTGTTTGCTTTGAGAAAGAGAGAAAACTTTTGTTGGTGTGGTGTGGCCCTATTCCACTTAGTCAGCCTTTCAGACAGATCAAATAAGGTGTGTGTGTGTGTGTGTGTGTGTGTGTGTGTGTGTGAGAGAGAGAGAGAGAGAGAGAGAGAGAGAGAGAGAGAGAGAGAGATGCTTGGTGAAATATACTCAGAGTCCTGTAGTGATTTCATGCTCGTTATTGCAGCTTGTAAAACAGTGATTGAATTGCCCCCCAAACCTCAGGTTTTTATATACATTATTTACACAATGAGTCCTGTCTGATTGGCTGATTCTGCTTCCCTCCTGGAGCCTGATTGGTCTTTTCCTGCAGGCCAATCAGTTGTTGCATTCTACGATCCTACCAGCCTAATAGGCTGATTAACTTCTTCCTGGAGCCTGATTGGTCTTCTCCTGCAAGCCAGTCAGTTGTTGCATTCTAGGATCCTACTTGCCTATTGTTCTAGGATCCAAGATTAGTACATACCACTTGGGTATAAATACCAGAAGGGCCATCCATAGATCAGTGGTAGAAGAACATGCAGAATGCCCTGGGTTTCTTCTGTAGCATATCCTCTAGGACTAGAAACTTGGCTGCCAGTCAGTGTGGAGCTGGTATGAGTAACCTAAGGCCCAAAGCTGAATGTGGCCCTCCAAGTTTCTTAACCCGGCCCATGGGACTCACCCAACATCCTCCCTAGCCACACAGCCTGCTGGCACTGCTTCACATCCTCCTTGAGAGTTTTGCCTAGCCAGAAAGTGTCCTTGAGGTGTGATCATGTCTCTCAGAGTAGCCTCCCTTGAAGGGTCCTTGTGGGGGTTAAATAGGGAGGGGGAGCAGTTTGGAGAAAAAGGTGGACTATAAATGCAATAAGTAAATCATCCCTAAAGAAGCATTGTTGAGATGATTTATGTATCTCCTTATGACATAAGGAATGTCATTTCAATGCATGCTTTCAGTAGTGCAGTGATCTAGGAAACATTACGATGCAGTAGTGCAGTGATCTAGGAAACATACTTATTGATGAAATGAGGTGGGGTGCACAGAAATCCCAACAGGCCTCAGATCTTATTTATTATGTGTGTTAGCTGTGATTCCAGAGGGCTGGACTAGATGACCCTTAAGGTCCCTTCCAACACTACAGTTCTATGAGTCTTAATGGAATGGGGTGGGGGAAAAGTTCCCAGCATCTCTTTGACACCTGGCTAGAGACTGCAAGCTCCCCCTTACTTCTGTAGCCACAGAACAGAGGGCAATTGATAATGCTATTTACCATAAGTACCTCACCATAGATGGTGGTTCCTGATTAAAAGCATTCAAAATTATATATGAGCCCCACTCCCCACTCTTAGTGACCCCCTCCCAAACTAGGTTGCATCTGAGACATCAGATTAAGGTGGTATATTATATGCATCATAATAGACATATTCATACCTGTCTCGAAACGGGTGAAGTTCTTTGGAATCATATTCCTTAATCCCACACTTGGGCATTTATTGAAGGAGGACACTTATGTTTTTATGAGAATAATTGCAAGTGTGCCAACATCTTCAGTTCTGAGGGGAAACATGCACCCCACCAGATGTCATATTGGACGGCTTTAAAAGAGGATTAAGTCGCATTCCTGGAGGGTAAGGCAATCAATTTCCCAGCAGCCATGATGGCTATGTTCCATCTCCACTGTCAGAAGCAGCATGTCTCTGAATCCCACTTGCTGGGCATTGTATGTGGAGAGTAGGGCTGCCTATACGTCCAGATTTTCCCAGATATTACCAGGATTTCAAAGGCAGAAGTGACGTCAAGGGGGAATTTCTTAAGGTGGAGGTTTGTCCTGGATCTTTGGCAAGTAAACCAAAAATTACTTTGTCTAAAAAAAAGCTTGGGGTGTCCTGGTTTTTACTTTTTGAAATATGGCAACCCTAGGAGAGGGGAGTGGTATTGTAGTCAGGTTCTGCTTGTGACGTTTATATGGGCATATGGTTGGACCAAAGTGAAGGCCTTTGGCTTAATGCAGCAAGTCTCCTCTTATGTTCCCTTCCACAGATATTTTTGGGTACCTACCTCACCCCTTGGAGGACTAGCCTACTGGAGATGTTTGAAAGAAAGTAGCAGATTTCAGATGAACACTTATGCTAGCTTTTTCTATCCTTCTTCAAAAGAACTCCATCATATCTTCCCTTTTACTCAATGAACTGCCTCAGGAAGGCTCAGGCTTCATAGTCTATGGAGATTTCCCAGCATGCCTTATTCTTGACCGATTCTGATCCCCTTTTCCTTGCAGGCTGTTTTCTCAGTCTATTTGAAAGTAGGGATTTGACTTCGGCAACTTTTATCGCTTACCTCTCCTCCCCTACCCTCTCCTTAAAAACATCGCCTTTATACATAATCCATCTGAAACTGAAGAGCTTGAAGGAAGCCCTGAGGGCAAGAATCAAAACCTAAGCAGAGGAATGTTTTGCTTTTTGCAATCACTGGCGAACAAACACTTTTTCTCAAGGAGGTTTGGCTTCACTGGTCCACCTGCTTGCCCAAGCAGGTGTATTATGTGGTCTCTTGGGAGTGGTGAAATAAACTGAGACAGAACATCAGGTGTTGAGTGATAATCAGGCCAAATCTTTATTGAGGTTGGCATGGCAGTTGGGTAAGGAACAGTTGTTCTGTCGGGGTTGGGAAGTGCATAGCCCCTTCCCTGAGAGTCTCTGAGAATCGAGTTCTGTCGTGGTGCGAGCCAAGCCTCCAGGATCTCACTGGGTGACCAGGGTGAGAGATTCCTGCCAAGCAGAGGCCCTAACCCAAGCTTACTATTTAGTATTTCCTGTCCTATGCCCTTTCCACCCATGGTTCTTACCAAACCAGCCAATGCCTAATACAACTAAGCCGTATTTCACTGAGGGAAAGGTGGAAAATGCACCAACCAGAGGCCAGTTGAGGTTGGAAAGAAGAAATATCCTTTTTTGCCCTGTCAACCAGCGACTCAAAAAGCTCAGTGACAGTGAGACCCTAACCCAAGGGTGGGTGGGATGTTTGCAGGGCAAAATGGGACTGAAGTCTTGTGGATGAGGCCTTTCAAGGCTAAGAGTAATGCTTAGTACATGCCTGAACCTTGCACCCCAGATGCATGTCGTCAATTGTCTTCATTTGCCATATTATAAGGCATATCATAATTCCCCCTGAAGGGGCAGGTATGTGGGTTGGGGTACTTCTGAATCATCTGCTGTTGCTTGAGGCTCAGGTGGCCTTGGTGGCACAGAGTGCCTTCCATCAGCTTTGGCTGGTGGCCCAGCTACACCCCTATCTGGACAGGGATGGCTTAACTTCTGTCATCTATGCTCTGGTAACCTCTAGGTTGGATTACTGCAACACATTATACATAGGGCTGCCTCTGAAGTTGGTTTGGAAGCTTCAGCTGGCCAGCTTGCTCCCTGGGTCAAGATGGTTTGAGCATATCACACCAATCCTGGCCCTACTGCACCAGTTAGCTTCCAGGCCCAATTGAAAATGCTGATTTGGACCTTTAAAGCCTTTGATGGATCAGGATTGCAATACCTCAAGGACTGCCTCTCCCCATCCCAGACTCTGCTGCATTCATCATCTAAGGCCCTTCTTCGTGTGTCTCCTCCACACAAGGTCCAGATGGTAGCAACATGGAAACAGGCCTTTTCTGTAGTGGCTCCCCATTAGTGGAATGCTCTCCACAGGGAGGTTCGCCTGGTGCCTTCATTATATATTTTAAGGCGCCAGGCGGAAATTGTATATGAGGAGAAATTCACTGAAAAATGCTGGCGATTTTTCATGAGGACTTTAAAAAACACCAAGTGATGTGGAAATGTGGAGAGCAGAACTTAATATAGTGGTACCTCGGGTTAAGTATCTATTTCGTTCTGGAGGTCCGTACTTAAGCTGAAACTGTTCTTAACCTGAAGCACCACTTTAGCTAATGGGGCCTCCTGCTGCTGCCGCGCCACTGGACCACGATTTCTGTTCTCATCCTGAAGCAAAATTCTTAACCCGAGGTACTATTTCGGGGTTAGCGGAGTCTGTAACCTGAAGCGTATGTAACCTGAAGTGTATGTAACCCGAGGTACCACTGTATCTGAAAAAATGAGAAGCTGAGGAAATCTGAAATTGGCAGAATCACTTATCCCTAATTGTTGGCACTGAGCCCTTGTTTACAGATGTAGCTGTTGTGATCCTTTGTTCGTGTATGTGACTAAAATTGCAGTGTTCACCTGTGTAGACTGTTTGTTCAAGCTGTTTCTAGCTCTGATGAGCTTTGGCAAAATGCACCTTGGCCAGCTGTTGTGAAAAAGTGCTGACTTTTTGCTACGGACTGAGCAAAAAGGGTTGATACTCACTGGTTGCGCAAAAGCTTACAAACTGATTGGTTGCTTCCTGCATCTGAAGTTTCTGAGGAACTGAATAGTATCCTCTTACTTTCCCTCTGCACTGACTGAAGCCCCTTGAAAAAGATGTCATTCCTGATGGAGAGTTCCTCTCCGATTCCCCCCCTCCCCGCTTCCTGCCTTTCCATCGGTCTTGGTGGGAGAGACTGCCCCTTGAGTGACCTGCTTTTAATAAGCTTCCCAGTCAGATCACATGAGGGAACTGTGCTCTGCTCTCCCCCCCTCCTTCCCTTTCTTTTCTCTCGCTCACTCAGTCACTCACAGTCTGCTCTCTCTATAGTCAAAGCAAGGATCAGGTTCCCTGCCTTGAGTAGAGAAATTCTGGGGGGGAAATTGAAAGAGGAAGAGGGTAAACTGAGAAGAAGAGGAGGAGGAGCAGAGGGACATTGGAAAGGGGGCAAAGGAAGAAAAGGAGTCAATAATTTCAAGAAGGGGAGAAAAAGAGAGAGAAGCGGAAAAGTGCTGCATTTGCCGAGTGAAGGTGTAGTGAAAGCTCAGAAGTCCACACGGGGGATTGAAGACTGTTTAACAGAGACGGGAGATTTTGCAACTCAAAGTAAGTACAAGTGGATTTGGTTTGCAAAGGCTACTGCTTGATCTCTCTTCCCCCCTCTTTTCAGTGTAAACGGGGATGGATGCTCAGCAACAGACATCCTTAACTTCCAATGTTTCCATGGATTGAAGAAAGTTGATGGGGGACCTCAGAGTGGCTTCTGGATGTGTGTTTTGTGTTTTCCAACAGAGCGAGGGTGCTGTTCCTTCTGTGTAACAATAGCAGTGTTTGGTATTCCCCAGCAGAAGTTCACACTGAGTGCAGATAATATGAGCACCATTCATGAATTTATTGGGTCCTAGATGGGTGGCATGATGATGCACTGACCAGGCGAACGAGTTTGGGTCGACTCTGAGCAAATTACAAGGGGCAAAATGTGTGGGGACTTTTCCTGGGCTTTTCTCTCTGGTATCTTCTGCGTTAACAGGCTGTAAGAGAAGTGTTAGAAGTGGAACGAGGGCCCAGTTGTTCCCCTTGGATTCCTCCTGTTGTTTGAGCCCTGCTGGTGTATTGAGATGGGATGAAGGAGAGCTGAGTGACGTGCAGAAGAACCTGTTCTTCCACATCTCTTCCCGTGGAGAGTGCGCTCTTGTACCCAGCCATAAGCAGAGGGGTGGAGCTTTCCATATACTCTCATCGGTACCAGCTAGTGTTGGTCACTTTTCCTTCCGCTCCATTGGATGAAATGACATTTAGAGGCTGACGGGGACAAGACTGCAGATGGTTGGATGCCAAGTGAGGTTTTCTAGCATTAAAAAGCAGCAAAAAGCTGCTTCTGCAACCCTATTTTCAAGAATCTAATTTAGCGGGAGTTTTACAAGGATGTTTATACAATGCAACTGTCACGAATGGGATGTTTTTAAAAGCTGCTTTTTTCCCCATGCCACATCCGCTTCCCAAGCTTGAAAGAACTCAGGGTAGTGTGTATATGTGTGTGATTGTGTTTTTTGTGTTTAAATTTTATATCTTAACTTTTTTCTATGGAAGCTAAGGTGGCACCCAAAGAAGTCTAGACAGTGTCCCAGTGACACTGACCAGACCCAGGCTTACTGAGGTGCAACATGGTTGCCATCTTACTAAACTGTACCTTCAAACTATTCACTGGCAGTTTGATTGTTCAGTTGCAACACAGGGAACCCAATTTCACCTGTAGTGTTAGCAAAGCAGCAAGAGACTGGGCATCTGACGTACTTCTTTTTCACCTGCTATAGGAAATGGAAATTTTATATTGTTCCATAGAAAGTGTGAGGATAGGATGAGAAGAAGGTCCAAGGAACAGAGGGGCAGCAATCACACAGTCTTCCATGGCCTCATTAACGTTGGGCTTTTTGGGTTTCCAGTCTTCCCTATGCGGTGCTGTTCCATTTTATTCTCCCCACTAGCTTGTGAAGAGAACTAGGCTGAAAGATGATGGCTTAACTAAGGCCACACAGTCAGGATATGAACCCAGGACTCAACTGAACCCTCTGTGCCAAGGATGGGGAGCCCTTGGCTCTTCAGAACTTGCTTGACTTCAACTCCTATCAGCCTCAGTCAGACCAATGGTTGAGGATGATCATAAGAGCCCAACAATCTCTCATGGGGTTGGGGTGGCACAGGCTCCCCATTCTCGTTGTGTGTGGTGCATAGAGATTTAAACAACTTGAGAAAAGGCCTGCTGGATCAGGCCCAACACCCACCTGGCCCAGCACTCTGTCCTCACATTGACCTACCAGATGCCTAAGGGAAGCCCACCCACAAGCAAAACCTGAGTGCAACAGGATATCATCTGTTCTGGCAAGGGGTGCAGTGGGGTTCATAATGATGGTGAAGTTAAAGGATTATAAGCAGGCCATATAATAATATAATCGTGATTTTGTGATGATATATGATCATACAATCATGATAAAGTCAGCTCAAGTAGATGCCATCCTATGGCAAAACTAGTTGTGTGGTTATTTTTAAATGTTTCCTTAACTGCATTTTAGAATAGTGGTAGGTGTTCTAAAGTTTCATTGCCAAGCAAAATCAGTCAAATGACCGTTCACCCTGTGGTGCTGATGCTAATTAAAGAGAGCTCTTCCTCTGGGAGATCAGCTATCTGAACTGTGAATAATAAACGATGATGCAACAATAGACCAAGATGGGTTGGAATTCGATCCGGCTGCCCTAGATACCCCAACCTGCCCTTGCCAAACCCTAATCTTAAAATGAATTTTTAAAGACCACATGGGCAACATTCCTGCCACCACTCTTGGTTTCTGGGCTGCAGTAGCTTTTATTAAAATTAAATATCTAAATCCAGTTTTCCTTAAAAAATACTGACCCACTAGTCTTCACTTATATTAAAATCTGGCCTGGTGTTTAAAAATTGTATTCAATGGGATCTGAGAATTTGGATTTAAGTACAGTTTAAAGCTAAGGCATCTGCCCCTTCTCCACTTCTTTTCCATCTCTCACCATACATCAGACTTTGTCCATCTGATGCCGTCCAAAAACTTGGACTATAACTCCTACCAACCCCAGACAACATGGATGTGAGTTGCAGTTTAAAACATTTCAAGGGCACCTTGCTATGTGCATGGACAGCTCTTTCACAGTGACACTAACTGCAGCCCATTTTGGCTTGAGCCAATGCACATGAAAGTGTACAGAGGCTGTTCGAGTGAACCCTACTACGGCCACAGTTAACACAAGGTATGACATAACATCATTGACACAAGTGATAATCAATGACATGGAGTGTCAAATTCTGAACTGATCTTATGTTACACTTCTGCTTTAGTTAAATGTTACTGGGATTCAGGGGCAAGACACTTTGATTGTTGTTGGCCAACAGGGGGAGGCAATGTGGTGGCTCCAGATGTTGTTGGACTAGAATTCCCATCAGCCCCAGCCAGCATAGGTAGTGGTCAGGAATGATGGGAGTTGTAGTCCAATAACATCTGGATGATACCATGTCAACTGCTTCTGGGTTAAAGTGATGGTGATGAAAAGGTGAGAGCCGAGGCAATCACTGGTTCATTGGGCAGTGCAAATCTCACTTTGTCACTCTGCTATGCGAGAGTCTGCTCTCTGTATTCTTATGGTATTATATCCCCCCAATGGGCACTCAGTTGTCTCTCCCTTCACCACATTACACTTTTCAGGGTAATGTAAGTGAAAAAGAAGATGACCAAAATTGAGAAATTTGGAAGTAGGGAAGGGAGGGAGAGATGATGTTAGCGAGGGATGAAGGGCAGAAAATTGAATTACGAATATTCAGGGGGAAATGCTGTCCTCCCCTGGAGGCTGGAAGAATGGGAGAGATATGTTGGTGGGATGAGAGTTGCACTGTTGGAGGTGCCTTGGCTCCACTGACATAGATATTGCAAAAGTGCTGTCGGGCTTGTGGGCCAGGGGTATGTCCCACATCTCCAGCTCTTTTGCTTCCCCAAACTATAGTGGTCAAACTGTATGCTAACCCTGTGGCTGGCATAGTTAGTTGCCTTCGACTGCATTTAATGGGGGGCGGGGAGAGAGAGAAAATGCTGCCTCTCACCTCCTGCTCTGAGCATTACAAAACAGCAGCTCAATAGATTTGGCAGTAGCTATATCAGTAGATCTCCTCCACCCTTGGCATAAAGGAAAATTAGTTTTGCTCTGCTTGGCTGCAATCCTATACCCAATTAGCCGAAGTAAGTCCCATTGTGCTCAGTGGGGTTCACCTCTGTGCAGGGCTGCAAGAATTCATTGTTTTTTGTTCCACACTGTTTTCATCACATGCAGGCCTGCTTCCGTTCTGTTGCAGTTTGTCTACGTTATTTGTCTTGCTGTCCACTGTGGCAAAAATTACGTTGTCATTACATAGTTCCACCCCATATCCATTTCAATTCAAAAGAAACACAATGCAAATACAGAAAAACATAATCAATTGCATATCATTTGTGCACTGAAAGCAACAGCAACATCCAATACCGATTGTATTCACTGGATGGAGTTCTAGACATGGGACAATAAGCAAACAATGGCAATTTCCGCTCCTGTTTCCATTTTCATCAAAGTTCTCTGACATCCCGATCTCTGAGGAAGCATGCATAGGATTGTACTGTTAGGCTTTGGTTCAGCTGAGAATGAGGACTGAAGAATTAGGCCAAAGGTGTAATGGAAATAGTGATTTTTGAAAAATGTAGCATCTATATGTTGCTGTGGGAAAGATAAAAGCCTGAACACACCTATGCTTGCTTGCTTGCTTGCTTGCTTGCATGGTTTGTTTTATTTTAAGAACACAAGAAGAACCTACTGAATCAAGTCAGTGGTGCAGTTAGCCCAGAATCCTGTTCTCACAGTGACAAGACAGCTGTCTATTGAAAGCCCACAAGCATGCAAAAACTCTCTACCCTCCTATAGTGTTCAGCAAACAGTATTCCGAAGCATACTACCTCCAGCCCTGGAATGAGAATGTAGCCATTGTGGCTCGGAGCTTTTGATAGCCTACTCTTCCATGAATGTTTGTAAACCTCTTTTTAAAACCATCCAAGTTGGTGGCCATCACTGTGGAAGCAAAGGTCGTAGTTTAACTATATGCTAGGCGAAGAAGTTCTTTGTTTCCTCTGTCCTGAATTGTCCAATGTTCAGCTTCACGGATGTCTGCAGGTTCTAGTGCTAGAGAAGGACGAAAACTTCCTTCTGTCCATTTTCTCCTCAGTTTGCATAATTGTATGCACTTCTATCATATCACCTATTAGATGCTTTTTCTCTATACTTACAAGCCCCAAATGCTGCAACCCTTGATGGTTTGGGTTGCCATTTTCTGAACCTTTTCAGAATCAGTGGCTGTGAAGAGTCTGGAGAAGCATGCACACACACACACACACACACACACACACACACACACACACGTGGGGAGGTAGAAACAGATTTTCCTCTCACAGTGAAAATCTGAACTGCGTGAAAATTCAGCGGTGCCCTAATTCCACCATCAACCCACTGCTGCCATGTGAGAAATCTGTTATGTCTGGAGCTTCAATCCCAGAATAATAGGCAGGTAGGATTTTTAGACTGTAGTAATCTGATTGGCCATTGGAGTCATCCAATCCGGCCCAGAAGGGAAGTTTGAATCAGCCTATCAGGTGTGACCTGGGTGTGAACAAAAGATATATATCCTAGGGTCTGGGAGGGGCCAGACACACACATGCACTGAAAGACACACCCAATGACTGACTGTTTCTATTACAAACTTAAATAAACTCCATGAAACTGAGGATTCTCTCAGAGTATATTTCAAAATCCATCTAGACACTTTGTTAGATTCAATTTGTTAGATTCACAGCAAACTTTAAAAACAAATAAATCTGAAAACTAGAAGGCTTCATCTTCAATATGTGCAAAAATAAGGAGAGTTAGCACAAGGGTTAGCCAATGCAGTACCCTATAGATGTTGCTAGATCACAACTGTTACCATTCCTGAGCATGCTGGCTGCTTCTGATGGGAGATTGGAGTCCAACATTTGAAGAGCGCCATACTGGCTGCCTCTGAATTTAGCACACAGGAAGGCTTCCTTCCCACCTTTGCTTCCATAAAACTCAGAGGAGCTGATTTCTCTGCTTGAGGTGTCCGGAAGTAGTGGAAGGAAATGCCCTCTCTCCCTACTTTCACCTGTGGCTGACCCTACAAGCTGTTTTCTTTCTCTGCCAGACACATGAGAAGCGAAGAAGATTCAGCGGACCCCCTGGGGAATCACCCCTGAAGGCTAATAGGATAATGGAACAAGTTCCATGATCTCAGCTAAGTGTGGATTTGATGAAACAGCAGAGAGCTCCATTTAGCTATTTGGTAATAACATCACTCTGAAATTATGGTGGATCAATATGGATAAATATTAAAAAGCTTTGAGGAAGCGGAGGGAAATGGAGAGGAAAGTATTGAGTTTCTGTCTGGACTTTTCTACGGACAGAGGATGCACTCAAGGAAGACAAGAAGCAACGATGGAGTCAGGGACTGTCCTCAGTGCAATGGCAACTGATTAGGGTCAAACACTGCCCTTTAGTAGGAAGATTAATCCTGAGATTTCCTTTCCTTCAAAAAACATGTCACCCCAATGAGAATTACATTGATTAAATTACTAACAGGTGATTATTATTTTTTTGCATTTATTTTGTTGAGTATCTACAGTTACATTTTAAGGTCAGTTTTGTGAGGGCAGCTAAGAGTGAGGAAGAATTCTTTTTTCTGCAGAAAACATCATGATCTTCTAAAATTATTAGCTCTGTATGAACCAATGTTGACCTTCATACTCCTCAACAAATATTATTCCAAAGGCACTAAGGTATATCATACTTGGCGTTAAGTAATGTGCAGTATCATAGAATTGTAGAGTTGGGAGGGTCATCTAGTCCAACTATCTGCAAAGCATACGGTCCCCATCCAGTTTGAAACTATACTAGACCCTGGTTAGCTTTGCAGATGTGCTGGAAGGTTTATTGCTGTACCAAGATAAAGAACCTTCCCTTTCCAGACCCATTAACATTGAACAGAAAAAGATGTAAAATGTTGTACATAAGATCCTTCTCAGACACTGTGAGACTTCCCAGACATTACAAGCAAAGAGGATTGCTTAAGGGATTTAGTCTATGTGGATTCTGATTAAGGATGGAGGGAATTTAATTCAGTTTGCATGTAATGATGAATTTACCTAATCCATACTCAGGGGCGAAGGAAGGCGTCGTGACATCCAGGGCAGGTGTCACGACGTAGGGTGCATGTGCGCCATCGCTATGTATGGTGCATGTGCCGTACATAGTGACGCCGCACATGTGCTGTGTAGAGGTTTGCCACCGGTGCTGCTCCAGCACCATACAGACAGTGCCAGGATCCTTCCATCGCCGCTTCAGCCCCGTTCGTGGCTGCAGCAGCGAAGGAGGGACTCCGGCACCATCTGTACAGCGCTGGAGCGGTGCCGGGGGCAAACCACTACACAGCGCATGTGCAGCACCGCTACATACAGCACATGTGTGTGACGGCGCACATGTGCTGTACTTAGCGGATTGCTGCCAGTGCCAGGATCCTCTGTTCGCGGCCACAGGTGCGAACGGAGCATCCTCCAAAGGTGGCTGCGGTGGTGCGATGGTTGCTTGTGCTGCCGTGAGCCCCAGTGGGGTGATTTCTTATCTCCCCCGCAAACATGGAACCCGGGGCGTACTGCCCCCATGCCTCCCATTGCGACGCCACTGTCCATACTTTCCAAAGTACAAGAACTGAAACAGAGCCATCCTGCAAAATCTGCGGTCTCTGAATTTTGCCTTGCAGTTCCCCAGCCAAGTAATCGACTGGACTGTACCAGAACACTTACATTACTGAAAAGAACAATCGAAAATGCATTATGTATGGGGAAATTGCTTTCAAAATTGCAAAACTGCATGGGATTGCTTGCAACAAATATATATATAAAGCAAAATAGTATATAAAATTATGTAGATTGGGAGAAATGTGTCCTAAAATGACGTGCAAATGTGAATAACTGAACCTAAGATGAGGTGGGGGTGGGGAGAACTGAGGGAAAACAAAATTGACATATTTGCCTATCCTTAATTCGGATGCAAACTAACCCAATCTACACTTCTGGGGCTCGTGCAGATCAGACTTTAGTTGTTTGCCATATTTTGCACTTCTAGAATGTGCCAATACAGTGATCAGCATTTCTTTTTAAGTATAAGATGTGTTTTTAAAAGAGCATTTTAAAAGAAAATGCAGTTAGAAATGTGTTTCTAACAGGATAGAGTGGACTTGCGGGAGAACAAATACATTTGCAACACTGATGATTTGTCCAGCCTGGCAGACAAGTGCCGTCAGCCAAATGGGGAAGCGGTATCACAAGTGACTTGATTGTATTGTCCAAAGCTGCTCTGAGCTTATGAAGATTGTCGAGCTTATTAAAGATAAGTTTGTGTAATGAAACTGAAAACTCCAGCTGGGCCTAAAGGACAAGGTTGATACAAATATCTCAGGTAGTTTGGCTTCTTCCATGCTCTTTGTTTGAACCAAAGCATAAGGAAAAGGCTAGATCATGGGTAGGCAAACTAAGGGCCGGGACCCGGATCCGGCTCAATCACCTTCTAAATCCAGCCAGTGGACGGTCCAGGAATCAGTGTGTTTTTACATGAGTAGAATGTGTGCTTTTATTTAAAATGCATCTCTGGGTTATTTGTGGGGCATAGGAATTCATTCATCCCCCCCCCAAAAATATACTCTGGCCCCCCAAAAGGTCTGAAGGACAGTGGACTGGCACCCTGCTGAAAAAGTTTGCTGACCCCTGGGCTAGACTCTCAGCATCTCTGAGTGTACCTCCCAAATATCAAGTCTTGTCAGTCAAGTTCCTCCCACTCCCCTCGGTATGGGATTCAGATTTCTTGCTACTTATTAAGGTTTTATCTATATTTAGTACTATATACATAGTCCATTGTGTGGTGGATGCACATTGGATATATGTGGTTTTATCCAACACATGCATTTTGTACTGTGCCCTGGTTTCGGCTGCACGTAGAATGCATCGTTGACATTTCTAAGTGTGCTGCAGGCTGGCGTAATTGCAGCTGTGACCATAATGTGATCGTAGCTGTGACAGCGTTGGGTTATTTTTTTCCAAGGAAAGAAAGGAATGAAGGATGGATGGATGTACAGAAGGAAATAAAGAAGGAAGGGACGCCCTGGAATTATATATGATCATGTACCCCCATGTGATTGTTGTCATTAATAGTGAGGTTTGACCAAAGCTTTTTGTGGCAACGGAAATGTCTACGTACAATACTACTATGAAATGAATCAATACATAAATCTTGAGCTGCTTCTTGGGTGTTTTTTGTCTGCATATTCATTTCACAAAATTTCATGCACCACTTGATTGCAAAAAAACAATGACCTCAAAGCGGGTTGCAAAGCAGTCCCTTAGTGCAGCGGTTGTACACAGTAGTCGTCATGCAGTCTGAGATTTTATGCAAATGTTTATAAACATGATGACTGATTTCTTTTTGTAGACAGGCATCTAGGAAATGTTGACAAATGCAAACCTTGCATCTAATAGTGATCATAACTGTAGTGTGTGTGTGTGTATCTGTACTATTGTGATTACAGTGGCACCTTGGGTTACAAACGCTTCGGATTACAAACACTTCGAGTTACAAACTCTGCTAACCAGGAAGTAGTACCTCGGGTTGAGAACTTTGCCCCAAGATGAGAACAGGAATAGTGTGCCGGCGGCGCGGCAGCAGCGGGAGGCCCCATTAGCGAAAACACGCCTCAGGTTAAGAATGGTTTCGGGTTAAGAACGGACTCCGGAACGAATTAGGTTCATAACCTGAGGTATCACTGTATTGAGTGTCAGGCAGTTTGTGAAAACTCTTTCTCTTGGGGTCAGTAATATGTTTACAGTAAAGAGGGATTCTGGCAGAAAGCAGGTCAATAGCCTTTTCAAATTGATTCAGGGAACATTTTGATCTTCTATTAAGCTCAGATAAGACCTATCATCAGTAACAACAGAATATGCCCATCACAGATCTCTCAGTATCTTTATTTTGATGATTGCCTAGTAGGTAAAAGCCAACAATCTGTAAGGAATCCATCAACTGCCTACAATTTTCTTGGCTTGGAGTCACCTTCATCTATAGTGTTTGTCAGCTTAAAAAAACAAAAAACACCAACATAGGGTCATGTTCAAAGTGCTTTTCAGGCTTCTGTAAATTTCAACTGCCTTTTAATTACTTTTTAGTTGTCACAGTGCATTGTTCAATGCTGTGTTAAACAACCATACCCTTGATGTCATAACATAAAGCTTGATCAGGGTATCAGTGTGCTTATATGGGTTTCCCGGTGAGGAACAAATATGCCTACTTCTGGGCTTGGATCTCAAGCTGTTGATGTGCCCAAGTCACTCATTCTAAAGTGTCCTTTCACAGTTTGCACCCGTGAGATTTGCAATTGGTACCATGAACACCACAACCTGATGCCGTTAGCTTTCTGCTGTCAGGAGAGAGAGATTTTTTTTTTTTAAAGCCAACCTGCTTCTCCATTCTCTTGCTAGGAATCCTTGCTGTTACTGAAGGAAGGCCTCTGAGATGCCTTGATTGTCTCCCAGTGGCCTGGGTCACCTGACTCACTTGTTTGTTTGGATTGCTCTGTTCCCGGAGGTCACAATGGTGTTTTTGTTTTGCGTGAGAGTCTCCGGCACTTCCACTAACAGATCGCCTGGTTGCAGCTGAGCCTACAGTGAGAACCAAGGCAAGGGTAGAAAAAGGAAATAAAAATCCGATCAGTGGTTTCCCTCCCAGACCAAATCAGAGTACATTTCAGTCAACGGTCATGGGTTTTCTTCATTAAATTTCCCTCCAACTGTATCAGCGTTTCCGTTAGATGTAGCACCATTTCTTTCCAGACGAAATGCAAGGTTGTTGAAAAGCTGCTTTACACACACCAGAGGCGTCAACTTGCGAAGGATATTGCGGGGGCCTGGTGTCGCATGTGTGACGTCACATGTGCAACACACGACACACACACGTGACATCATGTGTGCATTATCGCATCATCGGGAAGAGGCCAAGTGCGGAGCTGAACACAGCTTGGCTACAATGGCCGGTGACTCCTCCTTCCATGGCAGGAGGAAGAGGAGCTGGCCACTGAAGCCATGCCATGCTCATCTCGAGAAGACCCTTATGGGGTCTTCACCACGGGATCACATTCATCCAGTGCTATACCAGCTGCACTGGCTCTCAGTGGAGTACAGGATCAGGTTTAAGGGGCTGGTTTAAACCTTTAAAGCCCTATATGGCCTAGGACCATCATACCTATGGGACTACCTCTCTTGGTACGCCCCAGGGAGGACCTTACGGTCTGCAAATAATAACACCTTGGAGATCCCAGGCCTCAGAGAGATTAGGCTGGCCTCGACCAGGGCCAGGGCCTATTCAACCTTGGCCCCTGTCTGGTGGAATGCTCGGCGACAAGAGATCAGGGCCCTGCGGGATTTGACATCTTTCTGCAGGGCCTGCAAGACGGAGCTGTTCCGCTAGGCCTTTGATCGGGGCTCAGCCTGATTCCCCTTTTCTTTTTGTATAAGAACTAATATGAAAGAGGCCTCCCAGCATTCTCACAGGCCCATACAAGATCAGCGTAAACAGTTGGGCCGGTGAGCACTTACTGTTCCCAACCCTAACCCTGTGAAAAGCCATCTAATTAGACTTCAATTTGATTTTGACCTGTTTATAGGAGGTAATTTAATTATTGTTTGATTTTATACCAATGTTATATATCTGATGTTAGCCGCCCCGAGCCCAGGGAGGGCAGGATATAAATAAAAGTTGTTGTTGTTGTTGTTGTTGTTGTTGTTGTTATCATCATCATCTCCACACTTGCCCTCCTCCAGCCCCTCAACATTATGGGGGAACCTCCAAAAAGATATTGGGTGGGTCCAAAACAGCTCTAACTCCTTGCGTTGGCACATATCCACACAAAAGAAAAATAGGTGGGGGAAATTTCCCTCATCAGAGTTTAACATGTAAGCCAGCGGTGTTGTTGGACTACAGCTCCCAAGCAACACGAACTGTTGGCCATGCTGGCTAGGGCTGATGGGAATTGGAGTCCTGGGGGGCACCATATTGACCTCCACTGGTCTAAGCATACTTACTTTTCTATGGAAACAAACCCTTAATTCAAACCAGCAGCTCCCAGGCATGGTATGTATATGTAAGACTATGTGTGTTTGTGTGATACTTTGTAGTGAGTTTCCTCCCTTCCCCTTTTAAAAATATCCTAGTCCAGCGTACCGGGGGTGTGGTGTGGGCTGCTTGTTGGACCAACATCTTAGTTAGTGGTTTACAAATGATTCCAAATAAATGATGTGGGGAATCTGAAGTCACACTAATAACAATAATTTTATTATTTATATGCTGCCCATTTGAGTGGGTTGCCCCAGCCACTCTGGGTGGCTTCCAACAAAATATTTAAACACAAAAACCTCAAACATTAAAAACCTCCTTGTACAGGGCTGCCTTCAGATGTCTTCTAAAAGTCAGATAGATGTTTATTTCCTTGACATCTGGTGGGAGGGCGTTCCATAGGGTGGGTGCGACTACAGAGAAGGCCCTCTGCCTGGTTCCCTGTAACCTCACTTCTCACAGTGAAGGAACCATCAGAAGGTCCTCGGAGCTGGATCTTTGTGTTTGGGCTGAATGATAAGGGCAGAGATGCTCCTTCAGATAGACAGGGCCAAAGCCATTTGGGACTTTAAACACTCAGAATCATACTGGGAGCCAATGGAGATCTCTTAGAACCAGACTAGAGGAAGTCCAAGCTGCAGTTACATCCTATGCCAGCCCTCTCCTGTTCTCAGGATAGGCAGAGCTGGTATGAAAAAGAGCCATGCCATAGATCTGTATGAGCATAGATGTTCCAGGTGAGCATCCAGATGACTTTGCACAGGAACAAGCTATATTGTTGTGGCTAAATGTAATGCTGGGACATGGCCTAAATCCCATTAATTTTAGTGGAGGAGATTTAAGCACATACTTAATTCTCCGATTGAAATAGATGAGCCTTAACAGTGCTTAACTTTGGCTGGAGTATGCCCTATCATTACAATTAAATTACAGGGATACACTGTCTACCACACTTAGCAGAAAGGACAATTTAAGATAATAGCTCAGTCATATTTCAAAGCTCATTCCACCCTTTTCTGCCTTGCCTCTGGAATGTGTAAGTCAAAGAGATCCAGATATTCTAATATGTGGCATATTAGAATTATGGTTGTCTTGGTGGTAGCCAGAAGTCACTGCAGAGCTGTTGCAATTGAGCAACAGAGATGCATTTTAAAGAAAGTTGCCAATTCATTGGGATGACTTTCTCCATTTATTCCCAAATCCTCTTGGCTGTGATCTGCAACTATTTTTCTGGAGGATCGCTTTGAGGAAAGCCAACGTTTCTTTGACAGAGTTTGGATTTCCTGAGCACTTTTGTGGTTATTCGTCTGAAGAGGTTTGAGGCTGCTGTTTGCCGGAAACTCCACCGACTTTTGAGAGTTGGGCTGGTCCCATGATGCTTCCATTGAGTTGGTTAATTAGTGTAACTCAGGGTAGTTCTTTCCATCCATGGAAGCAGAAAATAACCCAGCTGTGGGTATTTACAGAATGAACATTACAGGCAGCATTAGGCAATACTTGTCAGCCTCAAGGGCAGTACTGGTAATTTAGGATTCCGAAATATGTAGCTATATATAGGCCATTTCAGTTGACTTGGTTGACTTCAGTTGACTTTCAGTTGACTTTAGTTGATTTGGCCTGCCACTTCAGGGGGTGAGTGCAAGCACCAAATTTCTTTTTTTAAGGGGAGGGGCTTCCACAGGACATCTGCAGTTGCCCCCCCTGGTGGTTCTACCCCCAGGGGTAAGTAAGCTCAGGCCTAGAGGCAGGCCTCCCTATCTGCCTCTCAGCCATCTCCCTCACCAATCCTGCTCTGCAACCTCTTTGACTGCCTTTTCCTGGCTGGAATGTGGCCTTGAGTCATGACCCTGTCTCCTGCTTGCCTGGATGTCTGTGGGCATCTGAGCCAAACCCTCTGGATTTTGCATGGCTGGTATTTGCTCAGTCTACAAAGATAAGAGTCATATCCATTGCCCCACCCACATTTATATGTAAGCCTACCCACTTTTGCCTCATGGCCATGAGGCCTCCAGAATGTTGCCCACGAGAGAATGCTGCCTTTGGTCGGGAAAACTCTACCAGCATCTTGCTGTTGTTGCCAGCTGCTGCTGCTACTCTGCTTTCTCATCCCTACTACCTGCTTGCTTGCCCAGAAGGGGCGGTGAGGAAGCACACAATGACAGCTACTCTTCCTCTTCCCCGCCACTGCTATCCTTTGTGAGCTCATTCCCTCTGGGCCAGAGGGAGGTGCATATGAACACGCAGGTTGCAATGGTGACAAGCAAGAGAAGGTCCAGGGGACTCTTGTCAGTAGACCCTTTGTTGGGGTACTGATCCTAGGCAAGGGCCTGTTCATGCTGACCCTTGACCCCAACCCATGAAGGTGGTTGGTCCCCATGTGACCATCTTTAATCATTTCAATCAACTGCATAGCCTTTGCAATGCCTGCACATTGCTGTGGCGAGATGTTCATGTGGTTGAAATTAGTCCTGGCCATGCGACAAGTTCAACATGCAGTACATCTGGATGTCTGGCCAAATGATCAATTACTGCCTTCTCTGGCCAGATTAGCTTATTGTGATCAGTGGCGGAGTTAATCATTTTTTTCTTCCCTACACAAGCTGGCCCGACAACAGACAAATCACTTGGCTGTCCAGCAAGTTGTAGTTATGCATTATTTACAGAGCTTTGAAATTTCTCTAGGTGCTGTGCGAAAATCAGCAAACAACATTGGCTCCGTCTGCAGGCTTGAAATGTAGTACATGCCGCACATTAGGGGAAAAAAAAGAATCAAGGCAAAAAGGAAAACCATCAAATCCAGGCAGTGGCTCTTAACAGTGGTAATGTGCATTGACCGCTACTGAATGGCCAGCATTGTTTATTCTTAGCAACCTTTCTGTGCTAAGAATGGGTTACGGTACTTCTGATTTATTTATTACATTTGTATTCCACCTTTTCCCCCATCAAGGAATCTCATCCACACATTGGCCGAATCCATCCACACATTGGCCAGATCCAGACCAGCTTAGCTTCATCAAGCTGGTGCTGGAGAACACAATCCTTGACACACTAAATACAAAAAAACCCCAACTAGGTCTAAGGAAACTTAATATATTTATTTAACATATATATGCAAGATTACAGTATCTGGCTGATGGCCAATAGGATAAGCAATAATAACTGGGTAATCTTGTATGGTTTTACATTTCTATGCATTTGCAGTGTGTTATAACACTCCTTGTGCAGAAGGAGAAGCTGTCCAAATATTCCACTGATAAGGGCTCTTGAGAGTCAAAATATGTTGGGCAAGGCATTTGGAATGCCGTTTCTGCTATCAATCTTTAGTTGTGTTTTATATTGTTTCTAAACTCAAGTTTCGTGGTTTTTCTTACATGCCTGTGAAGTGCCTCAAGACTTACCAGTACGTGAAAGGTGATTCATAAATGAAACACAATAATAACAATTAATAACAACAACAACAACAACAATAATAATAAAATAAAAAACTGGCAGGACTCCCTCCAAGGGAATCTCAGCCTTGATCCTTCAAACATTCAATGTGTTGAAGTCCAGCTGGTGGGTTGGGGATAATCCGAATAAATCCATAGCTCTCCACCATCAGTGTCTCAGAAGCCCCTTCAATATTCCTGAGTTCCGAATTCCTGAAGTGGGCTTGTGTTCAAAACCCAGGTTTGCTAAGTTAGCACACTTGAAAAATGAAGGAGTGATTCTCATGGCGGTGCGAAAAAGGGAAATTTGCCCATTTTGATTGACTAGGTCAGTGATGGCCAAACTTGGCTCTCCAGCTGTTTTGGGACTACAACTCTCATCATCTCTAGCTAACAGGACCAGTGGTCAGGGATGATGGGATCTGTAGTCCCAGAACAGCTGGAGGGCCAAGTTTGGCCGTCACTGGACTAGGTGATTCCGTAAAACCGATTTGCAATAATGCAAGTCATCTTGTCAAATCCTATGAAATCTTCATGGCTTGCATACCTGCCTAACCCTGAAGGGGTTTCTTCCTTGTGCTCTGCAGAAAAAGCTGCAGCAAAGCAATGATTTAGTTTCTGGACAATCTCTTTATCCCCTTCGATTGCCCCTCCATAGCCCCCCAGTCTTGTCGGCCCACCATCTCTCCCACAAGGCATCTTATTTCTGGTGTACTTAAAGAAATCCTTATGACTTGTCGGCCTGCATTTGCCTCCTCGTTCTTCAAATTTGCTACTAGGCTTCTCTTAAATCTCCAATTTACATTTTGCCTGCCAACATTGCTCCTTTCCATCAGCATCACTTGGGCTGGATATCCAATTTCTTTTTAGAAGGGGACCTTTTCTTTTTTTACTTTATTTTTTTGACTGCATAAGTTCTAATTTTCAATACCATCTCTGTTTGCTAGGAGGCAAGTGCTGGCTTCATAACTGAATTAGGATACCCTTCATGGCACATTTCTGAACCTTTATCGCATCATCTTTTCCCCCTCCATTGTTCATTAATGTGTTAAGTAATTATTATAAAATCATGGAGCCCAACATGCAGCACTGTGAAGTCTTAGAACAGGAACCTGTGGCCTTCCAGATGATACTGAACCAACTCCCAGCATGGCCAGCATTTAGCCATGTTGACTGGGGTTGCTGTGAGTTGGAGTCCAAACGCATCTGGAAAGCACCCAGCCAGGGATGGAGGAAGAAATTCGGATCATTTAAAGGTGAACTTACTTAGTAGGTACTTCTTGAAAAAAGCATGTGCTCTTTCAAAATTCACACTTCTCTGAATTTTGCAATGCATTTCTGCAGCGAAGTAATGTGTGCAAAAATGCATTAACCAGGGTAAAATGTGCATAAAAATCTATATATTGGTGAAGAGGGCATGCAGAATTGTGTATATTAGGAGAAATTCCCCCTGGAATGCTGATGAATTTTCATAAGGACTTTGTTTAAGAAACACTACCTGACATGGAAATGTGGAAATGAAATTTAAGAATGGAAAAATGAGATACCAAAATTGACAGATTTGTCCTTTTCTACACCAGATTGGGAAAACTGTCCTAATTTCATTATTGATCTTCTATCATATCCAGTTATCTTAAAATGTAAGATTCTTTCTCCCTGAATCAAGAAAAGTGGTGGAGAATCTTTGGTCCTCCAGATGTTATTGGGCTACAGCTCCCCTCTTCCCTCACTATTGTCCACATTGGTTGAGGCTGATGGGAAGTTCATAATAAAAGGACCCACAAGTGCAGTATGACAAAAGCTAATTTCTCAAACAAGTGTGCCTTCACTGCATAGCCTTACAAGGCAAAACTGAGAAAACATTTAGCTTTTTAAGATGGGCAGTTACTGAACAGAGCTAAGTGCTGTGCTCGCTTCGGCAGCACATATACTAAAATTGGAACGATACAGAGAAAATTAGCATTGCCCCTGCGCAAGGATGGCACACAAATTTGTGAAACATTTGAGAGAGAGAGAGAGAGAGAGAGAGAGAAAGAAAGAGAGAGAGCCAAGTGCTCAGGTGATATTATAATTAAATCAAACTAGTGTATCTCATTTATTTTATATTTACTTCTAAAAATATGTATGTACCGTAAATTCACAAAGCATTTCACAATGACTTCATATAAAACAGGTACAATAAAGGTAAAGGACCCCTGACCATTAGGTCCAGTCGTGACCGACTCTGGGGTTGCGGCACTCATCTCGCTTTATTGGCCGAGGGAGCCAGCGTACAGCTTCCGGGTCATGTGGCCAGCAGGACTAAGCCGCTTCTGGCGAACCAGAGCAGCGCACGGAAACGCCGTTTACCTTCCCGCCGGAGCGGTACCCATTTATCTATTTGCACTTTGACGTGCTTTCAAACTGCTAGGTTGGCAGGAGCAGGGACTGAGCAACGGGAGCTCACCCCGTCGTGGGGATTCGAACTGCCAACCTTCTGATCGGCAAGTCCTAGGCTCTGTGGTTTAACCCACAGCGCCACCCGCGTCCCTAAAACAGGTACAATAGACACCATCTATAAAAAAGGTTAAGACCATAAACAGATAACTGTTGTGGAGAGATGTATTCTTACTTGCTTGTGTAAGCCTGATGGAATAGAAAAGTTTTCAGCAGTTGTTTAAAACAGTTGCAACAGAACATGCCTGCTGAATATCTGTTGGCAGAATACTTCAAAGGAATGGTTTGATGACACGAAAGGCTCAGTTCCTTATTGTTGTCAAATGAGCCTTGCCAACTCAGAAAATGACCAATGATACTCCGGCAGGTGTTTTCAGTGATGGAGCTGGAATATAAGGGTTGAGGCAGTTCTTGTACCCTTTCATCCCAGTCTAAGACCTTTTGTGCAAGCAACTTTTCTGAATAGTTCAATCCCTCTGTTTTACCAATACGTCACAAGCCATGGCATTATAGGTGTTACTCCTACAATACTGATGAATGCTCTGGCACTGCATGGCCAAGGATGCCAGGCCTATGTGTTTATCAAGGATTGTCCCCGCTTACCAGCTTAATTTCAAGGAGGGTTGCATTACTTGATGGATTGTGCTCTATGGGTGTTGTGTGCGTTTTTCAACTTCATGCTAAATCCCTGATGTGGGCCTCAATAGAGACCTGATTCCAAGCCCCAATCATCCCTCCAGTCTAGGAGCTTCAATGTTAGGTTATCCCAATGGAGATTTGGCAGTTATAAGAAAAACTTTAAATGTTTTTGTAAAAATAAAAATCACATTATGATGACAGACAGCACTAATCCAGTGTCCATTCACAGCATTCTACCTAAAAGCTGCTTAAGTTAGTCTGTTGAGTACAGGGGAAAAAAATCTGTCTGCTCAGTCCATTCCAATCCAATTATCTTGCTTATAAAGAAACACAAAAAGAGAATACTTAAGGAAGAACTTGTGGAGAAGAAACTGGACCATGAACAGTTTCTGCTGTAGATTTTCAAAGATATAAATTTCCACTTGGATCTTTAATAGTTTTGAGTCCTGTCTTTGTACCTGCACTTTCTGAAGTGCTGCTGGGTGGGTGGGTGACTGAATATTTGAAACGAAACACAGCCATCATTTGAAACGAGCACTTCTCTAAATTTTGTAATAGTTCTCCAGCCAAGAAATATGTACAAAAATGCATTGTATTAGGGAAAATTGCATACAAAAACGTGTATATTAGGATAAATTTGCAATGAAATGATGATGAATGTTCAGGAAAACTTTAAAAAAATAAATAAATCACAAACTGGAACTGAACTCAAGATTGGAAAAATGAGAGAACCCTCAATGGTCAGATTCATCCATCCCCATTTGCTATTGTAACAACTCTTGGGAGATCTAGATCTGCTATAATTTATAATTTTTGTTGCCCCCCCATGTCCTGCTAATCAGCATGCTTATGTGTGTAAAGGGGATGGACAGTGCTCCCTTGCACCAGTGCACATATCTGCTTTTACAACGAAAGGGAACATTCACTTGAGAGTGAATGCAATGGTATTTTAGGAAACATCGTGAAATGCAGATGTGCAAAGCCCTGTAAAACCCCCAGAAGCTCACCAGATATTGTTGCTCCTCTTCACAGTGGCTATTTTACCCACAATCCCTATAGAATCATGGCTCAAAGATTGCTCTAGTGAGTGCTTTGGTGGTAGGGGAGATAGCCTTGTAGCTGGCACTGAGAAGGGCCTTTTTTAAAACCCAGAAGTCCCTATTACAGCGATGTCACCCATAGTGGTGTTTTATGGAGGTTGTGTGGGCTAACAGGAGATGTCAGAACTCTGTTCACACATGGTGAACCTGCTGTCTGGAATCTAGTGCTTGCTCATCCGAATTGAAAAAAGACTCCCCTAGCACTTTAATAATAATAATAATAATAATAATAATAATAATAATAATAATAATAATCCTGCCCTTCCTTCCTTCCTTCCTTCCTTCCTTCCTTCCTTCCTTCCTTCCTTCCCTGGCCACTCTGGGCAGCTTCCAACAAAAGATTAATAATACCATACATTAAACATCAGTCATTAAAAACTTCCCAAAACAGAGCTGCCTTCAGATGTTTTCTAAAAGTCAGATTGTTTTTTTTCTTCATTCCTTATGAATGAGGCAGCAAAGAGGATGGGTGGGATTTCAGCCCTGCCTTGGATATACACAGTTACTCTGAGTCACGTGTAACTATTACAGGCTAGAATTCTAACAGCACAACCTGCAGAATACCAGTGGACAACAAAAGAGGCTTAAAGACGTTCTCAAGGTAAATCTTTAAAAATGTAGTATAAGCACGGATAACTGGGAAACATTGGCCTACAAGTGGTTCAGCTGGAGAACAGCCTTTAACAAAGGTGTTGTGGACTTTGAAGAAGCCAAACTCAGGGTGAAAAGGAGAAATGAGCTAAGAAGAAGGCACGTTTGGCAAACCCTCACCGTGATCAACTCCCACCCAGAAACCTATGTCCCCACTGTGGAAGGACGTGTGGATCCAAAATTGGCTTCCACAGTCACTTATGGACTCAAAGTTAAGACCATGTCCATGGAAAATCATCTTACTCAGCTACAAGTGATCACTAAAGAAGAAGAATGGACAGCACCAGTAAACTAGACATCTAAATTTAAAAGTTTGGAGAAATAATTATTTCCAGTAATGTCCAATTTATTGTACTTTAAAAGATTTATTTCTGGTTATTTCTTTATCTATAAAAAAGCCAATTTTGTGTTTACACAATCCCAGTGACAGGAAGAATGATAGCAGGGACTTCTGTGTCCACATTCTTCCCTATTCATTGGAATGGTGGAGTAAATTTCCACTTGGAATTTTCTCTTCATCAAAATGAGGAATTATTTCCTCCCCCTTCCCTATGCTTACCTGACTTACCCAAGGTGGCAAAAGGGTGTTTGTGAGAGTCCTTTCTTTCATTCTGCAAATCACCTAATCAGCAGTTCATGCAATGCAGCCTTCCCGGGTGCTTGTGCTGCAATGAAAGCCCAGGGGATGGCGTCATGAGAGAACTCTCATGGGGATTTTTCAGATCAGAAAGCATGGGCAGCTGGCGAGGCTGCAAAGTGTGGGGCAAGTATTTATCGGGAAGAAAAAATGTGCTACCTTGCACTGATAAGCTGAGAACACTTGCATCCACAGAAATTTGGAGAAAATTCTAAAGCGCCATGGGAAATAATGATCTGTTTTGGAGGGGTGGAAAACGTCTGAAAAAACTGAGATTTTGGCATGGCATGAATTTGAGCATCCCAAATGCTCAATTGGGTTTATGACATATTCATGCAAACAACCCCTCCCTCCCTGCAAATTTTTTTTGGGGGAAGTTGCCTCTTCTTGATTTGTTGTTGAATTAAGCCCTTAATTTATAAAGAGGACTGCATTCTTACCAGCATGTCCTTTTATTTTCTTTCTCAGATCACATAACTTCCTGCATGAAGTCATCTTTTTCTCTCCCATGTTCTCTTCCCCCCTTTCCCCTCCCTCCATCTCTTCCCCCCTTTCCCCTCCCTCCATCTCTTTCTCCCCCTTCCCCTCTCTTACGATTTGCTTTTCCAGTCGTACTTCTCTCTGGGTCTCTCACTCAGTGATGAATGAGTTTCATTCATCTTTCTCTCTCTGTGTTTTTTTGTTGGTTTTTTTTTGGTGTGAAAAGCTTTAGACTTCACTTGCTCCCATTTTTCCCCACTCGCTATTCATTGCCATGGCGACGGAGAAAGAAGGGGGTGGCAGAGTGGGTGGCAATGGGGTTGGAGGTCAAGAGTGGCCACTTTCTGAATTAAAGCTTTGAATTCCATTAGGGGTGGCACAATGTAACCTAGAGTAACTCTCCAAGAAATTGGCTGTCAAAAGAATCAAAGCAAAAAAAGGGGGGTGAGAGATGGAGGGAGGAGACGAAGGGGGAAGAGATCAGGGAGAGAGAACGTTAAGCCCTTGCCGTCTCTGTCAGGATTACATTTGGCGACTTAATAGAGCCGTGATTCATTTGTGTAGCCATGTGCCATGTTTCGGCGGCCCAACTCTTCAAGTCTGCTCCCGAGTGATGGAGAGTCCTTCCTCGACAATGCTAACAGATCTCATTTCTTCAAGTGGAGATTAGGGATGGTGGTGTGTGTGTGTGATTTGGCTTGCAACCCATTCACAGTAGCCACATTCGCACCATCCATTTAAAGCAGTATGAAACCACTTTAAACACTAGTGGCTTTCCCCAAAGAATTCTGGGATGTTTACTTTGTTAAGGGTGCTGAGAGTTGCTGGAGATCCCTATTCCCCTCCCAGAGCTACAGGCCATGCCTCTATATCTATCGTTTAAGACTCTTCATAAATCAAACCCTCTCTCCAGGTCATGCCCCTCACTAACCTTGCTTCTTTTTTCCAACCAGAATGTGTCTTGAACTGAAACAATGCCTTTTGCTAGTTTGAATGGGGAGGTGTGTAGTTGTGGTTGTGATGTAGAAAGCTTTGACATGGCTGCAATGCAGGACATTCACAGGGAAACCAAAATGCTTGTTTACAAAGCTATTGTACTACGTATGCTTGTGAAACATGGACCACTTATAAATGCCATCTCAAACTCCTTGAAAGATTCCATCAACGGTGTCTCCAAATTTTTTTTTTTTTAAAGATATTTATTAAGATTTTCAAAATGTTACAAAACAAAAACAAAAGAAGAAAAAAGTACAAAAATAAAAATGGCTAAAAACAACTCAATCTTTCCATTACTTATTTTTCATTAGCTTATTTCCCGGACCTCCTCACGCCTCCCTTTTTTGTATTCCAGTTCAGTTTGTTGGTTCAGCAAATCCTTACCCTCTTTGTTTATCCTAATCTTTAATCTTAAAATATTGTAACGTTAAATTTTTACCTATTAATAATCCATTTTTCATGTTCCCTTATAGTATTACAGCTGAAAACCACTTAATTTCTATCCAACATCATTCTAACATTCATTAATTTTACAATATTTCTGTAGATAGTCCTTAAATTTCTTCCAATCTTCTTCCACCGACTCTTCTCCCTGGTCTCGGATTCTGCCAGTCATTTCCGCCAATTCCATATAGTCCATCACCTTCATCTGCCATTCTTCCAGAGTGGGTAGATCTTGTGTCTTCCAATACTTTGCAATGAGTATTCTTGCTGCTGTTGTGGCATACATAAAAAAAGTTCTGTCCTTCTTTGGCACCAATTGACCGACTATGCCCAGGAGAAAGGCCTCTGGTTTCTTCAAGAAGGTATATTTAAATACCTTTTTCAATTCATTATATATCATCTCCCAGAAAGCCTTAATCCTTGGGCACGTCCACCAAAGGTGAAAGAATGTACCTTCAGTTTCTTTACATTTCCAACATTTGTTATCGGGCAAATGATAAATTTTTGCAAGCTTGACTGGGGTCATGTACCACCTGTATATCATTTTCATAATATTCTCTCTTAAGGCATTACATGCCATAAACTTCATACCTGTGGTCCATAACTGTTCCCAGTCAGCCATCATTATGTTATGTCCAACATCTTGTGCCCATTTGATCATAGCAGATTTCACCGTTTCATCCTGAGTATTCCATTTCAACAGCAAGTTATACATCTTTGACAAAATCTTAGTTTTGGGTTCTAACAGTTCTGTTTCTAATTTTGATTTTTCCACCTGGAAACCAATTTTCTTGTCCAAGTTATATGCCTCCATTATCTGATAATAATGAAGCCAGTCTGGCACTATGTTGAGTACTTACTCAACACTCGGCAATTTCAGTCTATCTCCATCTTGTTCCAAAATTTCCCAATATTTCGGCCATTTGGCCTCCATATTGAGCTTTTTCAGAGCTTTCGCTTCCATCGGTGATAGCCACCTTGGGGTTTTATTTTCCAATAAATCCTTATATCTTATCCAAACATTAAACAATGCTTTCCTGACAATATGATTTTTAAATGCTTTGTGTGCTTTGACCTTATCATACCACAGATATGCATGCCATCCAAATACATTATTAAAACCTTCTAGGTCCAAAATGTCAGTGTTTTCAAGAAGCAGCCATTCTTTCAACCAGCAAAAAGCTGCTGATTCATAGTAAAGTTTAAAGTCTGGCAGGGCAAATCCACCTCTTTCCTTTGCATCAGTTAATATCTTAAATTTTATTCTGGGCTTCTTGCCCTGCCAGACAAATCTAGAGATGTCTCTCTGCCACTTCTTGAAGCAATCCATTTTGTCCACAATTTGCAATGTTTGAAACAAAAACAACATTCTAGGCAATACATTCATTTTTATCGCAGCAATACGACCCAGCAGTGAAAGCTTCAAATTTGACCAAATTTCTAAATCTTTTTTCACTTCAGCCCAGCATTTTTCATAGTTGTCTTTAAATAGGTTCCCATTTTTTGCTGTCATATTAATCCCCAGGTATTTCACTTTCTTAACCACTGTTAAACCTGTTTCATTCTGAAACCTCTCTTTCTCAATCGGTGTTAAGTTTTTCTCTAAAACCTTGGTTTTTAACTTATTCAGTTTAAATCCAGCAACCTGACCAAATTCTTGAATCAGTTCTAAAACCCTTTTGGTACTAGATTCTGGCTCCTGTAACGTCAGTACTAAGTCATCTGCAAATGCTCTCAATTTGTACTGTTTAGCTCCGACTTGTATACCTTTAACCAACTGGTCCCTTCTAATCATATTCAGCAAAACCTCCAGGACCGATATAAACAGCAATGGGGAAATTGGGCAGCCTTGTCGTGTCCCTTTTTCTATCTTAAATTCTTCCGTCACCACATTATTCACAATTAGTTTAGCCTTTTGTTCTGAATAAATTGCACTTATACCGTTTTCAAAACCTTGGCCTACCCCCATCCCCTGTAGGTTCTTCTTCATAAAACTCCAAGAGATATTGTCAAAAGCTTTCTCCACGTCCACAAATATCAAAACTGCTTTAGTATTTATGTTCACTTCTAATTTTTCCAAAATATTAATTATATTCCTCAAATTGTCAGACAAGTGTCTTCCCGGGAGAAAGCCCGCTTGGTCTTTATGAATCTCTTCCATCAACACTTTTTTCAATCTCTTGGCCAAAATGTCTGCAAAAATTTTGTAATCCACATTAAGTAATGATATGGGGCGGTAGTTCTTAAGCTGAGTCTTTTCAGTCTCTGTTTTCGGTATAAGTGTAATATACGCTTCTTTCCACGACTCTGGTGCCCTTTTCCCTTCCAATATTTCATTACAGACTTCCTTTAAAGGTTGTACTAACCACTCTTTCAAGGATCTATAGTATCTAGAAGTCAGCCCATCCGGTCCTGGAGATTTGCCCAATTGCATGTTTTGAATGGCACCTTCTACTTCCTGTTCAGATATTTTATAATTCAACATTAATTTACTTTCTTGAGAGATTTTTTGTAGTCCATTTGTCTTCAAAAATCAATCTATGTCCCTTTCTTTCTGTGGCCCTTGTGTGTATAATTGTTTAAAGTACCTCTGGAAACAGTTTCTAATCTCAGTTGGGTTGTGAATGTTCTTTCCTTCCACTTCTAAATTTGTGATAGTATTTAATTTTTGCCTTTTTTTCATTTGCCAAGCCAACAATTTCCCACATTTATTAGCTGATTCAAATGTTTTTGTCTCATTTGTTTAATTTTCCATTCTATTTCCTGGTTCATCATTTCCATATATTGTACTTGATATAACTTTATTTCTCTCAAAATCTCCTGCGACTTTGGTTTTGCTCTCAATTTCTTCTCGCTTTCTTTTATTTTCTCCAGTATTTTATCTTTCTTCTCATTTTGGCTTCTCTTCTTTATAGCATTCTGTTGTATCAGAAACCCTCTCATGACCGCTTTGCTTGTGTCCCAGATTACTCTTTTTCTACATTAGTATTCATATTTATCTCAAAATAGTCTCTCAAGGTTTTTGGGCCTTTTTATACACTTCTTCATCTCTGAATAAGGTGTCATTCATCCTCCATCTGAAGGAGCCAGTTGATATTAGTTTCATCTCCATCCTTACAGCATTATGGTCGGAGCAGGTTTTTGGACAAATTTCCGCTTTCTTTATCTTTGGTGCCATTCCTCTAGTTACCCATATTTGGTCAATTCTAGTCCATGTCATCTTGGCTTCAGAGAAGAAGGTTCCCTCTCTTCCCAAGGGATTCTTTGTTCTCCAAGTATCAACTAAGTCCAAGTTGTCTGTCATCTCAAAAAATGTTTTCGGTAGTCTACCATCCTTGGTGACCACTTGTCTTTGTGCCTTATCCATATTTGTAGATACTACTCCATTCATATCCCCCATCAAAATCAGATTGTAATCCAAATAGTCCATTAAGGTCTCATGCAACTTTTTAAAGAATTCAGATTTCCCCTCGTTCGGTGCATAAATTCCTACTATCAAAAATGTCTCTCCTTGAACTTGAATTTCAATTGCCACAAATCTTCCTTGATCGTCTTTAAAAATAAATTTCGGTGATAGCCTCTCCTTTGCATAAATCACTACTCCTCTTTTTTTAACTTTATCAGATGAAATAAACTCCTGTCCCAATCTCTTGTTAATCAAAACTTTCCTGTGTAGCCTTATCACATGTGTTTCCTGTAGGCAAATCAAGTCCAATTGTTCCTTTTTTAGTAAATGAAAGACACTTTTCCTTTTCCGAGGAGAATTGAGGCCATTACAATTCCAACTTAAAAGTTGCAGAGCCATGATGGGGTTACTTCGCTTTACCTCCAACTGCGCCAAGTGTTTGTTCTTGTTCTGTCGGTGGTATCACTTTCTCTGGACCTTGCAATCCAAAAGATAAGTTTGCTATATCTATTATTCCTCTTTCCAGTGCTTTTGGCTCTTCTCCAGATTCCACTTCTTTCTGTAGATCTTCTCCGTGGTCTTTCAAGAATTTATCTTTATCATTGACTGATCTTATTTTTATCTTTCTTCCTTTATATTTAAAGGACAGGCCTTGGGGGATTCCCACCTAAAGATGATTCTATTACTTCTCAGCAGGGCAACCAGATCTCCGTAATTAAGCCTTAAGTCCAAAAGATGTTTTGGAATGTCCTTAAATATCTCCACACTTGAATCATATATTTCCAGAGTCTTTTGGTAATGCAGATTCAAAATTTTATCTCTCTCCTCTTTTGTTTGAAGGGTAATCAAACAGTATCTCACCTTGTTCTTCCTTCCTCCTCTTCCAAGTCTAAATGCGCTCACTATCTTAAATTCTTCCTTCCCCAAATCCTGTTGCCAGAAATGTGCGAATTCCTGCGTAAGAAAGTCAATCAAGTTATCTTTCTCAAGTTCTGGTACAGCCCTGATTCTCAAATTTCTTTGTTTCTCTTTCAATTCAATCATAGACAACGTCAAACCGTGGTCCTCGAGTTGCCTATATATCAGTGGTATCTTCTCTTGAGTGGCAGTTGCTATGTCTTTTGCTTCTTCAGCTGTCTTTCGGGTCAAGGCAGATTCCTGTAACAATTTCTCAATAGTCTCTGTATTGGTATTCACCTTCTGTCCCAAATTATTGATACTTGTAGTATTTTGATCAATTTTAACTGATGCTTCGGCTACTTGTTTATTTGTTTCAGCTACTTGTTTAGTTAAATTTTCCAAAGATTCATTAATTTTTCCTAGTGCCAGAGCCAAAACATCTTCAGACGACATTACTTTTGATTTAACTTGTGGGGGGTGCAGCCCCTGATAATCCAGATGGTCCAGAAGGACCAGATGTTGAAGCTCTTCGCTGCGACGCAGTATCTGTCCGATAGGGTCTGCCAGACCTAGTAGTTTTTTCCTCTAACTTTCCTCTTCCATCTGCCATAACACTCTCAAGAAGTCCAAGGTCAGTCCCACGGTTAGAATTTGTTTTGAAATGGAAAGTTCCCCAAGCCTCAAGTTGTTATTGTAGCAATGTCAAACCTCCTCTAGGGGGACACAGTAACAGTCAAAACTTGCAACTTGAAAAAAAAAAATAGTCCTTAAAATCCCCCAATTCACGAAAAAACAACAGTTTCAATTGCACTTAATCAGTTACTTTAAAGCCAGGAGAAGTCCAGAAACACTGTATCTCTCTTGCAGAGTTAGCTGTCAAAAGTACTCTGTTTACCGATAGTGCTTTTCACAGAGCGGCATTCCTTGTCTCAGGGCAGTCCGTTCCCAGGCTCTAAGCGGTGGATTTTAGCTTCCTTTCCCTCTTTTTTTTGCAGTTAGATACAGTTCAAACCTTTCCCCCCTCCTCTCCTGCAATCCGGAGGGGAGATCGCTTTTCTGATGTTAGGATTTAAGTATTTTTTCAAGCGTCTTTCAAGGTTTCCGCTTACAGTCTCTTTGCTTTGATCTATTTACAAGAAAGGAAGGCGGACTTCCTGTTTATGCCTTCCCGCTTCGGTGCCGAATTAAATTATTTTTCCCTTTAAATCCAATTTTATCCTACTCACGGGTAGTTACTTTAGAGGTCAAATTGTCCCAGGAAGAAGTCAGCGCTCTCCGATAACGGCTGTGCGGCTTCACTCCGCGGAAAAAGCAGTCGACTCTCAGCACCGCGCCGCTCACCCCGTCTCGCTCCGGAACCCCTAAAGGGGTCCCTTCGCAGTTTGGGGGGGCGCAAAAGGTGCCCGCCGAGTCCCCACGTTCACAGGCTTCACCCGCCTGTGATTTTTAAAGGGTCCCCACTTCGCCGCAGCGGTCAGACCCGATCCCGCGGAGCTAGTCCCTCAGAGACTCAGAGGGAATCCGCCATTATCGATGGCGCCAACCCGGAAGTCGGTGTCGCCGAAAATTTTTACACATCACCTGGGAAGTCAGGTGAACTAATGCCAGTGTACTGGAAGAAGCAAAGATCACCAGTGTCAAAGCAATGATTCTTCAACATCAACTTCGTTAGACTGGTCATGTTGTGCAGATGCCTAATTATTGTCTTCCAAAGCAACTACTCTATTCTGAACTTTAAAATGGTAAGCGCAATGCTGGTGGTCAACGAAAGAGGTTCAAAGACCCTCTGAAGGCAAATTTTTTAAAAATGTAGTATAAAGACCAACAACTGGAAAACACTGGCTTGCAGGCACTCCAATTGGAGAACAGCCTTTACCAAAGGTGTCATGGTTTTGAAGACGCTTGAACTCAGGACGAAAGGGAGAAACATGCTAAGAGGAAGGCATGCTTGGCAAACCCTCACCATGATCAACTCCCGCCCAGAAACCTATGTCCTCACTGTGGAAGGATGTGTGGATCCAGAATTGGCCTCCACAGTCACTTATGGACTCACTTTTAAAACCGTGTTTATGGAAGACAATCTTACTCGGCTACAAGTGATTGCCAAAGAAGAAGAAGAAGATGTAGAAAACTTTGACATGGCTGCAATGCAGCCCAATGTGCCCTTGCCCCACCCACTTTTATCCTTAGCCTCAACCCACTACTGCCAAGCAACCCACAAAAAGTACTCCATATGGGAATGCAGCTCTCAGACAAAGGTTCCCCGCCTCTCTCCTAGGGGATACCTGCCATGTTGTTTGAGAAATGTAGGAAATGGTGTGACAAGCTATACCAGGCTAGCAAACGCAGCACCCTCTAGACGCTGCTTGATCCCCATCTCCAGTCAGCTCCAGCCAACATGGCCAGTGATGTAAGCTGCAGTTCAGAAACATTTGGGGGACACCACTTGCCTATGCTAAAAATCACCAGTCCTCGCTTAGCTATAAACTTGCTGGGTAGGGAACTCACCCACTGTCTCTCAGCCTTAACTCCTCCCCAAACCGTAATATGCAGGATAAGCACTCTGGCCTACTTTACTGGCTTGTGGCAAAGATTATTGGGGTAACCTAAGCACTTTGAGTGCTTATGAAAAGTGCTTCCTCTGCTGTGTGTAGGATCCAAGCAGGAAGGAAAGTCTCTAAAGCTGAAAAAGGAAAGATAAGCATTTAGATGATTCAACTTGTGCTCAAGAAAGGTTATGATAGTCAAGAGGGACAATTACTACAATGGGTACAGGTTTAAGCGTAGCTCTCCCTCCCCCTGGGTGCCGCGCTGATTAATAGTACATGAGCATTTCCCCCAGTGAGGACACACAGTAAAAATACATACCTTGGCATTCTTCTGTCACAAGAAAGAAATATGTGTGATGAATGATGCTAGTCAGGAAAGAGCACATTATTATTAACTAACTAACTAACTAAATTTACTAGTCACTTTTTTGCCATGGCAACGAAATGTGACTTACAATATTTTAAGGAAACAAACAAACAAACAAACAAACAAGCAAACACATACATACATACATACATTAAACCCAGCACTTAACAAAATCGCCCTCACCAAAAGCCCTTATATAGTTAAAAGTGAAATGAATATTTACACCTGGCACCAAAAGATATGTAAAGATGGCCCCAGGTGTGCCTCCCCAGGGAGGTGAGGAGCCACTGCTGAAAATACCTGTTCTCATGTTGCCACCTTTCAGATCTCCTGTGGTGGGAGAGAAAGGCATAAATATAGTTATCTGCTTTATAAGGACTCAGACTAATGGTCTACACCAACTGGAGGTGGCGCTGTGGTCTAAACCACTTGCCAATTGGAAGGTTTGAATCCCTGTGACAGGGAGAGTTCCCGTTGCTCTGTCCTAGTTCCTGCCAATCTAGCAGTTCGAAAGCATGCCAGTGCAAGTAGATAAATAGGTACCACTGTGGCGGGAAGGTAAACGGCATTTCTGTGCGCTCTGGTTTCCATCACAATGTTCCGTTGTGCCAGAAGCAGTTTAATCATGCTGGACACATGACCCGGAAAGCTGTCTGTGGACAAACGCCAGCTCCCTCGGCCTGAAGCAAGATGAGCACCGCACCCCATAGTTGCCTTTGACTGGACTTAACCATCCAGGGGTCCTTTACCTTTACCTTACCTTCCAGGGTCTTAAAGGGGGAATCTTTGAAGTGGAAGGAAAAGGAAAGTATCTCCTGCACAAAACTAAGGCTCTGCAGATGCGAACCAGTTAATTTGTTTGAAATCTTGGCTGCAGTATAAGAACTGAATGCTGCATTTCCTATTACTTGTCGTTTCAGTTTATAGAGATTTGCTTTATTTCCTTCAGAATGGTTGTGTGGTTCATATGCAAATTGGACAGATTAATTGACTAATCAATTAAAATGCACACGAGTCATCAGCTAAAGCCCTTTACACATGTTTGGAATGTGTTGACAGAGTGCGCAAAGGTGGACACGGGGTGTCCTGACATCTCCCCCTGACCTCCAAGCCTTGATCAGCTCTGTGTACACAGAGCCTGCTTCTCCGCAGCTTTTATGCCTGCCAGCTTTGTGAACTCAGAACTGATCAACATGTGGAGGTCAGGGAAAGGGATTCAGCATCCCCAACAAGCTTTGAGGGCTTATGCTTTCTTCAGGGAGCTGACAGTCCGAGTTATGACTGTTTTGCAAAAAAATATGTATATACGCAAGTTATGTACTTACTCTGCAGTGGATGGTAATGTTGATCCTTTTCTCTTTTTTGCTTGGTGGCTAGAAGACTGGGCATCTTCTGGTAGGGAGCCAGTGCCTTATGATGGAATTGAAAGTGAGCTGCAGAGAGCAGGGTGCAGCACACTGCAGGAGACCGTGTATTGTAATGTGCACAGAACGCTGATTTATTGTGGCACCATTCAAGCGTGGGGCTATTACTGCAGGGGGACGGTTGTTTGTTGAATGCGTTTGGTGGCTGGGAAGCTCCCAGGAGGCCTTGCTGCCACACCAAGGGAAAAGTTCGTGCCCTTTCCCTTCTTCTAGGCAGATGCCTCCGTGCATCTGTAAGAAAATGTAGAATATATGGAAGCTAATGGCAACAGAATGTGTGTTGAGCTCAGTGTGCAGTGCAGAATGCTCTTATATGCTGCCCTGTCCCACTGTGTGAGGCCGCAGCTCCTGAGGCTTTTCTTAAGGGAAAAGTCTTATCTCTGTTTACAGGGAAGGATGCCCTCAAACATTTCTCTGATGAAAATAGGGACGTCCCATTCCATAATGATAATTTTATTATTTATACCCCACACACCTTATTGGGTTGCCCCAGCCAGTCTGGACAAATTCCAACATATCTATCTATATCTATCTATCTATCTATCTATCTATCTATCTATCAACCAACAGCACATAATAAAATATTAAGCATTAGGAAAAACATCCCCATACAGGATTGCCTTCAGACAGCTCAGAAGTCAGATAACTCCATACCCCCCAACATTTCTCCAGTGAAAATATGGACATCCTAGACATTCCAGGATCAAATCAGAAACTGGGACGGCTTCTCTAAATATTATGATTATTATTATTACACATCCAAGGGTGGGTGGAAGAAGGAGAAACTGTGTCTTCTTCACCCCCGCCAGTCAAGAGTGTATGGGCAGGGGGTCAATTCTATATGGGGTGCTCCTTTGGAAGCTCTGCAGGGAACTGGCTTGTGAAGGATCCTGCAGGATTGATACCTCTGTGAAACAGCTGTTGTATGGAGGCATGGATCCTGCAGGGTGCTGCTTCAGGAACAGGGCATCAGACAGGAAAGAGACACTGTGTCAGGCTCCTACCTTCTCTTGGGAGTGATCCATGGCTGTCTCAGCCCAACTTGACCAAGTCCTGAATCCCTCTGAATAGGCCTGATTTAGCTTGGGCCTCAGCTGAATCTGGTGTGCAGCCCCACTGATAGGTAATGCCATACTTTAGACTGGTTGTAAGTAAGAGGACTGGTCAGTGCAGTGGTGTAACATGGGGATTACAGGGACAGTTGCCCGGAGTGCAAAATTGATAGGTGGCACAACATTTCAATGCCCGGTTCTGCCCCAATACAGCTGTGCGCCTCCGTCACTGGACTCTGTGGGAAACATCTTCTCCATGTGAACCAGGAAGTGACCTCTCCAAATAGCGAAACAACTCTTCTTTTCTTATCTCTGCGGCTGCAGTCTCCTGGGTGATGTAGACACTGTTAGGCAGTCAAATGCACATACGTACTCTGTCCATTTCCTGCCTCCCACCCCGCCCTCTGCACAGCCCCGGGCACTGGCAACCCACACTATGCCACTGGGTCATTGTGAGATGGTTGAGACCAGACTGAGCTTGGTGGAGCACTGTTCCATCTGCCCTAACAGACCACCCTCCGCTCCTCTGACATCACATTTCCTCAACATGATCAGGAGAGGGTACCTGGCTCTTCCAACACCTCCCCTCCCCAATATTCCTCTGCATATTTGAGGTTTTTAGATCTGCTTTTATTTTTCCTGAGTTATTTCTGGAACAGTAAATAGGGGAGGTATAAGCCTTGAGCCTTGTGAAGTAGTTAGCTTAATCATCAGAGCTTGTTTTGGCAGAAAGCTGCTTACAAGCCCAGCTTGCAAAGGGGAGAGGAATCCATAAATAGTTGGGGGAGGGAAGGGGATAGGACAGCCCGCGTAACAGAGCTGGAAGCAGGTGGCAGAAATCCCACATCTTTGACGCAGAATGGGCGCAGTTAACTTCTCCAGTGGCCTTTAGACCAACGTAAATGTTTATCTGCAAGAAGAGGAAGCTAAATTAAACTCTTGCCCTTTACTCGGTCCTTTCCTCTTTCCATTGCCAAAGACTTGTTCTCCTCCTCCTTGAAACTTCATTAAGGAAATGCCTGATTCTCAAAGGAGAGCTGAATAAAGCATTATTATTAATCATCCTTATGAGGACCATTTATTTGATTTCTTACCTGCCCTTCCCAGGGTGGGTTACAACTTCAAAACAATGCAAGTTTTAAAACAGTTTAAACAATTTAAAGTCAATAACAGTATGCATGCTATGATATGCAAATCTCAGTTTTGGTCTCTCATAGCCTCTCATTTTCCCAATCTTGGGTTCAGTTTTTCACATTTTCACATCAGTTTTCTTTCTTTTTTTAAAAAAAAGCCCTCATGAAAATTAATTAGAATTTGTGTGTAACCCCCCCTCCGCAAACACATTTTTGCAAAGCAATTTCCCCTAGTAGAATGCATTTTCATGAATATATGCACTTAAATGCACACTTTGTGCATTTTGGGTATACAATACTTGACTGGAGAATTGCATTGCAACATTCAGAGCAGTGTGAATGTTAGTTTGTGTCTTGTTTGGGAAAGCATGAATTAGGCTTGTCTTTAAATACAAACTGAAGCACATTTCTCCTCCATCCCTGTACCTCGAATGTCAAAGAGCATCTGGGGGATGGTAGGGAGAAGGGCAACATTGTGCTGGTGAGCTCTTCCCAACACTGTGGTCCTGATGAAAGTAGCTCCTTCACCAAAGCTGCTGTTACCTGCCCCAGCAGTGAAGCTTCCACCAGCACTACACAGTTAATAGAATGATAATTTTTATCAGGGTTGGGGTGTGTGTGTGTGTGTGTGTGTGCAGAGTTAAACCTCCTTTCTCCCACACTGTAGTCCAAATCTAGATCAGCCCCCCACCATGGCCCCATCTGCACTATTCCCCTCCCAGAGTGGTTTAAATGATCAATCCCTCTTCCCAGGGAACTCTGGGAATTGTAGCTCTGTGAGAGGAATCAGGATTTCCTGATAACACGCAGCAACCTTAGCAAACTACACTCCCCAGGGTTCTTTGGGGGAAGCCATGACTGTTTAAAGTGGTATGATGCCTTTGATGCATAGTGAAGATGGGGTCTCAGAAGAAAAAAGGGAGACACGTTCACTGCAGTTGCACCAGTTTGACATCACATTTAATTTGACCCCTTGGCTCTCATTTCATTGGGCTGGATTTCAACAACTGGTCTGAAGTTCAAATCTCTGCATTGGCTGTTCACATCCTGGGGCCTTTGGCAAGCAGATGGAGCAAGAGGTCCACCAGTTCCTTTTGGTGATTAGATGTTGTCAGCCTGGATCTACAGCCGGCCTTTCAATTCCCGTGGGAACGTGGCCCTGATCTCCTTCCATTGCTTGGATTTGCAGATCAGAGATTCACGGTAACCAGCTCTGCTGCTCTGGGACTCAGAAGGAAACCTTCAGACTAACGGCTTGGCTGAAGTTTTAATTTGCTCATCATCTTTGGCTGATGTGATTAGCAGCCAGGGCTAATTACCTGCAGAAACGCTCCCCTCGCTCTTCTCCTAGCACACACTCCAGAGAAGCAGCTTTGTGCCTCTTGTGGAGGAGAAACATATTTAAATGACAGGGCTGGATGATGGCTGAGTTCACATTAAGAGTTCCCTTGCTTACACACCGCTTTGGATTCTTTGATTGCTTCTTTGATTGCAGAAATGAACATTTGAAGGGTGCTTTCAATTTGCCAGGCCTGAATTCCATACTTCAGAGATGATTTTGTCATTTGGATCCAAACAGTGATTTGTTAAGAGGTTCTTCCCCAGCCCCCCCACCAAAATGCATACAGGATTTTATTTCCTGCTCCAACTTCTACCTGTGGGAAGGGCTCAGTGGAGGAGCGTCTGCTTTGCATGCAGAAGATTTCAGGTTCAATCTCCAGCATCTCCAGGGAGGGTTTGGAAATCCTGGAGAGCTCCTGCCAGTTTTGTTGTTGTTTAGTCATGTCCGACTCTTCGTGACCCCATGGACCAGAGCACGCCAGGCACTCCTGTCTTGCACTGCCTCCCGCAGTTTGGTCAAACTCATGCTGGTAGCTTCGACAACACTGTCCAATCATCTCGTCCTCTGTCGTCCCCTTCTTCTTGTGCCCTCCATTTTCCCCAACATCAGGGTCTTTTCCAGGGAGTCTTCTCTTCTTATGAGGTGGCCAATGTATTGGAGCCTCAGCTTCAGGATCTGTCCTTCTAGTGAGCACCCAGGGCTGATTTCCTTCAGAATGGACCGGTTTGATCTTCTTGCAGTCCATGGGACTCTCAAGAATCTCCTCCAGCACCATAATTCAAAAGCTTCAATTCTTCGGCAATCAGCCTTCTTTATGGTCCAGCTCTCACTTCTATACATCACTACTGGGAAAACCATAGCTTTAACTATACGGACCTTTGTTAGCAAGGTGATGTCTCTGCTTTTTAAGATGCTGTAGACAATAATGAACAAGATCAAGCATGGGAGGCCCCTATTCCCCTCCTAGAGCTACAAATTCCAGAGCTATTTTCAGTATGAATCCCTCTTCGCAGGCAATTGTAACTCTCAGAAGTGAATAGGAGCCCTCTAACAACTCTCGAACCTAGCAGTTCGAAAGCACATCAAAGTGCAAGTAGATAAATAGGTACCTCTCCGGTGGGAAAGTAAATGGCATTTCCGTGCGCTGTTCTGGTTTTGCCAGAAGCGGCTTAGTCATGCTGGCCACATGACCCAGAAAAACTGTCTGTGGAGCAGATAAATGTCGGCTCCCTCAGGCAGTAAAGCAAGAAGAGCACCGCAACCCCAGAGTCATTCGCGAATGGACTTAATTGTCAGGGGTCCTTTACCTTTTTAAACAACTCTCAACACCCTGAACAGTTTCTGGGATTCTTTTGGGAAAGCTCCGACTATTTAAAGTGGCATCCTTGCACTTTAAATGTATTGTGGGAATGGGGACTAATTCTAGTTTTGTCCGCATCCTGTTCCCTGCCAAGTTCTGCAAGGACAGCACTCAGGAAGACTAAGGAAGAGGAAGCGGAGAGTCAGGGGCACCCACTGATCTGGATGTGAGTAAGGAGGCTGGTGGGCTTGGGGATCAAGACTGAGTTTGGTGGGGCAGTGCCCCATTTGCCCTAAGGGACGAACCTCCCTTCTCTGCCCCTCCTTTCTCTGCCCACAAATAAAGAGACAACTTTTAAGAGCACACAGCCCCAGAACAAACCTTGTTTGTTCATGTCTCTTCTGTAACAGCTTTCTCAGGGAGAGTACAGATAAGACAAGATGTCGCCAAAACATCTCTTATCTTCCACTCTGGATTTTCTCTCTATTTTCTGTGGCTGTCTCCTAATGCAGTGTGCCTCTTCCACACCACGCACATGCAGTGGGAAATGCTCTGCGGTAGCGGTAGATTTATTCAGCACAAGAGCAAGTCAGGTATTTGGCAGGCCTTCCTTTGATACCTGCTGCTCGTGATTATTTCTGCCCAGTTTTCCTTTGGGCATACTTTTTTTTTTTTAAATGTACATTCAATGTACTTTTGGAATTTTTTAAAAATAGTCATCTTCAAATATCTTAAGGGCTGTCACATGGAAGAGGGAATATGCTTGTTTTCTCCTGCTCTGGAGGGTAGGACTTGAACCAATGGCTTCAAGATACAAGAAAGGAGATTCCGACTAAACATCAGGAAGAACCTTGGAACAGTAAGAGCTGTTGGAACAGTAAGAGCTGAATTTTAACAGGGAGAAATGTAAAGTATTGCACTTGGGCAAAAAAAATGAGAGGCACAAATACAAGATGGGTGACACCTGGCTTGAGAGCAGTACATGTGAAAAGGATCTAGGAGTCTTGGTTGACCACAAACTTGACATGAGCCAACAGTGTGACGGGCAGGTAAAAAAGCCAATGCAATTCTGGGCTGCTTCAATAGGAGTATAGCATCTAGATCAAGGGAAGTAATTGTGCCACTGTATTCTGCTCTGCTCAGACCTCACCTGGAGTACTGTGTCCAGTTCTGGGCACCACAGTTCAAGAAGGACACTGACCAACTGGAACGTGTCCAGAGGAGGGCAACCAAAATGGTCAAAGGCCTGGAAACGATGCCTTATGAGGAACGGCTAAGGGAGCTGGGCATGTTTAGCCTGGAGAGGAGGAGATTAAGGGGTGATATGATAGTCATGTTCAAATATATAAAAGGATGTCACATAGAGGAGGGAGAAAGGTTGTTTTCTGCTGCTCCAGAGAAGCGGACACGGAGCAATGGATCCAAACTACAAGAAAGAAGATTCCACCTAAACATTAGGAAGAACTTCCTGACAGTAAGAGCTGTTCGACAGTGGAATTTGCTGCCAAGGAGTGTGGTGGAGTCTCCTTCTTTGGAGGTCTTTAAGCAGAGGCTTGACAACCATATGTCAGGAGTGCTCTGATGGTGTTTCCTGCTTGGCAGGGGGTTGGACTCGATGGCCCTTGTGGTCTCTTCCAACTCTATGATTCTATGATTCTATGTTTGACAGGGGAATGGTCTCCCTGGGGAGGTTGTGGACTCTCCTTCATTGGAGGTTTTTCAGCAGAGGTTTGATGGTCATGCATCATGGATGCTTTAGCTGAGATTCCTGCATTGCAGCGGGTTGGACTAGATGAACCTTGGGGTCCCTTGGGGTCCCTTCCAACTCTAAGGTTATATGATTCTATGATTCATCTTATCTAATACAGTGGTACCTCTGGTTGCAAACGGGATCCATTCTGGAGCCCCGTTCACAACATGAGCAGAACGCAACCCGTTTCTGCACATCTGCACATGTGTGGGTCACGATTCGCCGCTTCTGCACATGCGCTTGACATAATTTTGAGAGTCTGCGCATGTGCGAGCGGCGAAACCCGGAAGTAACCCGGTACTTCCGGGTCGCCGCGGGACGCAACCTGAAAAGATTTAACCTGAAGCAAATGTAACAAGAGGTATGACTGTATTTCATACATCATGCCAAACTCGTTGCCCCCTTTTTACATGTGAGACAAGAAACGTGTGCCTGTTTCTTGCTTTTGCGGGGATCCCTCGTGACATGATGCTGTGTCCAAGGACAAGTTAAAATAGAGGTAATAATTAACTACATTTTCCCTCTCCACCCCTTTCTTTTTCACAAGTATTGAGTCACTTTTTACAGATACAGTTGTAAGAACTCAAAATAGGAGATACAGACTAGAAGTTTGTGTCTAGTAGATTGAAGAACTTTCTAATTCATTCCAATGCAGCCTTCCTTGGCTGGTTTCCCTACAGATATTTTGGACCACAACTCCTTTAATCCATGAGCTTTGGTCATACCAGTTGAGTTTGATGGAAGTTGTAGGCCAAAACACCTGAAGAGAACTAGGTTGAGGGAGGTTGGTCTGGAAGATTCCTGTTCATAGAAACTAGCAGATAACTTCCTTGGTAAATTCACTCAGGTAATGGTTGCATGAGCAGTGATGCCTTATTTGAGTATATCTACTCATGAATAAGTTCCTTTATGAAAAGAGTGGGCTGACCGACCTTTACGATCTAACACGCTCAACGTATGCACCTTTGTAAATTGTATTTTCATGTGACAAGAAGTTGATAGCATATATGGCTATGAATCTGACAATTGATATGCGTATCATTTTATGATCATGCTTCCCTCTGCCCCTCTGTGTATTTTGTACACAGATTGTACACGTGAGACAGTAAAACTGGTGACTTTATGCTGCTTAGGGTGGGGATGTCCTGTTTGTTTGCTTTCATACATTCCAAGTCTTTGATTTGGGACTTCCTATCCTCTTGTCACTGTTGTCTTGAGGATGCTGTGACCACATGAGAACAGGGTCATGTGAATCCTGCGCCTCTGAAATTCCTATGAAGTCTTGCCTCACCACACCAAGCATGATCATTTTTGGGTTGTTCTCTAACATCATTAAGGAATTAGCACAATCCTATTCACATTTACAGGGACATGGGTGGCGCTGTGGGTTAAACCACAGAGTCTAGGACTTGCTGATCAGAAGGTCGGAGGTTCGAATCCCTGCGACGGGGTGAGCGCCCGTTGCTCGGTCCCACCTCCTTCCAACCTAGCAGTTCGAAAGCACATCAAAGTGCAAGTAGATAAATAGGTACCGCTCCGGTGGGAAGGTAAACAGTGTTTCCATGCACTGCTCTGATTCGCCAGAAGCAGCTTAGTCATGCTGGCCACATGACCCGGAAGCTGTACGCCAGCTCCCTTGGCCAGTAAAGCAGGATGAGCACCGCAACCCCAGAGTCGGTCACGACAGGACCTAATGGTCAGGGGTCCCTTTACCTTTACCTATTCACATTTACACAAAAGTCAGCCTCACTGTGTCCACTGGGGATTTATCCCAATAGAATATGCATAGGATTGCATATGCATGTGAACTTAGAAGTAACTTCCATTGAATTCAGTGGATCAACTTCCAGGAAAGGGTATATTTATTGTTACACACACACACACACACACACACACACACACTTATATACCTTTGTGTTTTTCCTACAGTTTCAAGGTAGTAGAGAATGCTAAAATATAGAACATCATTTTAAAAAAACAACAATGCTAAACAATGATTAAAATGTGTAGTTAGTAAAAAAAAAAGCTGCAAACTGCTCCATATTTCATTAGGTGGAGATAGATAGATAGATAGAGTCATGTAGGGATTAGAGTGTAAGACTAGGACCTGGGAGACCAGGGTTCAAATCTCCACTCAGTCGTGAATCCCACTGGGTGATGTTGGACATTTCATAGTCCCTCAGCCTAATCACAGAGTTGCAGTAGGGATTAAATGAGGAAGGGGAAAACCTTTTACTCCACCTTAAGCTCCTTGGAGAAAATAGTGGAATATTAATGTAATAAATAAAGTAGTGGTGTAAGCTAGTTGCACTTTGAAAATGTGAAACAGCAATAATTCTGTTGAAATCTTTTTGTCTGCTGAAAAATAAGCCATTTGGCAATTTTGGCCACAATTTTGACTTCCAGCTGTTGCTCTCTTTTCCCCTCCCCCGTTTTTGGGTTCTGTAGGTTTATTTTATTGCAGTTGATCCTGACTTGAAAACAGTTTCAATCAAAAATGAAACCACTGAGAAAGGAGGAAAGAAAAGGAGTTCAGAAAAAGAACAAAGATGGCCCTTTTTAATAACATGAGGATGACACCGTTGCACCACAGTGCATGTTATGATGGCAGAATTTAATTAAATCAACATACAAGTGAAAACTAATCATAACACCATTTATTTTTAGACAGAGGCAATCACCCACTGAGAGTCATAGAACACCTTGATGTGCGAGGAGAGGCAGGCTAGATAATGTAGTGTTCGGCGCACAACTTTCCATATACAGTGGTGCCCCGCAAGACGAATGCCTCGCAAGACGAAAAACCCGCTAGACGAAAGGGTTTTCCGTTTTTCGATGCGCTTCGCAAGACGAATTTCCCTATGGGCTTGCTTCGCAAAACGAAAAAGTCTTGCAATTTTTTTCTCTCCCCCCCTTTTTCTAAGCCGCTAATAGCCTTTTAGCCGCTAAGCCGCTAAGCCTTTAATAGCCGCTAAACTGCTAAACCGCTAATAGCGCTAATCTGCTAAGCCGCTAATAGGGTTGCTTCGCAAGACGAAAAAACCGCTAGACGAAGAGACTCGCGGAACGGATTATTTTTGTCTTGCGAGGCACCACTGTAGGTGAAATAAGCTTTAGCAAGGGAATAAATAATAAGGCATGGGCTGGAACATAGCTATTCTCACAGTGACACATGTGGGTGGGTGAGTGGAGCAGAGCACTCAGAAAAGCGCATTCTGAACTAGAACCCTAACCTTGTTGTTGTTGTTTAGTCGTTTAGTCGTGTCCGATTCTTCGTGACCCCATGGACCAGAGCACGCCACGCACTCCTGTCTTCCACTGCCTCCTGCAGTTTGGTCAGACTCATGTTTGTAGCTTCGAGAGCACTGTCCAACCATCTCGTCCTCTGTCATCCCCTTCTCCTTGTGCCCTCAATCTTTCCCAGCATCAGGGTCTTTTCCAGGGAGTCTTCTCTTCTCATGAGGTGGCCAAAGTATTGGAGCCTCAGCTTCACAATCTGTCCTTCCAGTGAGCACTCAGGGCTGATTTCCTTAAGAATGGATGCGTTTGATCTTCTTGCAGTCCATGGGACTCTCAAGAGTCTCCTCCAGCACCATAATTCAAAGGCATCAATTCTTCGGCGATCAGCCTTCTTTATGGTCCAGCTCTCACTTCCAGAATCCTAACCTAAACTATACTAATTAAAGCTGCATTTTGTAACTGGAAGTTGTGGAGCAGTGCTCTTCAACCTTGGAGTCCCATCAGATGTTACTGGACTGCAACTTCCACCTTCCCCTTGCAAGCTTAGCCAAGTGGTTGGGGATGATGGGAGTTGTAGTCTGACAACATCTGGATACTCAAGAACACTGCTGCAGACAGAGAAGAAGAAGAAGAAGAAGAAGAAGAAGAAGAAGAAGAAGAAGAAGAGAGAGAGAGAGAGAGAGAGAGAGAGAGAGAGAAGTTTTGAACACCGAAAACGAAGAATGCAGCAATAAAGCAGAAACTTACAGAAGAAGATTTGAAATTTGAAGCTGGGTCCAAATTCATTCATGAATTTTCCTTGGGAAAATAACTTTTTACCTGAGAAAGCTGTTGTGAAGATAGTGCTCACGATTGCTGGAACTCCTGGGTAGAGGGGCGATTATAATTCTAATACTTTTTGGTACACCAGAACCCAGTGGTAAGCATGTACTTTCCTACCACTCTCAAACAGTGCAGAAGAGAAGGGAGCATCATACTAGTCCCATCGTAAATGGTCCATTTGGTATCCACTCAGCTGGAAACCTCCTCTCTCTTAATAAACCAGTGCTCTCACCCATTCACTCGATCTGCACGCCAGATGAAATGGACTTGATATCAATTTAAGCCTTGCTGCTGAGAGAGGGTAATGAAACAATGTCAGAGAGGAAGGAGAGGGATTGAATGAGTCTGGTCTTTCAGTGAAGATAACAATAGGTTAATGCAAAAATAGAAGAGCTCCTTGTTTTAATTAAGACTCTCTCCCAGGCCCAAGGACTTCTGCACGATGGCTGCATTACCAGATGTCCTGATTCCTTGGCTGCCATCCCATTCCGCACAATATCAAGCCATGATGTTTGAAATGCCCTATTGTCTCTCTCTCTCTTTCTCTTTTTGTGAGATCAGCAATAGCAGAATTAGCACAAAACTCAGCCTGTGTCCCCCGATAGTGGCTTGGTTGCAGGAAGTAACCGGAAAGGCAGAAGGTTTAAGATTTGGTTTCACTGTAGCAGGGAGGATAAAGATGTAGGGAGAAGCAATGTGTGTAACCAGAACCCTGTGTGCTACTCACACAGAAACTCTGTGGATTAGTAGATTTCCCCTTGCTCCATAGATTCCCTCTGCCCCAGAACTCTGCATGCTATCCATTTTAACTTGGGGAATTTCTGCAATTAATGTTGGAGTGGACACTTTATCCACCAATTGCCATACTTCTCCCTACAGTTTACTAATACAGTGGTACCTCGGGTTACATACGCTTCAGGTTACATACGCTTCAGATTACAGACTCCGCTAACCCAGAAATAGTGCTTCAGGTTAAGAACTTTGCTTCAGGATAAGAACAGAAATCATGCTCTGGCAGCGCAGCGGCAGCAGGAGGCCCCATTAGCTAAAGTGATGCTTCAGGTTAAGAACAGTTTCAGGTTAAGAACGGACCTCCGGAATGAATTAAGTTCTTAACCCGAGGTACCACTGTAAACACCAGCACAGAGCATACCTATGCTGAGAATGACATCCCAAAGAGGCATCTTGATGTGAACACAATTGCATCAGGAGTCCTTCTTTGTGCTCTGATTTAATCAATACACATGTGTTAGCGAAGTCCCTCAAATAAGGCAGACAGAGTCCAGAGAGAAAACAAATCCTGATAACACTCAAGTAAGCAAACTGAACAAAAACAGTATATAATTTGAGGAGAAACAAGCAGAGAGGATTCACCTTTCTTCGTTCAGGCCTTGCACATGGAAGGAAGACCTCCTTCAGAACTGCAAAAGTCAGTGATTAGAAAAGTCATGTGCTCCCTCAGGGAAGATCATGCCACTCTGTTTAGTTGCCAAGCAACACCTCCCACTCTTGCTTAGTTGCCTTTAACACTAACAGTATTAACCCTTGAGTTTCAAACCGGTATTTCACCTCCAACAGTAGACACACCCATGACCTATGCTCACTTGTACATGGATTCAGTTGCTGCATCAAAAGGATAATAATAATAATAATAATAATAATAATAATAATAATAATAATTTATTATTTATACCCCGCCCATTTGCCTGGGTTTCCCCAGCCACTCTGGGCGGCTTCCAACAAAATATTAAAATACAGTAGTCCTTCAGATATTAAAGCTTCCCTAAACAGGGCTACCTTCAGATGTGATTCTGTGCTCACATCCAGACAGGTATTATGTGTGTTTGAATAAGGACATCTACAATGACGTGATATTTTTGATTGACCTAATAAAGGTATTGCAAACAGGAATGAGATGAACTGGACCCCATATGCTTGGATCCTGTGAATGCCTGGCTATCAAGGCTGCTTCCTTCTCCCTCTGCTCCAGTGATCCATTTACTTACCTTGGTGTTGTGGAGGCAGAATCCCAAGGTGCACATCTTCAGGATTCCCCACAAGCAGGAGCAATGGCTTCATCTGCCAGAGTACCTGAGATTAGCATGGAGGAAGTAAGAAGGAATAAGGAAAATAAGAATGCAGAGTGGAGCTTCCCAAACTACGGTCTGTGGACCACCAGTTGTCTGTAAGCTTCATTCAGGTGATACATGGGATTGTCCATATTAAATATTCATATTGATTTGGAATTGTATTTTAATTTTTCTCCCACAGAATGAAAATTGTAATGAAATTAAAATAAAAGAAGGAACAAAAATACAATTAAAAAAACCGTATAGCATCTGGCACAGCATATTACAATTGCTACAACAGGCAGAAAAAGCACTAAGTGGTCTGCCAGTACCACCAGCAATTTTCAAATAGTAAGTGAGGGGAAAAGTTTGGGAACCATTGATGCAGAGATGAGACACATCCAGGGCTTTTTTTCAGCCAGAACTCACTGGAACTCAGTTCTGGCACCTCTCAGGTTGGCGCCATTGCCATTATGAGAGAACAAGAAAGGCGTTCTTGATGAGTTCCGGCACCTCTTTTTCTAGAAAAATAGCACTGGACACAGCTTTCCTTTTATTTGAAGGGATCCCTACTTCTGACTAGCCTTTTCAATAGCAGCCCTTCCTTGCAAGATGGTTTGCATTGCTTAAAGGGAAAGCCTCCATTTCAGCAGGCCGAGGGGCTCAAGCTGTTTGGCAAGTTGAACAACTTATGCAGTCAGAAGTAAGGGCCACTGAGTTCAACAGAGCTTACTTCCAGGGAACTATATATGCTGGATTGCAGCTATCTTTATCCAAATAAATTGATTCTTATTCTATATAGTGCTGCTGCGTGTGTGTGTGTGTGTGTGTGTGTGTGTGTGTGTCTGTGTGTGTGTCTTTGTGTATGTATAGCAACAGATTTGCCTGATGCTACCTGCCTTTTTAAACTCTTGGGGACATGCCAATCTTCTTCTGCAGATCTGCTCATGCTCTCCCACTGCTCTCAATTTTGTCATGCAGCAGAACTGAGTATCCTCCAAGCTGCAAACAGAGGTGTTTGCTGAGCAAGAGGATGAATGGACACCACCAGAGGTTTTGTGGGTTTTTTCAGGGGTCCCCCCCCCCCGATTGAGTTAAAACAACAACGTTCAGTTATCAGCAAAGCCTCAGCTGTGTGTGATTTATACTTCTCTGCAAATTGCAGCTGTGATTAATGTGCCACTAACTCTAAGTTGGGGGACTGGGGAAAGAATTACTTTTCAGCATTCAAGCTTTGCAACACACACACACAAGCACATACACACACCAATACCAATGGCTTTCTTTGGTACCTCTGTGTGATTTTTCAGGTCTCATCCCAAGCTGCTTCTACAGATGGTTGAGATTTAGACTCATATTTGTACTGAGGTTTGTTTTCCAGGAAAGCTCCTTTGCTAGAACTGCTAGCATAACAATATATATATATGTGGCTCTCATGATTCCTTTCACTTAACATAGCTAAATTTCTACCTACACACACGGAAGGAAGATGCTGCCAATTGGAGATTTCTTCCTGTGGGCAAAGGGTCAAATCTATAGGTGCCCTGAGTCTTGGCCAAGGAATAAAGAGCCAGGGCTCAAGAGCTGGGCTACAACACAAGGGCTACAACTCCACTGGCCACAAATAAGGCCTGCAACAAAATTTTACAGCGCAGAGTGCATTTATTCATTTATCATTCCCCTTATATCCTGCTTTTCCTCCGAAGAGTCTAAGGTGGCAAATATGGCTCTCTAGCCTATCCATTTTATCCCTCCAAACCACCCTGTGAGGTAGGTTAGGCTTAGAGCTTGTGACAGACCCAGCGAGTTTCATGGCCAAGTGGGAATTTAAACCCTAGCCTCCTCACTCCTACAACCTTTCATTGTATTTTGTTTTTCCATGCAAAAGTCTTTGCCACCCTGGGCTCCGTTGGGAGGAAGGGTGGGATACAAATTTAATAACTAAATAAGTTTTAAAAATTGATGAGCAGCCTTTCTTGTGACAGCACATTGGATATAGTTTTAAAAGTTTCTTTTCATTTGCTCCATTAGTTATACCCTACCTTTCCCTTTCAGACAAATGCTCAAAGCAGCTTAACATAAATGTAACAAGAATAAGTTATTATTATTATTTAAAAAACAGACAAAAAAGACGAGGGGAGAGCAGATTTTCCTGAGAGTCACTAAAGCAGGTGTTAGCTTGGCAACTCAAATGCCAGCTAGAAAATTAAAAGTCTAATGTGTTGTTGTTTTTTCATATATAAGAGTGAATGATGGTTTTTACTAGGTGTGCACACCAGTCACAAGATTCACCTTAAACCTGCTATCTGTAGTGCTGGGCAGCTTTAAGCCCTACTGAACCCAATGAGGGTTGCTCCCAGGCAAGCATGGTTGGAACTGCAGCCTTAGATTTCACATGTGTATAGGACCCAATCAGTACTCACTCCCTGCCATCTCTTCTCAGAGAGTCTTTGTTCACTTCATTTCTGCAGAAAGCATACAATGGACTGATCTGGGATTACTCAGTTCCTCAAAGTATTCTTCCACACTGGCTAGAATCAAGGGATAGATATGCCGTGTACACCCCAAATAAGACAGCTTGCACTGGTATCTCAGTCATTCCTGCTATACTAGATAGGCATTTGGATCTTACACAAAGCCGTCTTCTGTCACAGGATGTCTCACACCGCAAAAGGCAGGCGGGAAGTGCTTCTGTACTCTCGACCAGAACCAGAAAACTCTCTTGCCTTGAGTAGCTCTAGCATGTTCCAGCAGAGGGCTGTGATGCATTGTGCTGGCAGAGAGAAAGAAGTTCACTGAATTAATCACAAGGACTCCCGATAAGAAACGGCGACTGCTTGAACACAACAGCATATTTCATATACAATGAAATGCGTGCACTTAATAAGACAGTGAAAGCAAGAGAGAAGACTCTGGGAGCTGGAGTTTTGCAGTCAACATCCTTCACTGTGCAAAACACAGCAAACCCACCGTGACTTTTTAACCTAATTTTGTCAAAGAGGCCAGCCGTTTCCCTTCCACGGCATGGTTTCACAAGATTCCTTTGGGGTGATGCACAAAACCATATGCCAAACCGAAACACACAAACTGGCAATACACACTGTTCATGATCGCTGGGCATAGGAGGACACAGGCAGTTGTCCCAAACTTCAAACTTACTACTGTAGCAAGAAATCATTCTATGCCATTTGGGCACCAGTAAATTCTGCAGACACCCTAGGGAATGGTAGGCAGGGAACGGGGAGTCCACCTAGCTGGATGTTCCTCCTCTGTTGTTTCCCAGTGTTGTTATTCTGTGCTGAAGCAATACACAGAGAAGGAGGCCTTGCAATACCCACCCATTCACCCTCAAGTAGGATTCCTTTCCTTGTCCAATTGAGTTTGCACATTCACTGCAGTAAAGTACCTGTGGAACTGGGGAAACCGCAAGCTGGAATGCTTGCCTAGCAGAGAGGGATAGCAAGGGTCCTCCACGTGGAATGAGAAAGCTAGCATGTAATTAATCTTGTTGCAGCTTGTATATAAACACCCGGTACAGAGCTGTATATAGAGAGCTATATGCTTGAGAACTGCGACTGTTCCCAAAGACAGAGGACCCCTGTAGGCTTTCATTTTATTGTGCATTTGTAATGATGATCTGTGCTCGTGTTGGTTGTACATGATTCCCCTTTTCGATATGGTTTGCACTTTCAAAAGTTCACGAGTGGCTCTGCTGCTTCGTTTCCAGTCAGTGCATGTCTTGCAGCTTCCTGCTACAATCATGCTATATTTTTTAATACCACAAATGTCCTGTTGCTTTGGGGCTGTGGGCGTCACTTTCATTGCAATGCCTCTCCAATTATGGTGGGAAACTATTCTTGTTCACCTGTCTTTTACAGATTATGATGTATTCCTACATGGCAGATTTGAAGATGCCCTCAAGACCAGTAGCTTAACCAGGGGGCACCAGCTCCAGGGAGCTGAGCCCTTTTGCCACCCCCCTTATATTTTTGGGGTAGGTGCCACCCCCCCCAATGTCCAAAAAGTGTGGAGGTGAAGCACAGACACAACTGTGTCACTGCTTCAGTAACTAGCTCCTTCACCTCCTCCTTCTTCCGCAGAGGGGAAGCAGGGTCAAAGTAGCATAGCTACCATGTTTGTCTCCACCCCAGCTGCTCCCAACATCTGGATGTCATGCATTGCTCCCCCCCATCGGCCTTGCAAGCTCTCCCCCCCCCAATTGGGCCACAGTTTAAGGATCAGCAGACGATGCTTGCAAGTGTTGTAGCCCAAACAGTGCCCTGTTGTTATGTCCAGACTAAAATTATTAATATGTGCTCCCTTACAATATTTTGAGTTGAATTTGTGAATGCAGGTTCTCAGCTGGACAGGGGACTCCCAACTGCTGGCGCCTGGGCTCTTGACAATAGGGGGTCTTTTGAAGGTGAGCTTTGTGACAGATCTTGATCTGGAGTTGGCCTGAATGGTCTGGCTGGAAGAATGGGAGGCCTGTGGAAGCGAGCAAATGGTTGTTTGTTGACATGACCCCACAGGGAACCGCTGCCAAGAGAACACTTTCTCTCTTTGCCAGTTTCTTCATCCTGAAAATACTGTATGGAATTTTGGCACGTAATTATGGTCTGGCAACCTAGGGGCAAGAGAAGTGGCAGCTTTCATTATACCGCTGGTTGAGTGAAGAAGGAGAGCTCCCCCGCCCCATTTAACCAATGAATCATATTGACTCAGAAATCCCTTTCAATTTAAAAGACTCCCACATAATGTATCTCATATTGGAGCGACCAGTGGAAAGAAGACTGGCTATGAATTTGTCTGAAGAGCTTCCTGCTGTCTGTGGCCCACATAATATCTATATTTTATACTCACCAAACTTACTCAAAATCATCAAAAGCAATTCAAAGCAATTCAAAAACAATCCATGCACACATATCCCAGGAGAGAGAGAGAGAGAGAGAGAGACTCTATCCTGTGAAGAATTGCATGCCCAAGAGTCAGTCAGAACTGCCTATCTGCAGAAGGCTCTCCTAAACAGAGACATATTTACCCATTGGCAAAGCCTAGGTAGGGAGGTAACCAAAGGCTATTGATATTGATAGACTATTCTTTAAGAGAAGGTGCCCAAGGAAAACATTGTCTGCATCCTCACTTGTCTTGCACTAGTAAAGGAGAGAATACAGAGCAGATCTAAGGGTGTAGGGAGGGATAGATGTATGTATCTGTCTTCAGATCACCCCATGAATTTTCCCACTCCTTTTAATATCCAGCCTAATGTTCTCAGGCTGGAATATGCATGGTCCCTTGATTCCCTTCCAGTGCTATAATTTTGTGATTCTTTGATTCCAGAGCAGAATCTGCCTTCCTGTCTGGCTAAACTGCTGACTGTTTACTGCAAATAGTAAGAAACAACATCTTAACAAGCAAGAAAAAGGAAGCAAGCTTATTTGTTCCCCCACCAGAGAATAGATAACATAAGCCTATATCTTGTGCGAAAAAGCCTAGTTTCCTTGGGCTATAATATTTTCTTACATGTGCTTTTTTGCAAAGCTCCCACTGTGTTTGTTTCCACCTCCCCCACCCTCTTTCTCAAACACACTCATATCAGGATAGAATTCCCTCACCTGAAGGAGGCATAAACTGCTGATTGACTCATTAACAAATCCCATCAAAAATAATGTCTATTTATACTAACAGCCAGGTGGGGGAAGAGGGCAGAGAAATCAGCAGGGACTAAACAAGGTGTCATGTGGAAGGATAATTACAAGGGGAGGAAGTTCACGTCAAAGGGCTGAAAAAATAAAACATGTTAGAGCTGTGAGATTTATGTAGTTTTAGATTGCCAGCCCTTCCTCCATGCCTAGGCACCCTAGGTTTCTACCTGCGTAATAATATACTGCAATCTACCCTAGGCTTCTGCTTGCGTAATTTCAGTCTCCACATCCATTCACCCACCCACATGCACACTATTTCTTGATTTATATTCACAGCTCTTCTATCTGTGCTTGGGTCCCAATCCAAAATGCTTCCTTCCCCACAACCCCAGTCTTTGGTCTGTGCTAAAAATTTAAACTGCAGCAGATCTGATGACAGCTCCTTCTCATCTCATCTATTTAGGATCACAATATCCCTCCCTCCACAAAGTGAGATTTGTCTGTAATATGATCTAGCACACAGGGGGCGTAGGAAGCGGGGTGCAGGGGGTGCGGACCCTTGGGTATCACCCTTGGGGAGTGACAAAATGGCACACCGCAGGGGCGGCACTTACTGCGGGGCCTGACCTGCAGTGCACCTGAGCCACATGTCTCTCCTAGGAGTGACATGTTGGCTCAGGCCCCTGCATTGCTCGAAATGGCAGCATGGGGCTTGCGCCCGCCAGGCAAACTCCATGGGCAGCTCGCCATACTGCCCCCCCTGGACGGATCGCTACGACGCCCCCATGTGGCACCCCTGTGCGTGGATCGTCCCACCCCCACCACTCCGGGGGCTGGAGCAGCTAGTTACACCCCATTTAGCACAATGGTGGCTTTTTTGGGGGGGGGGTAAAAGTCATAGAACCATTCAAATGTGCACTGCAGTGCGTATGTAGCTGAAGCTGTGTCTTGGGGTGGGATCTGTCTAATAGGCTAGGGCAGGCATAGTCAAACTCGGCCCTCCAGATGTTTTGGAACTACAACTCCCATCATCCCTGACCACTGGTCCTGCTAGCTAGGGATGATGGAAGTTGTAGTCCCAAAACATCTGGAGGGCCGAGTTTGCCTATGCCTGGGCTAGGGAATAGGCAGACGCTCAGCACTGGCAAGGTGGGTGGTAGTGTCAGTCTAGGCCAAAAAAAATCCTCCAGGATTGTCACACGCGTCACCTCCTTATGCCATGGGTGACCCAGCTTAGTTTGATACCCTATGCACAGGACTGAGAAAGAACCTTGGAGCAATTTTAACATGACTAATCAACATATGGGGGAACTATTGCAATTGCTTCCTCCTTTTGCAATGTGCAAGTGAGCCTCTTCTGCAGATGTCCAGTTCTTTGAAAACAAATTACTTACCCAGAAAGTGACTGAAAAGCCAGCTCTGTGCCTCTGTAATTACAATCACATGGTGGGCTGAAAAACAGAAGTCATTTGCAACAGTGCATTTGTTTTCGATGAATTAATTTTCTCTCTCATTTCTTTATAGTTGTTCCCCTTCCCCCCCAGCCCATATCTTGAGTGTTTCTTCTATATATTTTTTTTTCCAAAAGGGGAAACAATTTCCAGGATGGATCGAAACAGCTTGCATATTTGTGGAAAGATTAATAGAGGGCAGAGGTGAAAGGTCATAAGTGTCCATCTTAAACAGCTTTCTAATAATATTGTGTTTTTCAAGACAGTCAAGGGAATAGACCATGAATGTAGGAGACTTAATGAACAAATCAAATCAAGGGTAGGGTTCCATTCCTCTGGGTATACCAGATAAATTCCACAATTTATGCAACAGAAAGCAACAGAATTGAAGCCTTGTTTACACTGATTTTTAAAATATGCATACGTGCTGATTTAGAACACTTTGCAATCTTTGCCTTGCATCTATGAGGGCAACTCCCTCTGAACGCAGCAGGGCTCACTTCTAAGTAGACATGTATAGGACTTCACTAGTAGACCCTACGTTTGACCTATTCTGCTGCAGATGTAATGGTTTAGTGGGCGTAACTCTTACCTTTACAGGTAAGCTACATCCCAGCCATGCAAAAGTCAGGGTGGGCTTTACATCAAACCACAAAAACAGACCTCTCCTTTCAGGCAAGCAAGAGGCATTATCACAGCTCAAGGACACATTCCAGCCACATTCCAACACAAAACACTCAAGAAGGAAGTGGAACAAGCCTAGCACTCAGCTAGAGTAAATGGCAATTCGGGTTTCCTCTAGTTTGCCATTTCTTCTGATCTATTGCTTTTTGCTTGGCAATGAGTGGGGCAAGGGGAAAACTGCTTGGACCCATGCCTAGAAGGTGCAGGTCAATTGAAAAACTGCTTGGACCCATGCTTTCTAGGCACAGCACAAGCTGAAGTGTGGACGAACCCATCAAGTAGCTCAGAGGCTACAGGCTTGAGTTCCCTGCACATAGTTCACAGTATAAAAGAGGCACATGGACACTCATCCTATACGATCCTGCACCTCCCTCATGATTCTTTCATTCCATTTTTATCAATGCAGAGGAGGGAAGCAAATCTCACCCTAGGCATGTTGTAGTCCACGGGTAGCCAACATGGTGCCCACCAGATACGTTGTTGGGCTACGACCCCTATCATCCCTGGCCATTAACCATGCTGGATGAGACTGATTGTGGTCCGACAATATCTGGATGGCATCACATTTGCTACTTGTGTTTTAGATTTTTTTTTTTTTAAGGGCAAGTGGGGTAGCACTAATTTCCCCACTTGCCTGGAGTCAATTTCATTTCAGATGGTGCACCAAAACCTTCTGCATGCAGCACAGCACCCGAACCAGGAGTCATTTCCCATTTTCTAGAAACAACAACCAAAAAATTGCAATTACATTTCTCCATCCCATTAGCTGCAGACAAAGCAAAATACAAAACCGTACAAAATCAATGCACAGCTGTATATTAAAGACTTCATACCAATCAAAGGGAGTTTCTCATTGACTTTGTATTGTTCGTTTCGTATCCACTGACCTGAATATAATTCATCAGGGAAGTCAATGCAGAACTCCCAGTGACTGGAATGGACTCTGAGCGTTATGAGCTCTATTCAAGGAAGTGGGAGGGGTTTTGTTTTTCATTATCATCTGAACTGTGGCTTCATCACTTTGAAGCTGTGAACTGAATATTTGCTGGCTATATATAATTGTGATGGCTCAAATGACAGATTATGCAAACATGAATTTAAGTAATAATAAAGAAAACAATGGAGCACTGAAGAGTTGTGCCTTTGAAAATCCCAGTGCAGATTCAGTCTTGAATACAGAAAAAGGGTGGTGGATTTGACCCGCAGAGACTGGGGTGCAGATCCCTGTAGGCCTGTACCAGTTATTTTCCAATTTTGATTTGTTTGGTTGAAAATTGTGATGAGGAATAATTGGAAGGGACCACATCTAGTCCAACCCCTTGCAATGCAGGAATCTCAGCTAAAGCATCCATGACACAGGGCCATCCAATCTCTGCTTAGAAACCACTCTTACTATCTGAAAGAGATTCTTAAGATTGAATTAGAATCTCCTATCTTGCCATTTTTAAATAAAAAGAAAGGGGGAGAGGGAGAAAGAACTATATTCTCCGATGCGTCTGTGAGGTACAAACAAATTGCTATCTGTTCACCAAGAACCCATTAGAAGTTGCTTCCTGCCACTAGTGATATGCTTTGTTGAGCCCTGCTTCTGATTAATCACTTTGCTACTGTTAGAAGTGATATTTAAATTACTAGCAATTATCATAAGAGTCTTCTTTTTTGTTAATAATAATAATAATAATAACGATAATAATAATAGTGGCAATTTTGTGCTTTCCTGCAGCTTTATTTGCATTTAATTTGTTTTAAGTAGTAGCATGGGAAATTTTAATAGAAAAGAATATATATTTATTATCTGCTTGTTTACAGTAGCTATTCTCAGAAAGGCTTCAGGGACGGGAATGTTAGCAAAAATAGTGTAGGAATAAGTGACTCACAGATAAAAATTAAACAAAGAATCCTGAGGCACAGTTAGGACTAAAAGGGGAAAGATCAACCCGTGCTTTGGCAGAGCTCTGTATGGGGGAGGTAGAAAGAAAGAAAGGAAAAGGATAATTTGGGGTGACAAGTTGAGGGATCATATCAGCCACTGCCTGAGAGCCATCAGCAGGGGACCCCAACCCTGCAGTGGAGGGTAAAGCATTTGCAAGAAGGCTGGACACGTGGATGCCTGAAAGCTGTCAAAAATAAATCAGTTAAGATAACAGGACTTTGCACCTCCAGGATATGGATTCTAAAAGCAGCTGACACAAAATGAGTCTTTCATGCATTCTTTCTTTAAAATGCACACCAGTGAGAATATCTCCACATTATCTCACACTTTTACACACTCTTACACAGTTATTATGCCACATGTGTTGCCATTCATTTGGATATGGAAGAGGAAAGAAAGTGATGGATGATGAAAGTGACCGACTGGTGGAAGAAAGCATGGGAGGATTTTCAAAATCAGAGCTGCCCATCTTATAAGCACTTACTCAGAAGTAAGTCCCATTGAACTCAACAGGGCTCTGTTCTTTAGCACATAAGAAATTCCTGCTGAATCAGACCAGTGGCCTATCTAATCTCATCCTGTTCTCTGGCTAACCAAATACCTATGGGAAGCCCACAAATAGCAGTAGTCATGCAGAACAGCCATGCACTTTGGAGCATCAACAAAGCTTATAGTTGGCATCTATGTTTCATTCCAGCACGCTTCACTAGTGCCTATGGTCATATAATGAAGGAAAAGCATATTCAGAGTTCTTCTCCTACATGTCTGGCAAATGTTGTTAGCACCATTATATGTGTAACTCTGACATGGGTAAGGAGATTTTGATGGAGTCCCTTTATGGGCGTCTCTAAGGTGGTACTTCTGTTGAATACTACCTTCATATTGTTTTAATGAGAGGCAGCATCTAGATGTTTTAAATAAACAAGTGGTGCTGGATTTATTTGGCTCTATTTAATGTGCTTTATTGTTTGTTTGTATGCTTTAATTACACCACTATTCATGAGATTTCAAAGTAGTTCACAAAATAAAACAATAAAACAACAAATAGACACCACCTCAAACCCAATAAATGAATGGTTCAATGAAGAAAACCACCACAGCATTCTTTGCTCAACAGAGACACGGGAGATAGGGAATTCAGGGAGCACAGAGTGCAACAGCTAGGGTTTTTCCACAGTTCACATCCTGCAGATTCCTCCATGCATACTTCACTTCAGTACCAGGGACAGCTCCATTCATGCCTCCCCATTGCAGATAGTCATGCAGTGGTCGATGCTGAAATGATTAAGTTCTCATTGCAGTATAGAGAGCTGCCTTATAGCAGGTCAGATTATTTGCCCATCTAGTCCAGTATTGACTGCTCTGGCAGGCAGGAGCTTTCTGGAGTCACAGTTTGGAGTTTCCCCCCATCACCTTCTGCTTGATATATACAGATGACAGAGGTTGAACCTGAATTGTGAAACAGGCACTCTTTCACCAAGCTGCAAGTCCTTTGCTTCTTGCTAATTTTGTGGGTTCATTGGAACACCCATGAACCTTTCAATTAGACATTAAATGCTCAGTTCCATGTTTGGAAATGCAGTTGTTATGATTAAGGTGATGTTTTATGGGATGGCATGTTCTACATTTGAGAAAAGGTGAATGCCGGGGCAGAGCTCCCTTTCAGCAGACATCAGAGGCTAACATAAATGTAAAGAGATAGGGTGAGGCAGCTGCTCTGGATGGACAAGTGTGTGACACAAGGGGGTGATGTTCTGTCTTATTAACTCTCTGGTCTGTTAGGAGTTCTGACTTGGAACAAATGCATCTAGTTAAGACTGGAGGTGGAAAAAGAAGTGACAGAAATGTTCTTTTTCTTTGTTGTTGTTGTTGTTATTTGAACCAGGAGTGGGGAACCTCAGGCCCAGGAGCTGAATGCAGCCCCCCAGGTCTCCCCATTTGGCCCTCAGGACTCTGCCCAGGCTATATACCTCCCCACAAACAACCCCTCACTGATGCTGTGCACCCTCCTCAACAGCTTTTGCCTGGCTAGACAATGTCTTTCAACTGCAATAATGCCTCTTCCTCAGATTGATGGATGTATGTGTACACAAACCTCTCTGGTCCTTGCATGGCTGAAATGTAGGTACAAAAGGTAAGAGCTACATGCCCTGCCCAACTTTTGTCTTGGCCGCTGGAAGGTTGCTCACAATGAAGATTCAGGGCAGAGAAAAGAACGTATGAGGACAAGGATGGCTACAAGCCATGATGGCTATGCTCCCCCATCGTGGTCAGAGGCAGTAATGCTTCTGAACGCCAGTTTTTAGAAACCACAGGAGTGGCGAGTGCTCTTGTGGGCACCTGGGTGCCTACTCTGAGTACAGGATGCTGAACAAGCTGGCACATTGGCCTGATCCAGCAGGCTCACATTATGTTCTTACGCACAAGAGAATGTGGTCCTTGGGCTTTCTATGCACAATAAGGCAGGGTATTTTTGTTTCCAAATAAATGTTGTTGTTTTTAGAATAGACATATTCTAAAAAGGGGGAGGGAGGGAGAGAGAAGCCCTGTTCTGCTAGAAGAAATCCTAGGTTCTCATTTCAGGGCTTCTCATAAACTCTGCTAACTCAAATGACTTCTGCTGATTACCTCATGCCTATTTCGCTTGCATTTTATTTCCTTTTCCTCCACCAGGGATCGATGGTGAAATGAACCATTACTTCTCAGTAATGCTTGTCCCTCATGCTCCTCTGGAGAAGCAACTTGACAGCACAGTTGTCTGAGGCAGCCTCTTCTCATTATCCGTCTCACGCTTTCGTGGCTCCGGCTACTGAGCTCTTATTAACTGCTGGTTCTCTCATTTTATTTCTCACTTCCTCTTTAACTGTCTTGTGAGCTCCACTCACCCCTTTAAACTGCTCTGAAGCCCTCTTCCTTTTATCTGGTTCTCTTGTGCATTATCAATACAGAGTGGTGGTCTTGTTTTTTTGCCCCTTTTCAGAAGCTGGCACTTGCTCCATGAACTCTAAACCAGGGATGGGAGTGTTTGTGGCCATTCAGATGTTGTTTGGCAGGTGGAAGTTGGAGCCAAAAAACATTTGGAGGGCCAACAGCTTCCCCGTTACTGCTCTAAATATGTAAAACTGCCTTGAACAGAGTCAGACCATATGGTCCTTGTTGGGCCTGGGATTTTCCACCATGGCAACCCTAACTCACTGATGATTCTCCTGCCATCCCTTGTGGCCACAGGTTAGGCATGTTAGCAGAAGCAGCTGAAGAAAACAGACTGAATCCAGAAAACACAGGACCTGTCAAACTTTTAAACTAATAGGCCGAACAAAACTGTAGCAGTAAAAATGTTGTACCTAATAGTTTACAGACCAAGTCCTATATATGGCAGCAGAACATACCAGGATAGGCTTCTAACAGAATGAATCTGCTGCCCCTTCTAAACAAAATAAACCAAGGCTGGAGGAAATTCATTTTGCTCCATGCAACTGCTAAGCATGCAACATGCCCTGTCCTCATTATGGCCCATGCAAGGATGTCAACTTGAATAAAATTGGGGGGGCATCCCAAATAATTGATCACATGATGTGGCACATGCACACCATTTAAATTGCAATGCCCATCAAGTTTGTTTTGGGGGGTGTCCTCCAAAAAAGTTTTAGGGGGGCCTGAAGGGACCTTGCCCCCTACCAGTTGGCTCTTATAGACCCATGTTCTCTGGAAGCATCCCCGTGTGACTCCTGTCACTGTATCTACTGACTGCATTAAAACTTTTAGAACAAATTAACCCTCAGCTTGCACTCTTTGGTTTAGCCGACCCCCCCTTTCATTGTTGCTGCAAGAAGGACTGCATGTGGTCCAATCACAGCTACCCAAATCTGATGTCACATGGACACCCCTGGACAGGAGTGACTTCATCTAGAAGCCAAGTCTCAGATGAGAAAAACTGGGAGGCAGAATGGAATCAAGAGGTCCTATAGAGAGAAGACAACACAGGAGTGCTTCTGGTCCATGGGGTCATGAAGAGTCGGACACGACTAAATGATTAAACAACAACAATAGAGAGGAGAGGACACTTGGTGTGGGGGGGGGGAGAGGAGAGTGACCATGGATTTTGCGGAGGAACTACAAGCTGTGCATCTAGCTGAAAAGCCTCAGCTTGAGGAAGAAGGCAGCAGGACAGAAGGCCCAGTGAGGAAGCTGAACTCCACTTCCTCATCTAAACCCTTCTCTAATGGCCTCAATGAGACTTTGAGGGATAAGAAGGACTCTTTGAAGAAACAGAGCCTTCCCCCCAACCAAATCATGGACTTTCCTCCTTCAGCAAGTAGAACAACAGGTTAGGGGCAAGGAGAGAGAAGGTTCAGGATTATTAGTTGCACCTAGTATTAGTCCTACTCATAGCAGATCCATTGAAATTACTAGGCATGACTCAAGTTCATTCATTTTAATGGGTCTCCTCTGAGTAGGACTAGCACTGGCAACCACCCTATATCTGTGACCATTTCTCTTTCTCTCTCTGATTGAATTCAAACAATTTCTGTGCAAGGTGGTACAAATCAGAGCAGGGATCGCTTCCAAGTGCTTCCTGGCATCTCACTGGTCCAAGTGTAAAGAAGATGCTATAGGCAAATGTTTGCTTAAAGCAAAAGTAATGCCTCTGGCTCTGCCATACTGTTATAATGTTAGGATGAAGTGATGGGGGAGGGAACGGAATGCAAACAGCAGAATGGTGAGAAAATGGAGGGAGACCTCTCTCTCTCTCGGTGTGTGTGTATTATTCATGATTTACAACACTTTCATCAATTAATAAACAATTCTACATTTGAATTGTCATAAAGCTATTCCGAGAAAGGCCCTGTCTTACAGTTTCTATATTCACAACAAGGACTCGTTTTAGGTTCTGATTTGGTTGCTCTCTCCTCAAGCCCATACACTTGGGCCAGTGTTATATGTCTGACTAGACATTTCCTTGCTTTGGGGCAATCGACCCTTTTATATCCCTCTACCTTAACTTGGTGCTTAGTCGAGGAGTCGTTCTTTCACATTGATTTTACATTTAAATGGAAATGTATCCAAAACACATTTAAGAGCATTGGCTTCAGCCCTTACACGGAATCGTTCAGCCCTGCATTGGCAGTGTGAATCCATCTATTTCAGAAACAGGAGCAGAACAAAAGAAGAATATTTATCCGGGATAATGAAATATTTGATTAGCTGCATGAACCAATTAGGCCAAGCAGGGATGAAAGAACAGAATGTGCCTTTGTGGGATTCTTTATTTCACACAGATCAAACCTTTCTGTAACTGAACTAGCTGCCCTTTTCTGTAGATAGGAACTGTATTACTTGATGGGGTGGGGGAAAGGATGGTTAGAGAGGGAGAGTGCCAGTTGCCCAAACCTCCAGGGCTCAGGGGCCTTTCCAGCATAGACGTCTCTAAATATATTCAGTTGAACCAGACAGAGAATAGGGGAAAATGCATATCTTCTTAACAGTTAGGTAGCAATAAGAGATCTCTTTCAAAAATCCTAGGATTCAGGACATCAGAACCCACAGGCAGCTTTCAGGGTCCTGCTAAGGCCCACTAATAAAAATAATAATTTTATTATTTGTAGCCCGCCCATCTGACTGGGTGGTCCCAGCCACTCCAGGCAGCTTCCAGCATCCCTTCCAGGTCCCTTGGCGCTGGACCTTAGTGTCTGGGCTGAATGATGGGAGCGGAGACACTCTTTCAGATATACAGGGCCAAGGCTGTTTAGGGCTTTAAAGATCAGACCAACACTTTGAATTGTGCTCGAAAATGTAAGGTTAAGGTAAAGGTAAAGGGACCCCTGACCATTAGGTCCAGTTGTGGATGACTCTAGGGTTGCGGCGCTTATCTCGCTTTACTGGCCGAGGAAGCCGGGTCATGTGGCCAGCATGACTAAGCCGCTTTCTGGCAAACCAAAGCAGCGCACAGAAATGCCGTTTACCTTCCCACCAGAGCGGTACCTATTTATCTACTTGCACTTTGACGTGCTTTTGAACTGCTAGGTTGGCAGGAGCAGAGACTGAGCAATGGATTCAAACCGCCAGCCTTCTGATTGGCAAGCCCTAGGCTCTGTGGTTTAACCCACAGCGTTACCCTCGTCCCTTGCTTGAAAATGTACCGAGAGCCAATGTAGGTCTTTGAGGATTGGTGTTATGTGGTCCCACTGCTAATTTCTGGTTGCGGCTCATTTCCAGTGTTCCAATTAGCACCTTCAGGTTTCTCACGATTTTCTGCCATAGGCCCATGGCTGCATTTAACTTTCAGAGGATGCTAAAATGTCATACCCATCTTAGAAAGACATTCTTTCATGTGTGGAAGAAGATGGGGTGGGAGACGCCTCTCCCAATGTGTTTCCTGCCACCTGTGGTTCTTCAAAAGCCTTGTGCTAAAATGAATCAATGTAATAATTAATCTAACCCATCAATTGACTAAAACCCCAGAACCCAATGGGACCACCTGTTCTAAGAGATGTGTGATGTGTGTCCCTCCATGCCATGGTTTGATTTGAAAGGCTATTACTGACTTGAAGTTCCTACCACATTAATCTACCTTAGTGTATATATCTGTGCACAGACAACCCACAATCACAACACTCCCGTGTGGTGATGGGTGAATGTGACCAATTTGACTTCTCTCGGTTTCTCATCTTTCCAATCTTAAGTTCAGTTCTTCACATTTCTACATCACTTTTTGATTTTCTTTTTAATGAAAAATCATCGGCATTTTAGTGCAAATGTCTCCTAATATTTATGTTTGTATGCAATTTTGCCCAACACACAGATTTTTTGCAAAGCAATTTACTACATTGTAATGCATTTCTGCATGTTATTTTCTCCAAAGTATGCATTTTTGCACACACCTGACCCTACTATATGCATTTCTGTACACATTACTTGGCTGGATAACTTCATCACAAAATTCAGAGAAGTGTGAATTTTGAAGATGACTATGTTTTGGTTCTCATATTCTTCCAAAAAGTGGGAATTGGGTAGCTCCTCCTTTTGATGTGGATTGACTTCCCTGCCTTTCACTACTCCCATGTCTCCTCTCTTCACCTACCACTCTTACTTGAGCTCTCAAAGTATGTAGGCGCAGGAATTCAATGCTGTGTTTTTATTTTAACCATGCTCCCCAGACAACATCTGAGTGTTCTGGCCTGGCTGGAATGTGTCGTTGAACACTAAAAGCTCTTGCTCATCTGGATGTAGGATAAAGAGGATAAAGAGGACTATGTGCATGCAGAAAGTTGCCTACTGTATGAGGGTGAAATTCCCATCAATGGCCCTGCTCCCTTTTGCCTCTGGCTCCACCCACTCATAGCATGTGGTCCTCAGAAAGTTGCCCATGAAGGAATGTGGTCCTTGGGCAGAAAAATAGTCGCCATCCCCATCCTAGCCCGTTGCCTGCCTTGCTTGTCTTTTGTCATTTGGACCTTTGTGCTTTAGCTTCTAGATCTTGCCCTCAGCCTTTCTCCTGCATAGGAGTGTCCCTGTTTTCATTGTAAAATGTTGGATGTTTTGTGAGAGCAAAATTAGCCACTGCTAGATAAGCTATGCTGGGACTCATACTGACAACAACAAAAGTTTCGTTCTTACAACTTGCTGAGGAAGAGATGGGAAGCAGCACTTAGAATCGACTCAGGCCCTCCTTTTGACAAATCACAGCCACTTTGCCATAATAGGCTCTGAGGGTCCAAATAAACCCCCTTTTCAGAAAACTCCAGCTCCCCCTACTGGTTTAAGGATGCATTCCCTGAAACAGCTGTGTCCACCAGAGACAGCCCTTTAGAAAGTAGAAAGTAGAAAGTAGAAAGTAGAAAGTAGAAGCAAACCTGTTTTCTTGTACTACTCTAGCACATTGTTGTTGTTGTTTAGTCATTTAGTCGTGTCCGACTCTTCGTGGACCCCATGGACCAGAGCACGTCAGGCACTTCGGTCTTCCACTGCCTCCCACAGTTTGGTCAAAGTCATGCTGGTAGCTTCAAGAACACTATCCAACCATCTCGTCCTCTGTTGTCCCCTTCTCCTTGTGCCCTCCATCTTTCCCAACATCAGGGTCTTTTCCAGGGAGTCTTCTCTTCTCATGAGGTGGACAAAGTATTGGAGCCTCAGCTTCATGATCTGTCCTTCTAGCACAGAATGACTTAATTGTCCGGAATGATCACCTCATAATGACCTATTGTGAGAAAAAGTAGAATTAGTAGTGGCTGGACGTTAAAACCTCTGGCAGCATGTGAACACAACAGACCTTCTATTAAAAGCATTTGTACTTGATCACCCATCCCTGAGCTATCAAATCGTGGTTCTGGCAGCTTTTCCCACCAACCCATGCATTATTCTTTTGAATTAAATTTAAACACATCCTAACAAATGTTGATGAATAGCTAAAGCTGCTGTTCCTGGATCATGAAACGACCCCAAGAGCCTCATTCCCCAGAAACAGGTTTTGCCAAGAGTCCTCCCGCTTTTTAAAGAATTGTCTTTACAGTTTCCTTTTACATCATTAGCACTGTGTAAATGATAAACACGACTGGCAGCTTGCAGTTCATGTGTTGCTTAGTTGTGTTTTTGTTTCATACCTGCTAATTACCCACCGTACTTCCAGCATTCGGGCACAAGAGGGAATTATCTAAGCAGATGAAGTTTGTCACGCGAGGATGAGCAAAGCCGTACAAGCAGACGTCTCCCCTTCCGAAAGAGATCATCAAGAGACATAGGAACTGTTTCCTGCTTCACCCTTCCCAAAGTGAAAGGAACAATTCTTGGGAGGACTCTCTGAAATGGTTCAGAGAAGAGTGAGGTCAGGGCTGAGCAGCTTCACTATCTCCAGTATTCCCATAATGCTTTGGCAGCAAAATGTTACAAATCAGGATTGGAGGCTTCTGCAACTTCCTAAACGGCCTCGGCCCAGTATACCCGAAGAAGCATCTCCACCCCCATCGTTCAGCTCAGACACTGAGGTCCAGCTCCGAGGGCCTTCTGGCGGTTCCCTCCCTGCGAGAAGTGAGGCTACAGGGAACCAGGCAGAGGGCCTTCTCGGTAGTGGCGCCCACCCTGTGGAACACCCTCCCATCAGATTTCAAGGAAATAAACAACTATATGACTTTTAGAAGACATCTGAATGCAGCCAGCCCTGTTTAGGGAAGTTTCTAATGTTTAATGTTCTATCGCTTTTTATTATTATCATTGGGTGGGGTATAAATAATAATAATAATTATTATTCCATGGTAGGTGAATCCTCCTTAGGGAGATCAAACTGCATGTGTCTATCTAGTCCAGGAAGGGGGAACCTTTGGCTCTTCAAGTGTTTTGGATTCCAACTCCCATCAGCACCAGATAGCATGGCAATAAGGATGATGAAAGTTGTCGCCCATATTGGGGTGTGTGTGTTTGTAGGCTCCTCATCCCTGATCTAGTTCATTATTGGGCTCTAACTACCAGCAGCTCTTCATATACACCATATATACACCAGCAACTTAAAAGCAAGGCAAAGCTTGCACCCACCAATGAGAACTTCGCCCAATTATATATTAAGTTGCTGGTGTATATATATATGGTGTATATATATATATAAATAAAAATAAAAAAGGATCAGGTTGCAAATGTCTGAGAGCATGAAGAGCTGCATTTAAATGACTTCACAGCAACAAACCACCCCCCAAATTATCAAACCATCCCCATATCCTTTTGTTTTTGCTTTTGGTCAACTAGTCTCAATGGAAAAAGAAACAAAAACAAAAGACCCAGGATGTTTTTTTGGCACAGCACACCATCCCTTTCTCTTCTCCGCAGCAAAAAAAGGGATGGTTTGTTGCTGTGAAGTCATGTTGGGCTAGTGCAGGAGTTCTGTGCATCTCCCCACAATGAAATAATCTCTCTCCTTTGTGCAATATGTTACAACACTTAGGTAAACGAGTCAAGAAGCTCACAAGCGGGTGGGCATCAAAGGGTAAGAGGAAACACCGTGGTACACATGCCGATTCTTCCTGGCATTCAGGTACTCGCTCAAAAGCCTATCCCACTGGAAGTAATGTGCTGCATTTAAATGTGCATTTAGTTGCAGGTGCCATGCCCCTGCATCACATTTCTCAATGCCAGGGAACATGCAACCCACTTGCCTTACCCATAGGGGCACATTTCTTCTTCAGCAACAGATTGCAAGAATGATGACCATGAACAGGTGTGTCAAAACGATCACAAGACTGGATACAGTGGAGGTTTGGGTGAATATGTTGCCTCTCTCCATTGCAGGGAATATCCATCTTTGTGGGAAATTCAGCAGAGGCCTGCTCCGAAATGCAGGGCTATTCGAGGCTACCTTTTCGCTGCCAAACAATTGAAGAGCGGAACATATGCCTTAGGGGCCAATATGGGATCGTCTCACCTTGAAATGAGATTTATCATAAGAGGCATGCCTGGTTTCACAGTCTAATGTGGATATATCGGAAGGTGGCTGAACTTTCCTCAAGACTCGAGCCATTGACACCATTCATCCCCAGGTCTTGCATATATACGGAGTGAATGGAAGCAATCATTGGACTCTGTAATTGCCTCTCCCTGTTGCGGACAAAATCTGGATATTGTTGATGTGTGGGTGGGCTAAAAGACTTTGATCTTTGTCCATTCCAGTCTGAAGTGACTTGCTCCATAAGCCGCTGGACTAATGTGTGAATGGGAACTTAGTTGCCTTCTAGCTTTGCACTTCCCAAACGTTCCAATGCAAAGGTCATATTTTTGAAAGAAAAAAAAAAGGTAGAAAAAGTACACTTGAAAACAAGTATTTTGAGAGAGAAAAATATCAGTGCCTGCTCTGAGAACGAATGAATTTTAAAATATTTTCAATGAGCATTTAAATGTGATTTCCTGCAAAAAAAACCAACAACAAAAACTTTTTCTTTTAATGCCACAAATAAATAAATCAAAAGGTATGGAATGGACTAAAGGGTGAAGAAATGGGAAAATGCTATGGGCTGGAAGTAGAGTGATTCACCATTTCCCAGGTGGGACTACAAAATCTAGAAAGCATGGAATATAGGGGGAATCAGTCTTTTTGACCCAGTGGGCACATGGGCAACCTCACTTCTTGCAGGGAGCGAACTGCCAGAAGGCCCTTGGAGCTGGACTGCCATGTCCGGGCTGAACGATAAAGGTGGAGATGCTCCTTCAGGTATATAGGACTGAGGCCGTTTAGGGCTTTAAAGGTCAGCACCAACACTTTGAATTGTGCCTGGAAACGTACTGGGAGCCAATGTAGGTCTTTCAGGACTGGTGTCATATGGTCTCGGTGGCTGCTCCCAGTCACCAGTCTAGCTGCCGCATAGGGCTGCATATGTAAGTAACAGCACCTTGAACTTGGCCCAGTAAACAGCTTGATAGACAATGCCAATCCTGCAAGGAGGGTGACTTTTTGCACCTTTCCTGAATTCGGAACAGATGGAAGAGTGGGTGTCCAATCCTGGCATCTAATGAAACGTGGGCATGTTTGATAGGGCATGTTCAGTGCCTGAGAGGCAAAGCAAGTGCAAATAAGCAGTGAGCAGGAAGAACAAACAGTCCCTCATGCATTGCGGATTCTTGAGGAAATATTTACAGAAACCTTTCATGGGCAACGTAGGAGGTACCAGTGGGTACATTTGTGCCCACATTGGTGACCCCTCATGCAAGATTTGTCAAATGATACTTGGGGAATGGAGTGTACATAACGGATTCTTCTTCACAGATTACTATAGTGTCATAATGGGGCTTTTCAGGGATGCTGTTACATCATCATCTCATGGCCATACAATTAACTTTATTGCAATCAACATCTTTATGTATTAAAATATGTCCTCTAACGCCGAAGAAGTTAGCACTTTATTCTCCCCGATACTGGGCTTCCCTTCACAGTAGTGCACATCAATAGCAATTATGTGACTTTTCAGCGAGAAGGCAACCAGCAGGAGACACTTAAAAGTGCCAAATGACATTTTCAAACACATTTCATGGTGAGAATTGCTTCTTCCCTTGTCGGATTAGAGACAGAGTCCTTTTACTTTCTTTTCAATATGAACTTAAAGCCTTTGCTTTTGAAGACTGGAGGCTTGTTTATGCACTGCTTTTGTCTTGGGCTGAAATCAGAGTGGTGAAAGTCAGTTCCCCCATATCAGTCTGCATAAAATTTATTTGGGAGTGCACTGTCCTCCAGTTGCCCCCATCTCCATAGGGTGGGCAGTAGGAGGGTGGGTAGAGAAGAGATGGGGCACCTGTGGCTCTCCAGATGTTGTCAGAGTCCTCTGCCCATCAGTCCCAGCAGGCAAGGCCAATGGAAAGGGATGGGGTGGGAGTTGTAGTACAGCAACATCTGGAGAACTGCAGGTTATGCATTCTTGGGGTAGAGGACTGTTTCTTGGTGCGATATCTAAATTTGAATCTATTCATATACATTAGTATATGTAAATTGTATTCAAATCTCTGCTGTCTTTTGTTCTTTCTTTTGATGATGCATATCCCCTTTTCTGTAGGTGCATCAGGGACCCCCCTTTATGGCAGAGTATTAAGGGAGTGCTCTCTCTTTTAAATGAAAGGTTTTGTTATTATCAAAGCTTTAAAAGGAAAGAAAAAACAATGTACAAAAGTTAACATAAAAACTGAAAAAGAGAAAATAAAGAAGAAAGTACAAATGAAAAGAAAAATATTTCTTTTTAAAATAATTTTTTATTGGGTTTTACATTTTTTATCATATTGCAACATATCAGATAATCAAACTCAATAATATACATTCCCCCAATTTTGCCCCCCCTCCCAACTTCCCTCAACTTCCTCTTCTGGTCCCCCCCCCCCATATTGACTCCCCCTGCTTGCTTTCAGATCTCTTCATATGGTAGCTCTATATTAATTGTTGTTGTCTTTTATCCGTCTATCCTCATCTTTATAGTTTTTATACTTATTCTTTTGTTAATTGTAAGTGTTTACTCAAAGACATTTTTTTTCCCATTTTTTCTTTGAAAAGAAAAAGATTTCTGATTCTCTGACAGCTACAGTATCTATAAAGGTAAAGGTAAAGGGACCCCTGACCATTAGGTCCAGTTGTGGCTGACTCTGGGGTTGCGGCGCTCATCTCGCTTTATTGGCCGAGGGAGCCGGCATACAGCCTCTGGGTCATGTGGCCAGCATGACTAAGCTGCTTCTGGCGAACCAGAGCAGTACACGGAAACGCCGTTTACCTTCCGCCAGAGCAGTACTTATTTATCTACTTGCACTTTGATGTGCTTTCGAACTGCTAGGTTGGCAGGAGCAGGGACCGAGCAATGGGAGCTCACCCCATCGCGGGGATTCGAACCACCAACCTTCTAATCGGCAAGTCCTAGGCTCTGTGGTTTAACCCACAGTGGCACCTGCATCCCATACAGTATCTATAGACTTACGAAAAAGACGTGCCCATTTAATCATGCATTCTTTAACTTATTCCTCTTCCATTTCAAATTTCAGCCAGTGTTTATACATTTTTGATATAACATGTTCATCATCATTACACAATTGCATCTCAAAATCCATCTTACTTTGTTCCATGCCCATATTTTAATCCAACTTAAATCTCTCTACTAGTTGTAAATAAGAAAACCACTGAAACTTGTGATCTCCCATTACTAATTGTTCCATTAATTAATTTATTTTTATCATCTCCTTGATGCAACTCTAATAACTCTTGATAGGATAATCACTTCTCTTTTCCTGCCACCATTTTGTTTAGAAAGCTTCTATAGAAGCTTTCTATAGAAATCTGTTGGGGAGTGCTAAGCACTCTCAAGCCTTCCTCAACCTGGTCTCTCTGGATATTGTTGGACTTATCCCTGACCATTGCTTCCTTTGGCTGCTGAGTATGTGGGAACTGGGCACCCAAGAGCACGAAGGCAGCAGCAAATTGGGAAAGGCTGAGCTTATCTTTTGGCCAGTGGAAATAAAGGCATATTGGAGAAGTGGGGGCTATCAGTGGCAAAACAGCATTAGAGAAAAGGATGAAGAAGCTTATATATCAACCTGCCCCCTAATTCTACACTAACTGACCAAGCTGGTGCCCTCTGGATGTTTAAGACTACAAGTCCCATCATGCCCAAGCAGCACACGTCTATTCAGAGGAAAGTCCTATTGAGTTCAGTGTGACTTATTACCAGAAATGTGGGTTTTGCATTGCAGCCTGATAACGTGGTCTGCCCACATTCACCACAGCAAAAGTCGGAGAAGGGGGAACTGCAGCAACAGAAATGCTGTGGAATCCAGATGCCATGGTTAGCATAAAAGCTGATAACTGAATAGCATGCGGCTGTTTCAACACAAACAGCTAAAAATGCCTTTGAGCTTCTCATAGGTTAATGCTTTTAGATGGAACAGAATGCAAAAGAGACACATTTTAAAATCAAAAGCACCTTCTTTTTAAGAAATTCAGTGCCCCCCCCCCACATTTGCAAATAGGCTTTTCATGCTACATACACAGGACCATGATCTAGAATCACCTTATACTTTGCTCTTAGATTATTGCTTTGGGGGTTTTGCTGGTATTATAAATTGCTGTTTATTACTGATACATTATCATTGTGTTTTAAGAGCTTTTTAAAAAACTGTTTTGCTTAGGACTCAGTATAAACTACTTAGCTTGTTCATAATAACAGTGTTCATAAATGCTGAAAAAATGGATCCCACTTCTATTGATTTGGGGGGCAGTTGTTGTGAACCTCTTCATGTTGTTCTGAAACTGCTATAAAGTTAAGAAAAAAAGTATGCCGTAAGTCAGGCAGGGCCAATTGTTTGGCAATTCTTATATTCTTGGCAAAATCAGCATATTTGATGCAGCTCTCCTTAATACACATACAGCAACAACAACCTTAATATTCACAGTGTTGCAACATTCTTCAGTAGGGCTGTACAACCAATTTGTCTGAATCCCAAACTACACTGTACTGTTTATTTTAATAATTTGTTCTTAACCTGGATTGGGCTGAGGTAGTGACAGATCACTACAAAGAGGCTTGAGTGGATCCAAATCAATTTGTAGCCATTTATGCCAATTCATAATGAGAAAAAGGGACGCAGGTAGCACTGTGGTTAAACCACAGAGCCTAGGACTTGCCGATCAGAAGGTCGACGGTTCAAATCCCTGCAACGGGGTGAGCTCCCATTGCTCGGTCCCTGCTCCTGCCAACCTAGCAGTTCAAAAGCATGTCAAAGTGCAAGTAGATAAATAGGTACCGCTCCAGCGGGAAGGTAAATGGCGTTTCTGTGCGCTACTCTGGTTCGCCAGAAGCGGCTTAGTCATGCTGGCCACATGACCCGGAAGCTCCCTCGGCCAATAAAGCAAGATGAGCGCAGCAACCCCAGAGTCAGCCACAACTGGACCTAATGGTCAGGGGTCCCTTTACCTTTACCTCCACATACCCTCCGAGTGTCCCTATTTTCCAGGGACAGTCCCGGAATTACGAAAGCCACAGGTGCCAACTCCTAGGGGCTGAGGTGTGTCTTCAGCCCTCTCAATAAATTTTATTGGGGGGCTCAGCACCCCCAATATTGAGGCGGCTGAGGGTGGAGCTGAGAGTGGCACAGCATCAGTGACAAACTTCTCCTGAGCATGAGAGAGGAGGAGCTGTGGCCATTTAAGCTGCACAGCATTGGGCTCCATGCGTAGCCTCCTGCCCACAATGTTGTGCTTCCGTCTCCACCTCCTGCCACTGCTGCCACTGGTGCAAGCCTGCTAGGCTGCTACTGAGGCCGCCACCACAAGGCCTCCCAGGTCGCTAGAAGAACCTTCGACTTTGTATCAAATCTGGGGGACATTTCTTGGAGCTCATCTTCTAGCTTCCTAATAAGATCCTTGATCTCCTTGCACGTGGATGTGCTTTATTCCATTAGCAGTACACTATGAGTACAAACAGTGGTTTATTTAGTCGCTCTGGAGCATCTTACCTATATATTGTCTGCATATACCATGTATTGCCTTCTGATATATTACCCGCTTCTTAATTCCCAGAATGCAGAAACGGCAAGAACAGAGTTGTGTATTTACAGCTGTCCTCTTCGCGTTTATTTTCCTGCTAGCAGCTGTGAGCACTACCGAGGCAGGGAAAAAAGAAAAGCCAGGTAAGGATGCTATTGCTTATTATGAGTAATTTCGAAAAGTGGGAAGTTTTCACTTTCCTTGTCTGTTTTATACATGTGTTGGTATACAAAGTGTTTTCTCCCCCCTCCCTTTTCCCCTACCTTGACTAGTTGGGGAAAGGTTGGGAAGAAGAATTCAACATCTTGCTATGTTGGTCGTTCCATCATCACAAGCATTTCAGCTTGCCAGATGGAAAGATATGCTTCCACATCCTGTTCTGGGGTTCTCCTGTTTCCACACCCCCCCAGCAAGTTTTAGGGGGCATGAGGGGAAGAATGTCCTACTGCAGAATTCTGTGTACAGGCTTCCTCTGATTTCACTCAGGTGAATCCTGCCCATTGTCATTAACACCACCACTTTTTGGGGGGGTGGGGCATATCAGCATAGCTGTCAACCTTTCCCTTTTCTTGTGAGGAATCCTATTCAGAATAAGGGAATTTCCCTTTTAAAAAGGGAAAAGTTGACAGCTATGCATATCAGTCACCTAAAACACTTTGTAGGCGCATCACTGATCGGTGGCAAAGAGGACGCCCCTCTACCGCGCTTGCCTTAAATGTGGCAAGCCACACCCCCTGAGCCAGCTGATTGGCTGGCTAGGGGGATGATGCGACAGAGGATTTCCCTGATCGCGCGGGGCCTCCGCACGAGTGTTGGGGGCGTGAGCCCGCAACACCACCTCCTCCCGAGGTCAGAAGTGGCTTTGTGCTGGACTGCCACCCCACTCCTATGCATGAAGAAAATATGGACAAATCTGTCCATTTCATTCCTCTAAGTTTCTCATTTTCCCAATCTTAAATTAAGTTCTTAATAATAATAATAATAATAATACCCCGCCCATCTGGCTGGGTTTCCTCAGTCACTCTGGGCGGCTTACAACATATCTAAAAACATCATCAAAAAATCAAGCATTAAAAACCTCCTGATACAGGGCTGCCTTCAGATGTCTTCTAAAAGTTCTATAGTTCTTCATCTCCTTGACATCAGAAGGAAGGGTGTTTCACAGGGAGGGCGCCACTACTGAGAACTATTTCTGCAACCATTTGCAATTTTCTTTTATATATAAATAAAATTCTCATGAATATTTGTTGGTACTTTGGCCCGAATGCCCCCCCGCCCCATAAACCTCTGTTCAAACTTCATCTACACTGGGGGAAGCCGTTCCATAGGGTTTGCATGATACTTTCAGGAGCACCATCACAGCAACCCAGGCACAAGGATCCATCGGGCATGCAGTTTCCCATGCATCCTGTAGATCTTACTTGGATATCAAAGTTCTGATAGTGAGGCATCGCCATTGTGAGGCCTTGCTGTCAGCAGGGTTTTGTTTCATTTTAAGTGTGTGGCTCATAGGAAACGGGATTTGGGAGACCTCAAGGAGTGGTCATCCTCTGATGGCATCATCAGGAGAGTGATTTCTCATTAGCTCAGAATGGAGGCCACCTTAATTCATGCCTAGATTGAAATGAGCCCAAATTAAGTAACTTTGGTTGAGCCCACTGCAAATTGAGTCACATGTCTCTATTCACGGTAGTGGTCATCATTTGGTCATATTACTTATGCTATGGGATGAAAATGTCTTGTTTGGTTCTCAGGATTCATTTGAAGGATAGGAAAACTACTCAGGCTTTTCAAGTTCTGTGCCTCATTCAAAATTTGCCTTGTGCCTCATTCAAAACCTTACGGCAAATATTAGGGTTTTATTGGGCAGGCTCCTCAACTCTCTCTTCTCCCAGGGGACAGATTCAACTGATGTGAGAATGTCAAGTACTTTGTGCTTTGTTATGAAATACAAAGAAACCATTAACTTTTTTTGACAAAGTGACTGGGGACTTGCTGAAGTGACAAGTTGCTGATGCTGTGTTTCATTGTAAATGGCAATGGAGGAATTGAATGCAGCAGAATCTGACATCCCTGGAGTCATTGGCTTACAGCAAGGAAGAAATATAGCATCATATCTTCAAAACTGTCTGACTCAGGAAGGTCTTGGAATGGCTGCATCGCTACGTGAGGGAGGGGGAAAACTTTTGAGAAAGAAAGGGTTGCTGAACCCCAAGATCAGTTAATTTTAGCAAAGAACTAGCTCTGATCTTACACAGTTTGATCACATATAAGTGGTTAAGCAGGGGAATCTCAGACTTGCCTCAAGGTCTGTATTAAGTAGAGTACAGCAAGGATGCAGTTAGCCAGTGGCGTAGCACTGGGGGGGGGGCACAGGGGCGGCTGCCCCAGGCACAAAATTGTTAGGGGTGCAAAATTTTGACACTCAGTGTTGCCTCAGTACAGCTGCATGCTTCCGTCACTAGGCTCTGTTGAAAACGACTTCTCCATGCAAACCAGGAAGTGACCTCTCTAGGCAATGTGTACTCCATCCATTTCCTCCCCCTCCACCTGGCGCGGCCATGGTTTCTGGCAACCCACGCTACGCCACTGCAGTCACCTCCCGTCCCAAGCAGTCAGTCCACACAAGTTACTTTAGGTGCACCCTGACCTTTATTTTCTTCTGAGTTGTGTTCCTTGTGGTTCTTTCCAGAGAAGAAGGTGAAAAAATCTGACTGTGGAGAATGGCAATGGAGCGTTTGTGTCCCTACTAGCGGAGACTGTGGTCTAGGGACCCGTGAAGGCACCCGGACTGGAGTTGATTGTAAGCAAACAATGAAGACGCAAAGGTGTAAGATCCCCTGCAACTGGAAGAAGCAATTTGGAGGTAATGTTTACAGGCTTGAGATTAACCATTATGCTAAGTATGAATACATACCTTGAACCATTTGTTAGATTAGGCGTTGCCAACGTTTCTGAGCCAGAGGGTGCCTTTGGAATTTTGAGGAAGTGCTGTGGGCGCCGGCCACAAAGTGGCCACCATGGGATGACATATCAGAAAAAGGAAGCTGTGGAGGCATCATAGGAGAAAAGTGAGTTTTCAAGCTCCATTCATCTCTCCAAAAGTTCAAAAAAGAATCAGACTGATTTTATTTTTTTAAGCTGGCCATGTCAGACTGAGTAGGTTAATTAGCTCATCAAAGTCTTTGGGAGAACAGGAAATTTTGAGCAACAGGAAGTCAGTTTGATGAGACAGTTAAATGATAAAGCAATGGTGAAAAGTAATTAGGAGCAACATTCTGTTGCCTTCATTTGCTGGAGATTTGAGCATATCATCCTACTAAATTAGGCATTTCTCTTCCATTAGGATTAAGATTTGTGGAGCGTTTATTTTTCTGATGCAGGGTGAAAGGAAAACCTAGTGAAAATGCAATATCCTACAAGGCAATTTTCTGTAGTAAAACATAAGTAAAGGCAGACAGGTGGGCAGAGAGATAATTCATTTGGTTTCATGATCATGTTGAAAAATTTTGGGCATGAGGAATTCACTTTTTGCATTTGTGTGTGTGTGTGACTTGAGAAGTTCTGCAGCTCCCCAGACGAATGTGCAGAGTGAAACACAGTTACCCTTTGGATTTTGCCCTTCTCCAAATTCTGTAATGCAGATTTTGGCTTCAAAAAACCAAAGTCCCCAGGGAAGAGGGATTGATTGCTAAGCTCCTTTGGGAATTGTAGCTCTCGTGAGGCGAATATAGTTTCCCTAACAAATCTCAGAACCCTTAATGAACTACAGCTCCCAGAATTCTTTAGGGGGGAAGCCATGACTGTTTAAAGTGGTATCCTAGGCGTTTAAATGCATGGTGTAAACGTGGCCTCAGAGTGTGGCCCTAGAGTCCGGCAACATCTGGAGCACTAAAGGCTCCCCATCCCTGATATAAAAGAAGTTGGTCCTAGATGACCTAACATAAATATTAGCAAACGTAATTGGAACAAAAAAGCAATACCATTCTTGCCCTGTTTGGGAAGGAAGCTACCCTACATACAAGGATGTTCAAGTAGCCATATTTTGTTCTTACCTTTCAACTGCTGATAATAAAATATTATGTGCTCACTTATTTATTTATTTTGCAGCGGAGTGTAAATACCAGTTCCAGGCATGGGGAGAGTGTGACCTAAACACTGCCTTGAAGACTCGAACTGGGAACCTCAAGCGAGCCCTACACAATGCAGACTGCCAGAAGACGGTCACCATCTCAAAGCCCTGTGGGAAGCTTACCAAACCCAAACCTCAAGGTAACACACATTCGCAAATCATTGATGTAGAGCCTTTCCCTTCATTCCAACATTGCTCTTGGTCTCTTTGAAATCTTGCCTTGGCAGGGAAGGGCCATAGCTGAGTGGCTTGCAGTACAGCTAGCACTAGATTCAGTCTTCAGTATCTCTAGTTAAAAGGACAGATAAGCAGGGGGCACAGGCCTGTTTGAGAGCTGACTAGAGTTTCACAGACTGTGTAAGCAGGAAAAAAGCCTCAGACCACAAAAGGGAAATGGACAACCCAGTTTTACCAAGTGCAAAGCAAAGAACATGCCCACAAAGCCATCATGCAACCATTCAAAACAAACATCCACAAGGCTTCAGGTACAAGAGGGAATATAATTACCATTTAGAGATGGGTCCCTGCAAGCTAAAACACACCTCCAGGAAAGAATAATATCCAAGAGAAGACTTTTCTGATCAGTCCAGGCCAACGTTTCCCCAATGGAACAGACAGACAGTCCTGCATTGTGTTCTCCAGGGGCGATTGTCAATGCCTCATATTCAACTGGCAGAACTGGAGCTATTTGTGTCAGATGTTGCATAATTTCCCCTCTTTTTTCCTACACCCCACACTTGCAAAAATTGGCTGATAACTTCATGGTACCCTTGTATGGTTTCATTAGCTACTACCCACAAAGCATGAAACCTCAATCAGATGTATTGGTAAGCATCAGTCTGAAAGAGGAAGGTTGGAACCAAAAGATGGAATCAAGCCATCTCTTTACATTGGCATCTTCCTCTGCTATTTCTGTTGTTGACAGAATCCTTCAGCATCCCTTGCTGCAGCTCCCATTATTGCATCACCCTCTAGCCAGGTTGAACTAAAGACGACCAATGAAATGACTGGCTATGGCATCCCTTTAGAATAGATCTTGTCAATGCACCTTATATTGTCTGAAAGAAACTACTGATAAAGGAGATCTAGGATTTATAGACAATTGACTGAAAGTAAGGTTTGCCACCATAAAACGCTTAGAGGTTTTGTTACATTCAAGAGGTATATAATACATAAATAAATTAAGAAAGGGAACACCTCCTTTGGCTGTGAAGGATAGGGAGTGCTGCCTTAAAGATAAAACTAAGCCATTTTGTCAAGGTCTATGAAGAAAGGCAAGCTGTTGAAAAAAGTTGTAGAAAGATTCTTTTTGTTTTGTAGGTCCCCAAATGACAAATGTTCTGATAAGATAAATCTGTGTGCTTGGTTTACACTTGAGCTATATTTAGGGTGATCTTATAATAAGAAGGGCATTATCTGTCCTTCCCCTTCTTGTCTTTTAAATTAAAAACCTATTTATTCTGCCCTGAAACTTCTATAAACACTGAAGCAGTTCTAGTTTATGGTTTGGAATCCTCCCCTCCACCTCTACTTTTCATTTCATTTGATTCCTTCTTCCTAAACCATGTCTACTTCCTTACCCTTCCTAGTGGTTGATTTTCGACTTTGACTCTGCAGCCAGGAACACGTTTCTGTTTGCCGTTTAACTGTAATATACAATGCCCAGGTGTCGTTAGACACTCATTGCTGTAATGATGTTTATGTTGCTGCTGCTGCTGCTGATGATGATCAGGATTTTGGACAGCTTCAGAAAAGTGAAAAATGTGAAGGAATAATTTACCATGTAAGCCCCAGAACACAGAGATCTGCATGCTCAACCACAGGCATACCTGTGTCAATCCCAGATAAATAAGGTTGTTTTTTTAAAAAGGAGAAGTTCTAATTAATTGGGTCCTTTAATGAACTCTGCAGCTGTAACAAGTGCTGTGTGCACAGGGGAACTGATAGCAGGAACTGAAGCTGTGAAATGTACCACTGTGTCTAAGACAAGGAATTCTGTGCCCATCAGAAAAGGTGCACTGCATGGATGCTTGTTTACTGGTTCAGAGTTCCTGCTGTCACCTGAAAAACAGGAGAGCCTAATCAAATATCGCAGTTTTCTTTTGGTTTACTTGCTCTGGATAATGAGACGGATGCAGGATAGAAAACAAAGGAGGCAGGAGCCCTTTAAAGCTGTGTGTCTCAAACATTTTACCTTCAGGGAAGACTTCATGCTGACGTTTTGTCTCTGTACTGCAGAAGATTTGAGGAAGAGTGGGGGAAGGAATCATCATGACTCCATGCAAACCAAGAGCAGAAGCTAGAAAATACCCACCACTGTTCTTTAGCTGTACATTGAGGGAACATAGCTCAGTTGGTAGAGCATGAGATTGGGTTGTGGATTCAAGGCCTACCTTGGGAAAAAGATTCCTGCATAGCAGGGGGTTGGACTGGATGACTCTTGTGGTCCCTTCCAACTCTACAATTCTATGGTTCTATATATATCCTGCTGGATTGGGCGAATGGTCCAACTAGTCCGGCATCCTGTTCTTGCAGTGGTCAACCAGATGCCTGTAGGAAGCCCACAAGCAGGACATGAGTACAACATTACAATTTCCAGTAGCTGTCTTTAAGAGGCATGCTATCTCTGATCGAAAAGATATGGCATAGATATTGTGGCTAGTAGCCATTGATAGCTATATCCTCAATTAATCTGCCTAATCCTCCTTTAAGGCCATCCAAGTTGGTGTCCGTCATTACATCCCACGGGAGTGAAAGCCATAGTTGGACTATATGCTGTGTGAAGATCATTGATTCCTGTTCAGTGTTGACATGTGAGCCACAAAAAAAATGTAGGAACATAGGAAGCTGTCTTCTACCAAGTTGGACTATCAATCCATCTAACTCAGTATGGCTTACACTGATTACACCAACTAACTCTCTGGGGTTTCTGACCAGTGACATCCCCAGCCGTACCTGGCGACGCTAGAGAGGGAATCTGGGATCTTCTGCATGCAAAACATTTGCTCTAGATAGAGAGGATAAGAAGACCTCTGAAGACGGTTTGGGAAATTCGCTCACCGGGGGAAGATGGTTTGAGAATTTTACACTGATCTTTGCTCAACTGCACTGGCTGCCAATTTGTTTCCAGGCCCAATTCAGAGTGCTAGTTTTGATCTATAAAGACTGAAATGGCTCAGGACCACAATACCTTAAGCACAACCTCTTTCCAAAAGAACCCACCTGGACCCTGCAACCATCACCTAAGGCCCTTCTCCATGTGCCTCCTCCGTGAGTGGTCCAGAGGGTGTAAACACAAGAATGAGCCTTTCCTTCAGTGGCTCCCTATCTGTGGAACGCTCTCCCCAGGGAGGCTGACCTGGTGCCTTCATTATTTATTTTTAGCTGCTAGGCAAAAGTGTTTCTGTTTAACCAGACCTTTGGCTTTGACTGATTAACATTCTGTGTCCTTTTAAAGTGTTTGTGAGAGAGGGGTCATTGGTTTGTTTTTGTTCTTCTTTTTATCATGTATTTTGTGTTCTCATTTTGGATTTTTGTGTTGTGAACTGCCCCATGATCTTTGGGAGAAGGGTGTTATACCAACTCAATAAATAAAATTAAAAGTTAGATAAATGAAACATTGTTTCCTTGCAATTAACATTGGTAGCTCAATTTATAGTCTGCATGCCAATAGATTTAGAGCAGCACTGCAGTGGTGCAGAATTTGATATTATTGCCAATACTGCAAACAGGAGAATGGCAGTTACCGGTATATTATGCAATACAAGGTGGTTTTATACAGATATGGTGGCAATAAAGTTTTGTTTTGCTTTTTTTTTTAAAGTTGAAATATAGTAATTAAGAGAATGTGTTGAATGCTTCTATACCATATACAGTCATACCTCAGGTTACAGACGCTTCAGGTTGTGTTTTTTCGGATTACGAACCTGCCGAAACCCAGAAGTACCAGAACAGGTTACTTCCGGGTTCCGGCGGTCGCACATGTGCTTTGCGTATGTGCAGAAGTTCCAAATTGCAACCCGCGCGTGCGCAGACGCAGGTGGCGAACACTGCAGGTTGCAAACGTGCATCCCATGCAGATCACGTTCGCAACCCGAGAGTCCACTGTAATCATCTGGTCTGTTTGCTGCAAGAAATGTTTTCCAGAAAGTCAGCAAATGGTAGTTTCAGATCTATTAGTGTCTCACAAACATTGGAAAATAGTTACGATGCCACAAAGCAAAAAAGGTATCACTATTGTTAAATTAATAAGTACCACCTAAAATACAATTTTTTAAAAATTCCCTTGGATACAGAGTGTTAATGGGGGCCTGCTCATGAGGTTTTTTAAAACCACCAGTATAGGAGAGCCCTTCTAGATATTCCACTGACAAATGCAATAAACACAGGGTGGGGACAGTGATGGGCTGCAACCTTTCCATTCGATGCTTTCATTGATGCCTGAAAGGGGTGTCCATGCAAGCACCTCCTTCCAGAAGTACAGTTGTGTACAGAGAGTGGAAGGTGAGTCCAGCTTCTCCACCTCCATCGTTCAGCCCGGACACTGGGGTCCAGCGCTGAGGGCCTTCTGGCGGCTCCTCCCTGTGAGAAGAGAAGTTACAGGGAACCAGGCAGAGGGCCTTCTCGGTAGTGGCCCCCGTGCTGTGGAACGCCCTCCCATCAGATGTCAAGGAGATAAACAACTATCTGACTTTTAGAAGACATCATTCTGGGGAACCTGCAATGCAGGAATCTCAGCTGAAGCATCGATTCTTAATTCATTATTTGCATTTATGGCTCATCTTTCTTCCTTGGAACTCAAGGCAGAGTCCCCTGGTGGTCTCCCATCTAGGCAGTGACCAGACCTTGACCAACAATGGCGTGGCATGTTTGCTTTATTGTGGGCCTTCAAGCTGTGTCCTGGGAGTTCTTTTCTGGTGACTGCTGCTTCCCGGGGATCCCCTTCTGTGGCTGCTGCTTGGCGCCTGATAGAGTCCATCTGGACTGCTGTGACTTGAAAGGCTTTTCCATGGAAGGGGAGCAGCATCACACGTTGTCGTGTCTCTGGTCCTAATTCCACCCCTAGGTGTCCCTCTTTTTTGCAGCTTGTGTCGACCGGGTGTTGCTACTGCTGTGGCCTGCAGTGCCGCCTTCTGCCAGCAGGTGCTGCTGTTTCCTGACAAGTGTCTTTCCACCAGGGTTCCAAAAACCCAAATATGAAGCAGCCCACATTTAAACAAAGATGCTTGTTTTTTAAAAATGGATCCCACAAACGTCAGCTCCCAAAGACAGGTAAACAGTCACAGGGAGAGAAGCACTCATCTTGATCATTTGCAGAGACTTGTTAACAGGAGTTTGGAGGCTGAGAGCACCTGAAAGTGCCTCTTGTGAAGGGTGACCCTATGAGTATCTTGGCTGAATTACCAAATCTATGAGAGAGCTTCTCTAGTGGGCTGAAAAGGAGGCAGATCTTTTTTTCTTTCTTTCTTTGAACTCTCCCAGGGAATCTCAGTAGAATGGGTCTTCTCAACCACCCACAGCCACTTAGTTCAGCCCTGTAAAATGAGAGGAGCCAAGTTGCTCTGTATTAAGTTTGCTCAGCTCAAACTCAGCCCAAGATTATCCAGATTTGCATAAAACGTATATAACTTATATGCAGAAAATGTGCTAACATATGTATTGCTGCACATTCATTAATCATTGCTGTAGGCAGCGACTGTGACCAGGTTCTTGGGGTACTTGCTAAATCTGCCATTCAGAAGCTAACTGCTAATGGGCAGCTTCAAGTTCCTTGCTGTTCTTCCTTCCTTATACAGGGTGAGTCCTTTAAAAGAGGCCCCGTGGATACAGAGTACACATGTTCCACGGGGCCTCTTTTAAAAGACTCACCCTGTATTTACACTGAACACTGGACAACCCTTTTTTTAAAAGGAGGGGGGGTACATTCAAAATAGGGGACTGACATACCGTCAAATGGAGGATTGACCTTTGTAAAGTAAGGCACATGGCCATTTCGCTGTATAGGACTGCACTGTAAGAAGGACAGTTTCCAGTTTGTATTTTAGGAGAACTATGCACATTACATCAGAGATGGCCAGTGCTCTTTTTCTAGAAAAAGAGGTGCCGGAACTCACCATGAACGTCTTCCTTGTTCTCTTAGAATGGCAATGGCGCCCACCTGAGAGGTGCCAGAACTGAGTTCCAGTGAGTTCCAGCTGAAAAAAAGCCCTGGGGATGGCTAACCCATGTGCCACAGGCCATATCCCCCTGCCAACATTTTAAAGTGGCTCCTCAAACGCCCTCAGATTGTCTTTCTTAAATCCAGTTTTCTGCTTGCTTCTCATCCACACATCCCTTGCTAGCTATTTCAGGCATTTTTAGGTGTCAAAGACACATTTTGTCCCCACATCTCTTATTACCTTTAAAAGGTAAAAGGTAAAGGGACCCCTGACCATTAGGTCCAGTCGTGGCTGACGCTGGGGTTGCGGCGCTCATCCCGCTTTATTGTCCAAGGGAACCGGTGTACAGCTGTGGCCAGCATGACTAAGCCACTTCTGATGAACCAGAGTAGCACACGGAAACGCTGTTTATCTTCCCGCCAGAGCGGTACCTATTTATCTACTTGCACTTTGACGTGCTTTCGAACTGCTAGGTTGGCAGGAGCAGGGACCGAGCAATGGGCGCTCACCCCGTCATGGGGATTCGAACCGCCAACCTTCTGACGGCAAGTCCTAGGCAAGTCCCCTATTACCTTTAGTAGGGGCCTTTTTTTGCCTCAGGGAAATATCACTGCAAGAAGTTCTAAGACTTTGGGAAATGGGAAATGAGGTTTTCCTCCTGTTTCTTAAGACCTTCTTGAAATAGGGGGGGCATCATAAGAAGGCCTCAGGAAACAGGAATGGAGGGCAACTGCTTTTAAAGATGAAAGAGCAGCAAACTGGTATTTAAGTTGTGAGTCTTGGTGTATAGTAGTGTATACTAGTTGCAATATTACTAGTTGCCACAGCAATATTTTTATTCCCAAGAAGAGGTACTTGTAAGGTTATCTGCCTCACGTACCAAAACAACTTGACTGGCCTTGGTTTCTTTATAACTTGATTTGGGGAGGGAGCACCATTTACTGTTTCTATTCAGACAGCAAAATGTCTTAGAGCTTTCTTGGATACAGTTCAATATTCTATACTTCAGACATCCAAAGGTGAAAATATAAAAGCCAGCCTCATCTTAACAATGAGGAGTTTGGCTGATTTTTTTTTAGTTGGTTTATCTGATCCTTGAGGTGAAAGAGTTCCATCCCTTCAAAATCCCTGTAAAAGCACCCAAATTATGATTTTGGTAACTGAAAGAAGAATTCAGGTCTAACACTTAATTGCAAAAAAACACATCACCCAAGAAATCAGTTTAAAACTCATTCATCAGTCCTATCAGAAAAATGCAACCATAATAGGAAACGAGGCCCTGCATTTCCCTTCATGTGGTATTATTGTGTTTCTAGATGCATCTTCATGATTGATTATTATGTCCCTCTGTCTTTAATGTTGTTCATTAGGTGGACTCACAGGAATTTAGTATACATTAGCATTACAGAAATCAAAAGAATAAGCTGCTGCTCACAGTAATTAGACAGAAAAGTGAGGGATTTTCTCAGCTTCAAAAGGTTTTTTTTTTTAAAGTATTATTATTATTTATTCAATTTGTATCTTCTCCCAAAGGAACCCACGGTGGCAAACTCAATTTCATTACAATCGGTTTAAAACACTCTAAAAGCATTAAAAACAACAACATTCTCTCAGCCAATGATTTCAGTGATGATTTCACATAGACAACTTCTTTCATTCTGATTGGAAGTTGGGCATGTGAAAAGAGCTTTTTTGGAGAATGGGGGAAACCAAAGGAACAGCCAAGGACTTCCTGCTCAGCTCCATTGCCCATTGCCTTGACGAATGAAGCACTTGTGAGACAGGGTAGGCCCACCCATGAGACAAGGTGAGGCAAACGCCTCAGGCGGCAGAATCCACAGGGGCAGTGAATCCTGATGTAGCTCTTTATTCCCCCCTTTGTTCCTGATGTCAATCTTCACTTTCCCCCATCTTTCCTGGCTGGGAAGAGGCACCATTTTGCGGTTCACCTCAGGTGCCAAAATGTGTTGGGTCAGCCCTGATGTGAGTCCATCAAAATGGGGCCTGTCTGTACTCTGGAGCAAGTCCTTCGACTTTCTTAGGACAGCTTGTCAATTTCAGCTTCTTCCTGGCAGTTGCTACTAAGCAGAGTTCAACGGGATAACGGAACAATCAACAGTAAATAGCTTTTGAAAAATGCAAAGATTGCTCCCTTTAGCAAGCCTATATATGAAAAAGGCAATTGTGTGAAAATCTGAGGATGAAAGAAGCAACACAAGAACAGGCCTTTTCAGTGGTGGCCCGCCATTTGTGGAATGCATTCCCTAGGGTGGCTCACCTGGTGCTGTCATTACCTTTAGGCACCTGGCAAAAACTTTCCTTTATAACCAGGCCTTTGGCCTAACTATCTGTGACCTTTTAGAAGTGACTGGGATGTTTTTAATGTATCCTCTCCCCTGGTTTTCATGTATTTGTGATCGAGGGTTGTAAGTCACTTTGGGTTGCCTTGTGCAATATAAAGCAACTCACAAATGCAATAATTTATTATATCTGATTTACACAATATGTCAAATGAGGTGAATGGTGGTGGTAGGATTCTGGAGTTTACCACTTCTGACCTTAGGAGGACTGGGGACATATTCCGAATGCTCTCCCCATTTAAAAATTTCATTGCATGTTGTAAAGGATTCCTTCAGGGAGAAGGGTCGTCTGCTTGACAAGTGCTCTTCAACCTTGGGTCCCCAAGTCCTGGTGGACCACAGCTCCAAACATCCCCAGCCAGGGATGACAGCAATTGTAGTCTAACAACATATGGGCACCCACAGTTGAAAAGCATTGTCTAAGCTAGTTGAATATATGCAGGGAGCTTTTTTTGCAGGGAGAACATTCAACAGTATCAAACACGCACACACATGTGACATCCTGAAGTGGTATGGTTCAGGAAGAGTTTAGGACACTTTTTGTGCTGCTTATGTGAACTAGCAATGCATATATATTTTTCTTTGCATCTTCCTTCAGTGGCATATTTTGGCATTCAGCAGTGCCCATCACCAGCAAGAGTGCCTGGAGCTATTATGCTTATTGTGATAAAAAGATCCAGCATAAGCAAATGTTTATTCTCATTACTATTCTAAATGGGTAAATCATTTCCTTCCTTCCTTCCTTTCTGGCTTCTACACCCCCTTCCTTTTCTTTCTTTCTTTCTTTCTTTCTTTCTTTCTTTCTTTCTTTCTTTCTTGTATTTAATTTCGCCCTTCCTTCTTGTCTCCTTCACTCCATTCTTTGTCCTCTGTAAGTATCTCACAGGAATTTTCAAGAGGCAATTCTCACACCTGTGGAATAATAAAAGCATAGCTGCACCACCAGTTTAAAACACAGATCCTATCAGTAGGTTAATGCAGCTGGCATGACAAAAAACAACAACACAATCATACTGCCCTTTTATAAAAAGAAGCAAGCAAGCCTTCTTGGAGACTTTAGCAAATCACTATCAATTTCTTTTCAATTTCTTTCCAGCCTTTTTTAAACCTTTGGAAGACAGTTGCTATGCTTCCAAACTGTTGTGGTGCTCATTCATCTTTCTGTTATGTCAACATATATTTATTTACTTATAAGTTCTATATACCAGGTGTCTCCAAGTGTCCCTATTTTCCAGGGACATCCCTGATTTAGAGAAGCCGTCCTGGTTTCTGATTTGATCCTGGAATGTCCCACTTTTTCTTAGGATGTCCCTATTTTAATTGGAAAAATGTTGGAGGGTATGAAGTTTAGACTAATGTTGAAGCTCTGGTGGTGACTCCAATGGCAAAGCAATCGGATTTTCAAGCTGCAGAAGGTTATTCAGAAAGAACGAGAAGGTGAAAGAAGCTTGAAATTGTTAGGAAACTTTGGGAAAGAGGACATGTTCAATCTGCAGAGATTATCTAACGGGTTGTCTTCATCTGGAAGAACTGTCTATATTCAGTTCTGGCAGTTATGATTTGTTGTTATATTTATATAGAAATGAAAAGGAGAAGGGAATGCAGAAAGAGCTTGAATACTAGGACAGAACTTTATGTGACAAGAAATGGCGGGTTGCTGCTGAAAATGGCAGCCATGTGCTGTTTTCTCTCTTCCCATCTATGAGGCAGATGACAACTTACGCCATGTCTTGGTATCATTTTTGCTGAGTATTTTATTTCCCACCACCAATAGTGTGAAGCACATCAGACCACAAAGTAACAAGGAACGAGCTCTGCCTCCAAGCTATTGCTGCCTTAAGCTCCTTTGAGAGGATGAGCGGGTTGTAAATGTAATAAAAGAATTTAGGAGGAGAAAGAGAAGAAGGTTTAACTGTGCTTCAACAACAGCAAAAGCATGGTACTTTTCATTGCCTCACAGGCAACGTTTTCGACAGCTTCACTTCTTGCAAAACCTATGGAATGGAACAACACACAAAGACGTGGGAAAATGCAGAGCAGTGTGCAACACAGTAAAGACCAACTTGAGGCTTTGTGGGGACCGTGAAGATGTGTAGTTTGGATCTAGTGTAGATCTTGATCTTTCTGTAAAGGATACCTGTTTGGTGTATTCTGCTTGTATTCTGCTCATGGCCCAGACTTTAAGATTTCCAGCATTATTCTTGTAGGCTGTGAATTGAAGAGATGTGGGTCAAGTAGACATCCGACAGGGGAGGCTTTTCCCATTTCATTTGTCAGTGTGCTGCACATGCAAAGTTTCTGCCTGCCATACATCTGCTAAAGGCATAGCAGCCATATCAGAGAAAAGTTGGCAGCCTGCCCATCACCATGAAATGGGGCAGTTTTCCTTGCCTAGCCGATCTCATTGTGAAGGAATATTTTGAGATTCTTCATCCTTGTAAAACCAGAGAGCCCGAGATCCCTTGAGCAAAGCCACAAAAGTTAAGTGACTGCTTCATGTTTATAGTGCCAACTGAAGCATTTAGAGTTTATAAATGTTGGTGATACAAAGAGACCTGTCATATGCCAGGATCCAGGGGTCAATCAATTACAGCTGGCAAACAGTCAACATCCCAACACTAGGCTCAGTTCACAAACCTGTTAAGCAAGAAATCTTGGGAATGAATTCCCCAATCCTAACCAAACATAGGAATAAGCCCCGTGGATTTTGTTGGGTCTAGGCGTGATGGATTAGCATCACTTCTTAGTAATTTGATAGCAATGCTCAGCAGTGCCAAATAGCTGCAGGCGGCCTTTTCTAAGCCATCACCTTTACTTTATGTATATAAACCTTTACTACAAAAGCAGCAGGGGGAAGGCAATTATGTTGAAGAGATAGTGCCCAAGGACTAGAAGAAACCCACAATTTAAAGCCACAAATGGAAAACAAGAGTCGAAGCACTACCTTTATTTTTTGCAATTTATTATTCTCCGTAAGAGGAGGGGCTGGCTCAGTTTTAACAACTGTGAGTTGTTATAGCATCCTAAAAAGCCACGGAAGCCATACAAATGATGCTGAATCATGGCTCCAACCTGCCGAAGCAAACATACGTTTGGAGAAATCAGCGCACTTGTAGAGGAATTTAAATTCCCGCACAATAAGCCCTGTAAACTTGATTCATTGGACTGTTCTGATTTTGTTATCTTCCATTAAGCAATCAATATGAAGGACTCCGCATTTAGAATAGCTGCTTATACTGTGACACAAACTGCATGCAATAATCCTGAATTTTGACAACAACTGTTGTGAGGAGCCAGAGTCAGGAGTAGGTTAGCAATAAAACACCTGGTGCCAGTGAAGTTAACTCCTTATTCAAAGAAACCAAAACAGTGCAGGCCTAATGATCACAGCAACTCTTCCCACTAGGTCTTGCCCCAATGAGGGAAGTATGAGGAGGACTGATGGTCCTGCCTTCCCACTGGTTCCTTCCCCAGAAACCTAACATTCCTTCATCTTGTCTTTCTTTTCTCTTCCCTCTTCATTTCTCTCTGTATTACAGCAGGAGGGGGAGACTCCCTGGCTTCTTCGCCAGCCTGTCTCATCTCTGCCTCTTGGTCTCCCTCTGCCTCTGAGTCTGGACTGCTGTCTGCCCCAGTCTCTTCCTGCTCACTAAACCCTGTTGCCTTTTCCGCTCCCAACACCTTCCTCCTCCTCCCAGTCTGCTCCCTCTTCTCCCTCTGACCACTTATCATTGTCCCACCACCAATCCCCTGGCTCTGAGCCTTCTTCCCCTGGGGGTTGCTTTGGGTGTTTCCCAGTTGGTGCCTCCCACCACTCTCTGCATCCAGCCAGTCCATGGCAACTGTGTAGCCTAGACTGGAACAGCATTCTTCCAAAACTGAAATGGATGCTAATTAGATTGGTCTGTGGCTGATCAAGAGAAAATCATGGGATGGTGGATTGTGTCCTAAACCAGAGATAGATGGCTTCCATCTTGCATAAGTTTTTAAAGTTTAACTAGAACCCCTAGTTATGGTGTAAAATTGAGCAAAAAAATCATGCAGTTGTCTAATTTGACCACAAGTTTTCTAATTTGGTCCTGGGAGAGAGGAACTTCCTGGGAAGCAGTAGGTGGGTGGAGAGTTAGAAGCTCAGTTTGCCCAGTGTTAGAACTAGTCCTAATTTCAGATCACTCAGTGTAGTCCTGCCACTGCCCGTGATATGATTTTCCAAATTATGTAATTTATTTATTTAACAAGGTTTATATACTGCTTAATAACTAAGTTGTTTACAAAAAAGTTGGTATAAATGCATTAAAAATAGCAATAAAAATAGTACTTAAAAATAGCAGGCCCTATAAAATCAAAATGAGATAATATCAACAGATTACTTAAAAACAACCACCATGAATGTTTCTAAATATGAAATTCCAACTCTACAATGCTACAATTCTATGATCCTATAACATGTTTGGATCGGCTTGCCTCAATAAATCTCTCGGTAGCTTGGCCTCCATCATCTGCCATCTCTCTGTCTTTGCCTCTCTTCTGGAAGAAAGAAAAATCTATGCCCTTAGCAGACAGGGGGGAAATACAGCAAGCATGTGGGGCAGAGAAAGGGGACTGGGGGTGGAAAGCAGGGTCAAATAAGATTTTCAGGGAAGTAAACCCAGTTTCCGCAGTAAATAAGGAAGGAAAGATGGGAGGTGTCTTGGTGTCTTTGTGTTTATAGATGTATGTGTAAAAACCTTTCTCTTGCTTTCCACTGAGCCGTGACCTGGTTTCTCCAGGAGCTGCCTGCTATTTTCAGTTTGTTCTAAGCTAGACCCTGAGACAATACCTCGCATGCCAAGTAGAGCTGGCACTTGTGATCAGAACGCCTCTGCCTCAACCAGAGACTATTCCTCATCACTCCTCCCTTGCTTCCGAGCCCCTGAATATTCTTTTTGAATTTTTATTTTAAGAAACATCCTCCTGTGTATTAGGTGTCTATAAAGTGGCATTGAATATATGCATTGGGAGTAGACCACTGTGGTGCTCCAGGTATGCTGTGGACCACATATCCCATCAGCCTCAGTCAGCATGCCCAATGGTAAAGGATGATGGGAGTAATAGTCCACAACATCCGTGGTCCATCACCGTGGCTACCTCTGGAGTAGATCATTGCTTTCTTGCAGGGGCGGCTCATCCCGTTACACCGCCTGAGGTGAAACAGGAAAGTGCCACCCTACTCTGCTGCCACCTCCTGCAGAAGCCTCCCTTACCTGGATTCTGTGGCGGTGGCAGGTTACAGTGAAATCTCACGAGGTTTCAGCAAGATCTCCTGAGATCTCGCCAGAAATTGGCACCGTTGCCAGCACACGTCTGTAGAGGAAGCAGAGTGGGATGGCATGCCCTCCAACGTTCCTCAGCTGAAAATAGGGGCATTCTATCCTACATCGGCATCACTGCTTTAAAAGGTCAGGCACCCCTTTTGCCCATCATTAGCCATGAGAAAGGAATGTGCAATTGTAGCTGTGATTCTAAGGGGGGGGGGATTAAGGTGGACTGGGTGCCTAATGTTATCCAGAACATTAAAAGCATCCAGTATGACAAAGGTACCTTTGGATCAATAAGTGACCATTGGTATTGCTAAACAGTTGATGATGACTGAACAACCGAAAATGTTCAGATCAATGTTTGGTCAAGATGAACAAAATGAGCCAGAGGATGAAGAAGAAGAATATGAGGTGGAAATGAGGACTACTCAGAAGCTTCAGACCAAATTGATGAAAAGTTGGGAGGACTGGATCACAGAATCACTAAATTGAAGGAAGCCGATTGTGATGTGGAAATGGAAACAACCTCCGTACAAGGATTTGGAGGAAGAGGAGATAAAATCACAGAGGCTGCTTTGGAGAACCATCTGGATTCTGATGAAGTTGAGAGGAAAAAGGCTTTGGGACTGGAGTCCTGGCCTTTCTTCACCTCTAGCAGAGAGAAAGTACTCTGCATACGATTGGAGCACAGCAAATCTTCTCTCCCTATGATAGAGTTGTGGAGGCTGAAGATCCCCACCTTACAATAGCTGCCTAAATAATCTCCTTCTCTGAGTCTTTCTGAAGCAATCTGAGACTGCACTGACACACCTGTCTCTGCTCCTCACTCTTCATACCTCTTCTGGTCCTGGGAGACCAGGTGGGAGGGAGCTGGTCACAGCAGGAGAGGGAGACACCCTGGCTTCTTCACCAGCCTGACTCATCTCCATCTCTTGGCCTCCATCCTCTCCTGCTGCAGCTTCTGATTTTGGACTTCTTTCTACCAGACACTCCCTTCTCAACAAACCCTGTTACCTCTTCAGCTTCCGACAGCTCCTCTCAGATTTCTGCCTCTGTCCATTTATCGTTGTCTCGCCACCACTCCCCAGGCTCTGAACCTTCTTCCCTTGGTGGTTCCCCATCTGGTGCCTCCCACCATTCCTTTGTGTCCAGTCAGTCCATGACATCAGGTCTCATTATGTTTAGGAACGTTTACTTTCATGACGTGTATGCGGAAGATTGCATCCTGGAGCTTCGCCCTCTGTATAAGGTTGCTCAGAAGTAAGTCCCACTTGATCCCAGGTCAGTGTTTGTGTGCAGTAGGACTCTTCGCATATTTACTCAATTTCATTGAGCTCGGCAAGAGCAACTACTTCACTTCCCCCTAAGAAACCTAGCCCTGCACAACCCTGTCCTATGAATAACTTACTCTTCCTTTTCATCTTAAACACATCTACTTGGAAGTAAGCTCTGCCTCATTCAGTGGAATTAACTGGCATGGAGAAATGGAGTGAAGTCAACAAAGGCTGGCTGCCTGGCCTGGTGAAGGGATTGAAGGAGGCAGCGAGAAACAGGCATAACTGGGCAACCGCTCTTCCTTCCCTGGCTAAGAGGAGCCCTGTGGGGAGGGAGCTCAATGGGTAGAGCTCTCTGCTGCATTCCAGCATGTGCCTGGCATTGAAAGTGAAAAGTAAGTCCCTCAGGAAGGAGGTGTGAGGGCTCTGACAGGGTCCTACAGTCCACCCATCTTCTTCCCAAAGCCTAGTAAGCACTAACTAGGCTTCAGGAAGAAGCACTCCTTCCTGTTTCCCAATGCCTCTACCACCACCACCCCAATGGCTGGCTCTCTGTGACTAAGAGAGAAGCCATAATGTTTTAAGGGTTTTCATCACTATCCCAGCATTTTGTGGCACTTGAAAAGTATGGGCCACCTTATCAGTTCCTGCTTTCTAAGAAGACATGCTCAGAACAGCAACTTGTGTAGAAACCTAGGAAGCAGGATCTTCTATCCAAATCTCCCTCCATTTCATGGCCTCATCTGCAAGCCACAAAAGTAGGGACAAATTTTTCTCTAGTGATTTGGGATAGGATAAAACCCATCAGGCTGGCAGCTGCCATTTTTTATTTTCCCCCTTTTCACTTGTGATCATTGCCCCTGCAGCCTAATATCTACAGTGGTACCTCGTGTTAAGAACTTAATTCGTTCTGGAGGTCCGTTCTTAATCTGAGGTACCACTTTAGCTAATGGGGACTCCTGCCACCGCCGCCGTGCAATTTCTGTTCTCATCCTAAAGCAAATTTCTTAATCCGAGGTACTATTTCTGGGTTAGCAGAGTCTGTAACCTGAAGCGTCTGTAACCCGAGGTACCACTGTATTGGAATGAGACTTCTGGAAAATATAAAATGGTAGGATCAGCTCAGTGGAGGTTTGAAGACATTTATTTCTGGTAAGCATTGGACATCCCTGTAAAAATCACTCCATTCCCATAAAAATGCTCAGAGGAGCAGAGATTCCCCCTCCCAAAACATCCCCTCCCACCAAAAAACAAAAACAAAAAACGTTCAGGAAGAGCTTTTAGATATTACAAAGTTTGACCCAGGACTGCTCTAAGTGAGTGTAATTATTGCATTTTCATAGTCTAAAATCAACTCTGTTTTGGTTGTCAGAGTGAAACATACCACTAGAAAAAGAAGGTGTGCTTTAGTAACCGGCAGGGCTGTGCACTGGCTCTGGATGACTCCTGGATCTTGCAACTCCTCAGGCTAATTTGAGTCAACTGGGGTTTTGCTGGAGCTGGTTGAGGCAGCCCGAGATTTTCCCAGGGTTGGAGCTAGTGCAAGGAGAGTTTGCCTTGGTGCTTTTCTTTCTCCTGCCTCCTCCCAACCCAAATTGAAGACTCTGCAAGGCTTTCAGTTCAATTCAGGTAGGAGCAGGGACACTCTAGATGTTTGGGAAGAAACCTTTCTTCTTTCTTTGACTTTGGCTGTGTTTCTGATCATTTCTGGCACCAGGATTTGGGAGGCACTCACAGATAGCCCCCAAACCTGGAGGAAACAAGGCATGCAAAGTGAGCATTCTCTTAGGCTGCATCTGATCTTCTGGGATGCTTTTGTCCCAAAGTGAGCAATGGGACCACTGTTAGGGCAGTGATTCCTAATCCTGGGGCCCTAGCAAATGTCCAGCTATGGCACCTTGTGGAGTTGTTTCTGATGCTCTTGTAACACTGCAATTATTTCTTGTGTCAACAGAGCCCAAGAAAAAGAAAAAAGAAGGCAAAAAACAGGAGAAGACACTGGAATAGTGAAGATGTGCTGGGCTACGCGGGAAAGGGACTTCCTCGAATGTAATCGGTTAACAAGTTTCATTGACACCTAGGCGTTTTATCCAGAAGTTATTTATAGCTTAATTGTACAATAGGAAGAAATAAACGTACCAATTCGCCCTCTTTATTCTTCTTCTTTTTTATTTTTTACTTTAGTGTTTTAAGTGTATAACCTTAACCGCATTTGTAGAAGTCTGCCATAAAAAGGCAGTAATGTCATTTAGTACCTGATTTACTATTGTATATTGGAAAGTATAGATTCATCCCAAATCCCCACCCCCCTTTCCTCCTTTGGAGTCCAATCTTCTTAAGGCCTGACTCTGCATGCTAAGGGCAGGACTTATGACCCACATGGAAATCCCGCAGGACGTGTTCTATCGAGGTTCCATGATGTCAGAATGGTCTGTCCGTATGCTGCGCAGACTGGCCGTCTTATGATGTGTAAAACAGACTTTTTACGTTTTATAACAGCAAGAGTGGGTCTCTGTCCCCAGATTGTACCTGCCCTGAAATAACTAACTTGGTTGTAATTTACACCTTTTAATAAAACAACTTAAGGCTCTAGTCCATAATGATTTCTTAATGTGTTTCCTGAAAATGTTTTCCCTCCCATGAATGAACAGGGGATAAGTACGAAAATATGTTTGCACGGCAGGCTCCACTTTCTGCCACCATGAACTGAAATGCTAAAAGAGCTAATAAGGTCTTCCCCACCTGAAAATAGTCTGTTTATACCCCACCCATCTGGCTGGGTTGACAGTGGGTCAGTGCTGATGTTGTTCATCTTTGTCCTTAAGCAATATCTGCACCCAAATCCCTATGCCAGTCTTCCTAGACTTGCAGCCCTCCAGATGTTTTGGACTACAAGTCCCATCATCCCCAGGCAGCATGGTGAATGGCCAAGGCTGATGGGAGATGTAATTAGCGGCATCTGGAAAACACCTGGTTGGGGAAGGCTTCTCTATGCAAAGCAAGCTCCAGGACTTAAAAGGCATAGACACATTGCCTTGTTGCTTTTGGCCCAAAGTCCATCGAACCCAGTTCACTGTCTCCATTAGTGGTCAGCTAGCTACTCCCCAGGAGCTCACAAGCTGGGCATGATGGGGGGCAATTGTCCCTTGTGTGACATGGCATAGCTTCCCTCTTATTGGAAGTAAATCTTGCCACAGCTTCTCTGTGCTATATTGACTTACGTAAACCTGTCAGTTTTCTTCTATTGAAATATTGATGATGGCTGGCATTTCAGAACAAAACAACAGAGTTCCACATAAGCAGACCTACCTTGCATGAAATAAAATTCAGTGGATCTTTTCCCCCTGCTCTTTGAGAGTGTTTCTGGACGACACTTTCAAAGGAGGTGTCTCTCCTGTCAGATATTGAGTGTTCTGAAGGTGAAGGGAGTAGCTTTGTCCTTGAAAGTTACCCCAAAAATACCCTCAAAGGTTCTTAAAAATGCACAAATGTTCCCAATCCTTCTAGCTCGGTATATATATTTCTTTGAAGCCTTTTAAACCTTACCTTTCAGCCACAAAGGGCTCTCATAGCAGTTAAGGAAGATCAGTGATAAGACAGCCCTTTACTTTGGGTTTACAAACTAAGAGGCACATGGCACAAAAGGAAAAGTGATTGAGAGGGATGAAGAAGAAAAAGAAGAAAATTCAGGCACCAGTTCTTACTTATGCTAGTTATTGGAACAGCCAGTTGCTATGGAAAACTGTTCAAGGAGAGGAAGAGACAAAAGTTGCTGTTCTCTCAGCAGAGCTGATTCTGTGACCCAGCTTCCCTTCTCTCCCTTATCTTGCTCCATGGTCAAGCAATTGCCATCTTGAACCATATGATAGCAGTACTCAGTCCATGTTGCTAGTCCCCAGGACCTGGTAAGTAATGGCACATTGTCTCTGGTAAAGGTAAAGGGACCCCTGACCATTAGGTCCAGTCGTGGCCGACTCCGGGGTTGCAGCACTCATCTTGCTTTATTGGCCGAGGGAGCTTCCGGGTCATGTGGCCAGCATGACTAAGCCGCTTCTCGCAATCCAGAGCAGTGCAAGGAAACGCCGTTTACCTTCCCGCTGGAGTGGTACCTATTTATCTACTTGCACTTTGACATGCTTTCGAACTGCTAGGTCGGCAGGAGCAAGGACCAAGCAACGGGAGCTCACCCCGTTGCAGGGATTCGAACCACCGACCTTCTGATCGGCAAGTCCTAGGCTCTGTGGTTTAACCCACAGCGCCACCCGCATCCCTATATTGTCTCTGAATATAGAGCTATTGTGGAGAGTTGTTCTGACGGATATAGCATCTGTGTCATTATTATTTTTCTCACAGAGTGCTAGTAGCCACCCCAAAATGTTGTGAACACCACAAGCATGAGTTTTCCTCCTGCACCCACAGTCTGGTTACAGAAGGCTTTCTTCACTTTCCATAAACATAAGCAAGGCGGGCCCAGAAGATTTTGCTGCCTGAGGCAAAATGGAAAGTGCCAGTGCTGCCTCCTCTGTAGCTTCCAGCTGCATCCTCATCCCTCGCAGCAATAGCTTGCTTAGTAGTGGCCCTGAGTTTTAAATGTGCATTTAAAAATGGGTGTTGGTTATTATTTTTCCAGCCTGCTTCACATTCCATACTTACAAGTATCATTCCAAGGCAAATTTCCTCGACCTGCTGCCTTGGTCAATGTTGCTGGATTGCAACTCCCATCACCATTGAACTATGTCTCTTCTGGCTGGGGCTGATGGGAGTTGTAGTCCGTTGGGTGGGGGGAGCATCAGGTGGAGGAGACTTGTTCCCAATACTCATGCCATCAAATATCTTGCCGTTTCCTCCTGCGATGACCCAAAACAAATCGATGCCAATGCATAATTTCAACAGCTTTTAGTGTTTGTTGATGCTCTGTGAGTGCCCCTATGCTACTGGGCTTGTGCTCATGCTTAGACAGCGGAGAAATCTTTTAAGTGGCTGTCAAGGTGTGTTTCTGTTTACAAAAGCAACTCCCAGGGACATTTTGACATTACACAGGGCAAGCAAGCTGAGACTTTCACCACATCAATAAGTCATTGTCCCAAAGGATATTTGTGCCTCACATTGTTCTGTCTATAAGAAACAAATCCTCTAACTTTAGCTTCATTGACACAAGCCTGTTATAAGCACTGAGAACCACCCAACACACCCACACACCCACACCCCGGAGAGCATATAGTGCTGTACACAACTTCTGAGGAAAGATGATTTAACACAATCTAGAGAAAGCTTTGCAAGGTAATTGGTTTGAGAACAACACATGTCTCTGGTGAGTCCCCCATAATATGGAAGATCTCATTGCATTGCAATGCAATCTCTGTGGCAACCTTTTTTTTTCTTCCCAGGGAAAGGGCAGTGGTGGAGAAAAGCAGCTTCTATTTATATAAAGACGTTTGGTTTCCTGGCTGACCCAAGTCATTTTGATGGCCCAAAGAGCTGTAATGTGTGATCTAAGGGTCAAATGAAATGTGATACTCAGTGACACTTTTTAAAAAAATGCAAATAGCATTTGCCTGGGGTGGGAACAATCAATGAGATTGCAGCAGGTGTTGCGGGAGGGGGGAGGGGAGGAGAGACCTCCCATCGTGTGGTCCTAATGAAAACCATTTCTCCAAAACTGCTCATCGTATTGGGAGGAAACCTTCCATTAGTGCCAGTGGCAGCTTCCCTCCCAATGCAAATAGCAGCTCTGGATGAGTGATTTCATACCCTGGTTGCAGCAGGACAGAAAAGGGTTAACCCCCCCACCACCACCTCTCTGCTGTAATCCCAGCAATTACTGTCTCTTCTCCAGGAATAACTATTTGCATTTAAAACCAAAATGAAATGGTTATATTAAATCAAAATATTGATTTACTTAGCATGGCCCTAAGGGGTGTGACCCAAAATCCCTTTGCAGTGTTTCCAGGTGACACATTTTGGGACCAAACTAGTTATGCTAGTAAATTCATTTCTTGATTTAATGTAACCAGGACCTTTTTTTTCAGCCAGAACTCATCAGAACTCAATTCTGGCTCCTGTCAGGTGGGCACCATTGCCATTATAAGAGAACAAGAGAGGTGTTTATGTTGAGTTCCAGCACGTCTTTTTCTAGAAAAATAGCACCGAATGTAACCATTTTGCTTTCCCAGAATCCCTTGCAGTGTTTCCAGGAAGGCTCCACCCTAGATCTCAAGGTAGAACACACAGTTGTCTTTCTCCACATTTTATCTTCACAACAGCCCTGTGAGGTAGGTTGGGCTGAGAGTGAACAACTGGCCCAGGGTCACCTAGTGAACTTTGTGGCTGAGCGGGGATTTGAACACTCTAAGCATTATACCACTCATTGGCTCTCAAACTCCAACAGCCTTTGCTTAACTCACTTATCATAATATATATTTCTGAACTGCAGGAGAGCAAATTTCTTGATTGTCTCTGCAGAGACCACAGAGTCTTAAACATCTTCCATCTGTGCATATATCAATAGACATACATAATCGTACTAATAAAGGAACACGCAGAATGGTCTGTTTGCAGAGATGGAGAGAGTGAGAAGAAAGAGCCCTGTCCCAAAGGCAGCTGCTGGCAGATGTGCAACCAGCAGATCCTATGCATGCATTCATTCAGAAGCAATTCTGCCATAGGTCCAAACTAGATTTGACATCAAATGTGTCTTTGCATTTGCATTTAGCATGCACATTTTAAATACATAAGGAAGCAAGCAAGCAACCAACAAACCACTGTGTGTGTGTGCTGGTAGATCTAAAGGTCAGGGGTACCTTTACCTTTACAGTGCTTAGCAGTGGGTGGGCAGAGTAGGTTTAACCATTTCCTCCCTGCTGAAATGCTGACAAAACAAATCTCTCCTCTGAAGATGCTATTTGCATTGGGACAGACTCTCCCACTGGCACCTTTGGGAGCTTTCCTCTCAAGACAAACAGCAGATTTGGAACAGCAGTTTTCTGTGAGGCTCTCAGCAGGGCTGGAAACAGTTGAACTTCACCTCCTCACCGGCTGATTTCCTTCTAATGATCACTTGCACACACCAGTGTCACATGCATTTTTTTTAAAAAAGGCTTGGACTTGAATTCATTGGGACTTACTTTCCTGTAAATGTAATACTGAGATACTGAGGAAGTCAAAACTTGAAGGAGGAGGAGGAGAATAGCAGCCAAGTTTCCCCCAGAGGGGAAGTGATGGTGAAGGAACAGCCGTGCTGTCAACAGGACTTCTTTTTCTTCACTATCTCCTCCCTTCTGGGAGCAAATGGCAAGCAGAGAAAACCTGTCTGCCCTGAAAATCCCTGCCTTTTGCAGCAGATGCTAGTAGAAGACAGTCTTTGCTACCTTCTCCAGCATTTCAGAAGAGATGGAAGCAGATTCAGTTCTGTATGTTTCACCATTCAGAAGCTAATGAGTGAACCTTACATTCTGCACAGTCGAAGGTGTTTTAATCCTTACAAAGACCGTCACAGACATTTGCTTCTATAATTTAAACAATTAGAATATCAACCAGAGTATATTGATCGAAAAAGCTGCTCATGTTGTCTGGCTTGAATTTCTTATTTTATTTTTAAGGC